AAGTCCAAATTATGTATGGGTCTTCAGAGATATGAATAGACAGTTGAGGGTACATTTTTAGAACCATTTTTTGAATAAAAAAAGAAAAAATTTATAGAGACTTTGGAAAGATATTATATCTATTTTAGATATTATTTTCTATTATTATATTATCCTTCATTTTTGTTAATTCTCGCCTATGTATGATTGTTGGTGTTGCAGGGCTTTTTTGTGGCAGCTGCAGTCGTACAACACCCACGATGTTGCTGCCACAGCAGTGTCGTCATGGTCGCCGTAATCGCAGTCGGAGCAGCGAACGAAATTAATTTGACAGCCAACGCAAAACGCATGCGTCTTCGACATTCTTCGCTTGCACCACCACCCCCCGCCCTCCTCTCCTCTCTCCTCCCCACCCTCCAGTAAACATAATTTGTGCCCCATACAGACTATAAGCCCCAATCGCCTTGGACTTCGACAACGTCGCATGGCAGACCTACTGACGTTCCGGGCTTATCGCCTTACTTTTATATCTATCTTAAGCTTGTTGTTGGCTTGCCTCGATCTCAGATTTTCCTCCTCGTCATTTCGTTATCGTTGTTGCAGTCACATTAACACATCCGACTTCAAAAAGGGTTATGCGATGAGCTTAACTGATGTCCGCGGATCGGGGATTACGAGGGAATTAATGGGCTGGGGATTCGCGGATGAAATCCTGAAAGGAATCTTTTTTTGTAAATTGAGGAAGAGGCCCTCAGTTTCTTCGTTTTTGTTTCCTTTTCAGAGTTTTTTTTTAATTTTTCTACCTATCCAGAGTTCGAGATAATCCTACTCCATGGAAGACTATATCTTTGCCAATACCCATCCGATTCTTAATCGGAATACCTTAAACGATTTTTAGATCGATTCTCTATTAATCTGCATCAAAACCTGGAAACAAAATAATTTTTAGATTTTTTGTCAAAAATTCTGGGGGGTAACCTTCAAAATTGTGAAAAATGCATTGGGAGGACAATATGGCCCACGGGGAAGGGCATATCTTTGTCAATACCCATCCGATTCTTAAGCGGAATACCTTAAACGATTTTTAGATCGATTCTCTATTAATCTGCATCAAAACCTGGAAACAAAATAATTTTTAGATTTTTTGTCAAATTTTCTGGAGGGTTCCCTTCAAAATAATGAAAAATGCATGGGCAGGACAATATGGCTCACTGGGAAGAGTATATCTTTGCCAATACCCATCCGCTTCTTAAAAGAAATATCTTAAACGATTTGTAGATGAATTCTCTATTAATCTGCATAAAAACACATATGAACAACCCTATAATATTTTTAGTTTTTTTGCATAAGAAGAAAATAGGACTTGACCGAGAGTTTTAAAAATGAGACAATCTCCAAAAATATAAGTAAAAATCGAATTATTTTATTATGTTTTAATATACTAATGAAATACCTATGTTTTTCTGTTTTGAAATTCATTGTTTTCTGTGTAATTTTTGAGAAACTGAGCTGAAAGCCTGACAGGACCACACAAGAAGCTGGAAAGCCACACACACACCACCGTCGAGGGGCAGACTCCGCAGCTCCGCGGTTCCTCAGCTGGAGTAAGACGGGGCGGTTGATTACATGAACAAACGAACCGATCCGTCGCTTCAGACCCGGTCCGATCCCCAGTCGCCAAGATCGCAGACCAAACCGCAAAAGCCGACGCCAAGATAACGAGTTAACCCAAACCGAAACCGCAGCCAAAAGCAGGGTCGGCCATGCCGGCCAGGGGAGGAGCAGGAGCATGGGGAGCAAAACCACACACGCCTGTCGCTGGGGAATCGGCCTACTCGAGCTGCCGGCCTACGTATTACCGGTGGCAAATAGTAATTATTACATTAAATGCACCGCAATAATGCAGCAGGAACGTCAACATTTAGCCATAAAAATTGCTTACACTCCGGGTAAAAAAAAAAAAAAGAAAAAACTCCGCGTGCAGTTAAAGTTGATGTGGTGGGGCGAGTAGAAGGGTATTGTGTGAATGGAAGAGGTATTGGGAGGGGCAGGAGTAGAGTGATGGGTAAAAGAACAGGGAAACCAACACAGAAAGAAATTAGAATTAAAATTTATATTTTAATATTTATTAAATATAAAATTAAAATCCTCCTGATAGATCCTTAAAGTATGCAATACAAAATATAATCAAATTATTTAAATGATGTATGTATGTATTTAATTATTATCCCTAATTTTTTTGTGTGCACAAATACAACTAGCCAAGTAATGTTAATGGCGCTATAGGCCAATGACAAATGCAATTGCATTGCATGGAGCTTGGTTAGAGAGAGATAGAGTGGTGGGGGATCGTGTATCAAGTTGAGGTCTAGGCAATGCTGCACTATAAATTAAGACATTATACGATTAAAAACAAACAGCCTGTCGTTAAAGTCGCTGAAGGAGAGATGGGGACGCGGGTATGGTACTGGGAGATCAGGGTTGGCCCCAAGCTTAAAAGACTAAGCGAGACAAGTTAGTACAAATCATTTACACTGATTTTTATTAGGGATTAGTAAAAGGTTACTGAATACTTTCTAAAATAGTTTGAATAAAAACTACGAAGTAAAATTTCATTTAATAATAATAAATCTAAGTACTTTTATTAACAAAAAATGTTTCTTTTTTTTGGGAAAATGATTTCCAAAATGAAGTTGGCCCAAAAAAGTCCATTGCCTTGGCTAGGCGAGCAAAGAAAAGATCTCAACTTCAACTCCGGCCATAAAAACAACAGCAAGCAGCCTGTGTCTTGGTATCGGGCCTCCCTGTCCCCGTATTTTTCTCTTGCCCCAACCCCCAATCCCCCATCCCCCAAATCCCGTCTCCATCTCGCTTTCTGGCCTCTCCAATTCCAAACGAAACGGCAAATGAAGCTCTCAAAGCAAACTCCACTTCGTTGGTGGTCCAGTGGCAGCTGCCCGCCACACAGGCGCAGTAGTGACTTGTATATGTATGTGTATCGGTGAGAATATATCCCTCTCTTACACTCTCTTTGATGGGGAGCTGTGGCAGATTGGAGCTGCAGGCGAATTGAGCGAAAGCCAAACGAAATGCAAGTCATTGAGAGCAAAAATCCAAGCTGGAGAGCCATTTCAAAGTGTATGTGTAAAGATGGCGCAATCTGGGGAGAGCAGTGGATAAAGCTAAAATATGCACGTTGGAGCTGCTGGGGCAACAACAACAACAACAACAACAGAAAAAAAAGGCCGCCCATGTCGCCAAAATGCGCCACACACAGACCAAATGATAGAGCAAGACAGTGGGCAAGGCAACCATTGATGCAATATTAGTCCAGGTGAGTGTGCAAGCGAGACAGCAAGAGGGGGAGCGTCAAGGCGGTGGAGGAGCAACTGTGGGGCTGTAGGTTTTTTCTGTTGCTGCTGCGGTGCTGCTGCTGCTTTGACTGTTTGATTATAATAGCTGGCTCGGTGGTGGGTCCACATCCACAACCACCACAGTCACAGCCATCCTCTCCATCTTCATCCGTTTCAGGAGCAAGCGAGAGGGTCGCACCATGACGTTGCAGTTGCATACGAATTTGAATTCGATGGAGATTCGAGCGCCAATTTTTGCGGTCGTTCTGAAGAGTTCTTATTTGTTTGATATGTTGTTGTTTTTGTTGATTTTGTTGGAAAGGGAAAATCTTGGAGAGGGGGGCTAAGAAAATATACTTATTGTATTTTCATTCATAAATTGGGGGGTTGCAGTTGAAATGGAGAAAAAAAGGAAAGCCATGTTCTGACTAGAGTCGAATAATAAATACTCTGGAAATTTTGGGATTATTGGGAATTATATTAAAGTTAGAAACATAAGAAAGGGTTTCTGGATCTGTTAGGTCTTCAGCCCCTTGTAGTATTACCTGCAAAAAAACATCTTCATCCCGGGTGGTCCCCTCTGGGCTTATTTCATATTTGAGATACTTGGGACTTGGGACCATGATGCTTCATAAACAAAGGCAACACAAAAACATCCTGCTGCCCATAATTTAGCATCGGGAACATGCAAAAACAGACATCAGCACATGGGGCAAAAACAATAACAGGAAAGCAACAATAACAACAACCAAAGCAATGTAAAGCTAACAAATTTGCCAACAGTTCGCGGCACGGACACACAGATACAACCGCCAAAGCCTGCCACGCACGCGCTCCCCACCGACAAACAAACACACACATACACACGAAAAGATAAAAGCTCCACTGAAGGCCGACGCCAGTCGAGGAGTATGCGGGTCGGAGGAAGGGAGGTAGAAGGAACGGAGACCACCCACAACGCTTGGCGGTTTCAGTTTAATGAAGGCAGCAACAAATTTATTTTTGGGTGGTCCCCGGTGCCATGAAAATAAACCACCGCAGAAAAGGAAACAGAAACGGCCGTTTTGGGTGGTCTTTGAGAATATATAGCAACCAGAAAACCATCGTCACTAGAATTAGCAACTAACATATCATAGTTTTAGGTAATTAGGGTGAAGTGAATGTAAAACTGTATAAGCTAAGATGTTCTTAATGAATATAAATATTAAAAATAATTTTTAAAATATTTTTAAATATTTAAATAAACTTGAAAGAGATCGTTTCCCTTTTTTTTAAATTATTTTTTTAAGTATTTATTTTTTATAACACTCCATAAATCTTTATATTAAAAATAAATTTAAAAAAATAACACAAATTTAGTTTTTCAATCAATATTTAAACTCTAGAAATACCCCTCGGTATTTTCAGTAACAATTAACACAGGAAATACCCTTCGATCAGCCCTCGCAGAGAGCATATTCAAACCAAAATGGCCGCACACGACCAAAAGAGAGTTGAGAGAGAGCTGAGAGCAGCAGCGAGTTGGTGTCTGTGAATGGGTCACCCACGCACACAGGCGCATAACTGCAGTCACACAAACACACACAGTGGCAGAGAGAGATAGAGAGACAGTGGCGCGCGCTCGCCTAATGAAGTTGTTGGCCTGGCTGGCGTGCCGCATCCGCGAGATACAGATACATCTCTCAGACTGCGTGCGATCCTCGAACGAAACGGTTGTGTGAACGGAGCGCGACGAAATAGTACGGTTTGCCAACAACAGCAGGAGCACTCTGTGTGTGTGTGTGGCAGCATAGCAGCAAAGATAAATAACAGAAGCATCGTGTTAACGACAACTTCCATCGAAATTGTATCTTACGGATGCGAGGCGAAGTTGATGGATTAAATGCCAACTAAATCGACGAAATCGTCTGGCTACGTGCGCAAAGTGTGTGTGTGTGTACGAGAAGTGTAAAGCGAAAGAGTAGCAAGAGCAAAGAAGTGCTGGTGGTGGTGGAGGAGAGAAACGAGCGAGCAACAAAAAAAAAAAAGAAAAAAAACGTGAGGCGTCCGTCTGTCGCTTTTCATTTTTGCTTTTCCATGTGTAAATGATGTGTGAAAATCCTGTCAAATTCCCCACCAAATTGTGCCCAAATGTCGGCTAGATAAGGCCCCGAAAAAACCGTGTTCCAAGCCCATCAAAAAAAAAAAAAACCCAAAATAAAAGCTAAGCCTGCAATCACAACAAAACCAAACAACACAAAGAGAGCTCAGATACATAGCGTGCCCGAAGGGAGAGAGATCGAGAGCCCACAGAGAGAGCGAGAAGAGAGTATCTTGTAGATGAAAATGCGGTGTGCAGTTCAAAATGCATCAAAACAAAGTACGAAATTGCAATAACAATTAAGAAACCCCCAACCGACCGATCGAACAATCCACACTGCCTCCCAAGTCTCACCCAAGAATAGTGGACGCAGACAAACGGCAGGCACTGTTGGCCGCACTCTCTGCACATTACTGTTCTGTTAAACTGTTAACAGAAGGAGGCACGGGCCCCAATCACCGCTATCCCCCCAACCCAACCCCCATCCGTCCAGAATCCTCTGGAAAGAAAAATAATGGACCGCGACAGCCTCCCACGCGTACCGGACACACACGGCGATGTGGTCGATGAGAAATTATTCTCGGATCTATATATACGCACCAGTTGGGTGGACGCCCAGGTGGCGCTCGATCAGATCGATAAGGTGAGTGCCAAACTACAGAGGAACCTCTATAACTAAGACTTGAAACTTTAAGAAGATATTAAAGATATTAAAGGAGGGTTAAGTATCCTTAAACAAGGAAAAGATACTTGTTTTTTTAGTTAAAGATACTTTTTTTATATCTTGAAGTCTATGTCCTTGTGAGACCTGTAAACTGCCTTTGCTTAATGCGGCCATTAAATCGGCGGGACAGATTTCAATAAATTTTATTGCCAATATCTCTCGCAATATTTTGTTGTCGTCGTCTTCGAGCGTTTCGATTTCATTTTATTTCGTTTCGTTTTCTTTTTGGCCGGAATTCTTTGGCTAATAGAGTTGTCGGCTAGTCAGCCTATTAATTACAGTGATTAGCTAAAAACTCTGACCAATCGGCTTATATGCTAATTTCCAAGTCTATTCTTTAGAACGAAAGAGTGTGGAGGATTGGAGATACAATATCTGAGTATAAATATTATTATTTTTCTCGGTGCCCTCCACACAGCAGGACTTTCAAGCCATCCACAGACAACTTCATTACTTTGGAGCTACTGTGTGGAGTTGGCCCAACCGCAAAAAAGCAACAATAACAACAAGCTGAGAACTGAAAACTGCAACTGCAACCAAGCGCCAAAAACAGCAAACCAACAAAAGGCCGCCAGGGCAGCAGCAGGAGATTCGATCCCGATCCCCATCCCCATCCCCATCCCGGGCGGTAGTGGTGGAAAGCAGCCGAAAAGGCAAAAAAAAAGCTTCAACAGCGGCAGCAACAAAAAAATAATAAACAACTTGGCATGTTAGTGTGTGTGTGCTGTATAGTATCTGTATCTGCAAATGTATCTGTGACTCGATCCAACATGGGTGGGCGCGCTGAGAGGTCTTTGCGAGAGTTGTTTCGTACGTGCTGCTGACTGGGGCTGCCTGCCCTCCCCCTTGGTGGTGTCTGTCCCATGCCATCCCACCCAACTCCCCCACCCAGTTCCCGATCCGGCGACCAAACACACTTTTCAGATGCTCTTTAGGGTCAGGAATGCTCCATTCGCAAACTGATAAGAGCTAGCTGTGACGTAAGGTTAAATCAAAAAAATATTTTGCAAATATTAAAAGTATCTTGAAGCTTGAAGAGTATCTGAATCTGAATAAAAACAACTTATTTTGATAAAAAAAGAACAGTAAACGATGATTATTTTCGATGCAAATGAAGCAGACATTGTTTTTTCGGTTTTTTTGGGTTCGGTGCGGGTGGCCTTTGGGGCCAGTCTTTTGGGGATAAAAATACAAAAAAAAAGAAAAGAAAGAAAAAATTTCACTGACGCACAAGCAGTTTATGGCTTTATTTGATGGCTCACTAGAGCCAGTGGCTGTCAAACTGTTTACTTAGGATCTTAGTATCTTAGTATCTTAGTCTTGTATCTTCTTCTAGAAGCCTAGAAGATAAGATAACCCCCAAAAATCCACCTTTATTTTGGTTCAGTGTAGTGCTTTTTACAGCTTGATGTCTTCATCATTGTTGCTGCAGCTTCAGATACGTTGCAGTTGTTTGGGGCAACCCGCGTGGCGTGTCTTGCTCTGTGGTTGTTCCCCCTTTTTTTTTGTTGTTGTTTGTGTTGTACCCTTCCCCAAGTTGGTTTTCCTCTTGTTTTTGCCTTCACTCGGGTCTGTGTCTGTGTGCATCTCAATTATTTCTCGTAAAGTCTGTTGGGGCCTCTCGGTTGTAACGTGCTTTTGACTCTGCCTGGCCCGGCTCGGCCCTGCCCTGCCCTGCCCTGCCCTGACTTGCCACAGCCTCTGGAACTCCTCTGGAAAGTTGTGGCAAACGATCGATCGTGATGGCGCCGACATCGCCAGCGTCTTTTGTGGTCTTCGACTTCGTCTTCGTCGATGGCGATTTATTTTAATGACTCAATTTAACGAAATATATTAAGACATTAAAGTTGTCTAACGAAGGCCTTCTTTCTCTCTTTCTTCTCTCTTGAAGACTATGCAAATTCTTTAACATGATCATTATTATTATTATTATTTCTGTTTATTTTACTTTCTGGATATAATTTTTTAAAGCTACTGGGAGGTCTGGGTTATCTTGGATATGGGATGACGTTTTTCATTCCTGCTTTGAATGTCAAATGAGGCGAGAATTGTTTATACAACAAAAGATTATGATCTTCCAAGGGGTAGACTTGATACTTTATAAAGCTTGGCATAGTATAATTTTATTTCAAATCCACTAGTTAGTAGTTTCTATTAGAAAACTATTTTTAGTTTCTGTTTACAGAAAACATTCATAAATCAAATGCCTTTCTACGAAAATACATGTTCCTATTTATAAACCAAGCATCCCAAATACTTTCCATATCTTTTGTAGAGTATTTGAAAGCTATAGTTGCTTCTTTCCTTTCTTGGCCTGTCTGTCGATATTTATTTATTTTATTTTTGCTTCAAGCTGAAATCACATTTATGGCAATGTCGCACTATCGATGCAGGCCATGTACTCGCCGCCGTTCGACGACGACGACGTCCATTGTATCTATAAGATACATATATATAAATTCATGAATGAAAACGCTTGTTGCTACACCCCCCACCCCCCCTCTAAGACTCTCCATCCTATCCCCGTTGGCTGTGCCAATTGTAAAGCAAACACACTTGGCACAGGAAGTTGGGCAACATTGGCGGCATTTTGAAGAAGTCTCCGTTGTAGGGGCAGTAGGCAATAAATTTGTTTAGTCATGCCGGGAGATGTCCGATGTCCGATGCCTGATGCCCGATCCGATCCGCTTCGCTCTTTTCACAACTGCCTTCGAAAAACAAACACAAACACACAAATATTTGTGGCATCCACAAAACAGACATGGGGGCAAAACATTGAAGTATGTATCTATGTATCTCAAGCTGACATGGCCAAAGCTAAGAACCAGTAGCTCGGATAGAAAGCTTTCAAAATAAATGCAATTTATTCCATTTTCCACTCAAAACTCTAACTCAAATATTTAATCAAGTCCCCCCCTCAAGACTATTGACTTTCAGACCGTAAGTCAAATATTATAATTTCCAGATCGTTATCTCCTCTGATAAGATCTCCGGAGGGGTGAGGTAAGGTGTAAGGCAAATAAATCATTGTCACACTCTCGATCAATATTTGTTATTTGATATGGCCAAGTGGAGGGAACTACTAGCGATAGCGGATGGCCCCCAAAGAGACTCGAATTTTAAATAAAAAATCCTCAAGAGCCAGAGACGGGATGTTGCGGGAAGAAGATCAAAGACACTAAAACCGAAACCCAAAAGCGGGGGTGGATGAGTCTCAGGGACTCTGGATCTCAAGTGGAGTTTTTTTGGAGGGTAATCCTTGAGCAAACCCACTCGACGAGAGGCCAGGGGGAAGATACATACCTGCATAAATTGCTATTCCCTTTTTTCTGAGGTCTGAAGGGTGGAATAGATCCATCGATGGATGGTGTTCGCTTCCCAGAAGGCTGTCCCAACAATGCCGATGAAGATATCTCACGCCTACAGGCGTTTCCGGCTTATGGTTGCTGGGACGGAGGAGGGAGGAAGTGCCTAACAAGTTAACTGTAATTTGACATGCTGGGCGTGTTGAAAGCAAAACAAGATAAGGTAGTGTATAGTACTTCTGAGAAATTAGGGGTTAGCCCTAAGACCTTATAGAGTGGGCCTATAGATCGGATTGCCTTTTTCGAACCCCATTCATAATCCTTTGACCCATTATCTCCAGCCAACCGAACTGAACCCAATGGCCCACATACACGTAACACCCACCCAGTGATCCAACAATTGACAGCTTCATCTGAGGCATGGGGCCGCGCCAAGGTGTGCCCCCATGGTCTTGGTGTGCGTGGCCGACTTGACTTGATCTGCAGCTGGTGCGGGGAACTGGAACTCTCTGAAACCACACACACAGACCCAAAAAACAGCTTGGTCTTCATTAGGGACGGGACGAGTCTTGGCCAAGAGAGACGTCGGACGAGTTGGGTCGCACATAAAACTGTTATTGTCTTCATCAGACTCTGGGGTCTCGATCTCGAAGACAACGACGAAGACCCCGAAGAGAAAGAGAGAAGAAAAATCAGGAGAATTATGAAGACATTAACTCGACCACACAGCACGCGGCCCGCACCGAATTCGAATCGGGGCTCGGTGTTCGGTGTTCGAGAGATCTCCGAGAGGGGGTTACGATCAAGGGCCAGAAAAAAAAACAACAAGAAAATATGTATAAAGATACACACATACACCGAGGTTGAGATACAGTGACAGCAACGATCCGAATACCGAATACCGGAAAGAAACATTCAAGCAATAATCACGGAATTCACTGAAAAAGCAGTTAACAGACAGAGCCATCGGTGCGGACGGACAGGCGGACAGACGGACAGTCGAAAAACTCCGCTGAGCGGACACGAAACTCGAAAAAAAAAACGAAACGAAACGAAGCGATCGAGAGTGCGTGTGTACCTGTATGCAGGGCATGGGCATGGGCATTATGGGCTGGGCCCAGACCAGGTCGGTCAGGTAGGTAGGTAGGCTGCGTTTTCGATTTTCAGACGAAAATAATAAAGAAATTAAAATCGTTGCGGTCTGGGGCAGGTGAACTTCTTCAGTTCCTCTCAGTTGAATTCGAAGTTATTACAAAACTTTCATGACAGACCCAGTCCGGACTCCGGCGAAGGAAAATAATCAGGGTATCAGAGTATCTGTGTATCTGGGTATCTGTGTGTATGTATACAGGGAGTTGAGGAGCTGTCCTGGTGGTCCCTGTTGCACCTGGCGCTTCTGGAGTTAACTGTAAACCGTCTGCCTGAAATGGCAGCCAAGAGACCGGCTTACTACTTACTACCTCTCACCTGAGTTGCTGCTGCTGCTGCTGCTGTGACCTTCAAACCTTTTTTAACGACTTTATTTTACGGTCATGCAAATATCTTAATTTTTTTTCAGTCTGAGTGCCAAGAAGAAGAGCATAAAATGGTAATAAATGTGGCAGACTGCTTGCTAGTCACGTTTTGGGGGCGCCATAAATTGGCGGCAAACGAGAATTTGCATTCAACGGTTTCACATTCATGAGGCTTTGGGCCTCATTTTTAATTGCTTTGGAAATCGAAATCGAAATCGATTTACCTCCCTGACTGATCAGTTGTGTGTGGTCCTTGGATCTATGTATCTGGGGGACTGGGATTCCAAATCCATTCCAAAAATAAATCCCCGGCTAGTGACGCAGTATATCCATTTCGTGGACTATTTTGTTTGACAGCTGCTGGCTGGCTGGCTGGCTGGCATGTGAAAATAAAAACACAGTTCCATTTAAATGCCAAGCAGATGAGATGGAAGAAAAAAAAACAAAAGATATATAGTAAGATCGGATGTGGCAATGCATGGGGGGAATTCGTATTCAAAAACGTTATCAAGTGGCATATAACTTTTATGGTAGCTACAAGTTTTATGGCACACGCTTACGTGAGAAACATGGAAAACCTGCAACCATTATCTCAGAAGGCTTTCTCATTTCAGATACCCTCTATCCCATATATGGATCACTAATCCCTAAGATCGTGAAAGCTTTAAAGATTCCCCCCCACCATCAAATGAATCATTCTCTCGTACCCCATTACCCATAAATTTCTATAGATCCCCATTCCATTCATATGGATATGTAGGAATATTTCAATTTCAATGGCCTCTGGGTGGTCTGCCATATTGAATTTCATTTTATGCTAAAATTATTATTATTATTGTTGGTTTTGCATTCGATTTTTATTGCGGCATAACTGGGTGCGCTCATATTTTATGGCCCAACCGACCATATAAGAGATTCTCGACTCTCAAGTGGCATGGAAATTTTAGATTGCCACCCCAAACCCCAATCCCCAATCCCCAAATCGGGTCGTGTAATTAAGTAGTCATTCTCTGTGGGGGGTTCTTTGGAGGAAACACATGATGTGTCGGATATATGATTGATTGATGGGGAATATATACAGATCTTGAAGAAGTTTATTTTTTCTGGGCTTTCAATCCAAAAGATATTAGAAGCATGACCATGTCTGGGTATACTGAATATTTAATTTCCTTCTACCTGCACCTGCTGGGCGAGTCACAGTTTTTGGGATTAAAGGAGGCTGGCTGGCTGGCTGGCTGGCTGGGAATGGGATGGCATTTCTAATGAAGTTGTTGCAAACAGCAACAAAGGCCAGTACACACACATTTCATTTGAAAATGCAACCCAGGAGCGGAGGAAACCCCCTGGCAAGATCATAAATCAATGCGTGACATTTCCTCACAACGCCGAAGTGCTGCGGGGGTGGGCAAAAATAAGAGAAAAAAAAATAAAGAGGCACGCCATGGCGAAAAATCAGGCAAGAGGACAACAACACTATAAGATTGATGATATGTCACAGAGGCATTCGGGGCAACATGTTTTCGGGCCAAGAGACAGAGCAGGAGTCCGGACTACCACTGACAAGCGTTAACACAAGACCGATCTTGGCTTGATGTCTTCATCTCTTTTCTTCTCCAGAGCCATACAGTTTTTGAAGCACTGGCGGGAATGCTGGCCAAATCTAGATTAAGCTTATTTTTAGCCAACTTTGCCGCCTCGGGGCCCCCAACCAACAATGTTGTAACAATAATGTGCTGGTTGCGCCTGGAAAAAAATTCCTAGAATTTTGTGCATCTTTTGTTTGTGTGCACCTTTTGGAGAGGATCCTCCAGAACAGAGACAGAACGAGTGAGAGAGAGAGAGACAAAAAATGATGGAAAAATTCCACGAACAGGTCGCCGCAGGGAGTCTCAAAGTGGATGTGCCGCCAACGACTTAATTAATGGCGACAAAGTCGAGCGCGCCGCCCGTTTGATGTTCCATCCCATCCATCCATCCATTGCGGAAATGCAGCAAACTGGTGGGCTGCATAAACAAGCAGCAGCAGCAGGAAGTTCCCTTTCTATGGTTAGTCTGGGGATTATCATACATAAGTACCCCCATTCCGAAAATAAAGACATTAAGTGTGTTTACCCGTTCCATCTTAACGGTAGTCGTAAAATGTTCAAAGACCTCAACAATAAAGCCATTGCTTCCTCTTGGCCAACCTGACTTGGCTTTGGAAAAATCTGTGAAAAGCGATAAAAGGCGGTCGCCCCGCGAAGAAGCCAGAACCTTTAAAGCCCGAGAAGTTTCGAGTCAAGAGTCGCGGGGGTCTGGGGTCTGGGGTCTGGGCCATCATGGAATGTGTTGTTTGGTGGCTGACTCGGTTCCTGAATCACTGGGTGCGCCACGATTGTTGCACGGTGGGTTTTGACTCTTGAAAGTTGAAATATTTTAAAGATTTTTGAGTCAAGAGAGCTGGAACTAGAGCCTGATAGTCTTATATAGTATCTACATTTAGTATATAATTTTAAAATATTTTTGAAATAATATTAACTCTATTTTTTTTAGCTCCAAAGCCCACTGTATCTTGATTCTTCGATTGAGACGTTAGCGTTAGCGCGAGCCTCATTATTATGTTTTTGAAAAAGAGGCTCAATTTCCGTGCAGCATTGCAGCAGCAGGGCAGAGGGGGGTTTAAGCCAGGCCCAAAGCCAAAGCCCAGATCGGTCCAAATGCCCAAGCAGGCGATTATAGGTTCTCTCCTTTTTTTTATTTGGTTTTTTGTTTCAGCGGCGTCTTGTGTTGTGTTTTTTTTGGGATTCCATGTGTTCTGGATCAGGGATTTCTGGGTTGGGTTCCAGATGGCCAAATGGACCTAATAATGGGGATGAAATATTTGTGAAAATACTAGAAAAATATGTGAAATATTTTTGGGGCTACGCCCATGTCGAACCTTGTTGGAAGTCGAAGATATAAATTAAGAGGGACCCCCCGCTGATTCGTTATAATTTTGAATCTTTATTTATGGCTGTGGAGGGCAGAAGAGCCTCGGAATCAGAAACCAAAAACCCAACTAACTTGGCCAATTCCTTTTGCATTTTCCAGGGCAAGGCGCGTGGCAGCCGTACGGCAATCTATCTGCGATCAGTATTCCAGTCCCACCTCGAAATGCTAGGCAGCTCCGTCCAGAAACATGCGGGCAAGGTGCTCTTCGTGGCCATCCTGGTCCTGAGCACCTTCTGTGTGGGCCTGAAGAGCGCCCAGATCCACTCCAAGGTGCACCAGCTGTGGCTGCAGGAGGGCGGCCAGCTGGAGGCAGAACTGGCCTACACACGAAAGACCATCGGCGAGGACTACTCCGCCACGCATCAGATGCTCATCCAGACGGCCCACGATCCGAATGCGTCCGTCCTGCATCCGCAGGCGCTGCTGGCCCATCTGGACGTCCTGATACGGGCCACTGCGGTGAAGGTGCATCTCTACGACACGGAATGGGGACTGCGGGACATATGCAACATGCCGTCCACGCCGTCCTTCGAGGGCACCTTCCTGATCGAGCAGATCCTGAAACATCTCATTCCGTGCTCGATCATCACGCCGTTGGACTGCTTCTGGGAAGGAAGTCAACTACTTGGTCCTGAAACGGCCGTGGTTATACCGTAAGTTACTCTTCCTTTGTGATCTGAAAAGTAGACTATAAAATGTCAACCAATACCCCAAGTACCGGGTATTGTTACCAAGATCCCTATTAATTTTAAACTTTGTACCCTCTTCCAGTGGCCTGAACCAGCGACTCTTATGGACTACCCTGAATCCCGCCTCCGTGATGCAATTCATGAAGGAAAAGCTGTCCGACCAGACGACTGGCTTCGACTTTGAGACCGTGGAACAGTACATGAAACGGGCTGGCATCGGCAGTGGCTACATGGAGAAGCCCTGCCTGAATCCCATGAATCCCAGTTGCCCGGACACTGCGCCGAACAAGAACAGCACCCAGCCCCCGGATGTGGGAGCCATCCTATCCGGAGGATGCTACGGATATGCGGCCAACTACATGCACTGGCCGGAACAGCTGATCGTGGGGGGAGCCAAGAGGAATCGCAGCGGGCACCTGAGAAAGGCCCAGGCCCTGCAGACGGTGGTCCAGCTGATGACCGAGAAGGAGATGTTCGACCAGTGGCTGGGACACTACAAGGTCCACCACCTCGGCTGGTCGCAGGAGAAGGCCGCCGAAGTGCTGAACGCCTGGCAGCGGAACTTCTCCCGCGAGGTGGAGCAACTGCTCCGCAAGAAGTCACGGATTGGCGCCAACTACGACATCTTTGTCTTCAGCTCGGCAGCCCTGGACGACATCCTGGCCAAGTTCTCGCACCCCAGTGTCCTGTCCATAGTAATTGGAGTGGCCATCACGACGCTATATGCCTTCTGCACTCTCCTCCGCTGGCGGGATCCTGTCCGGGGCCAGAGCAGCGTGGGCGTGGCCGGAGTCCTGCTCATGTGCTTCAGCACCGCCGCCGGCTTGGGGCTGTGCGCCCTGCTGGGCATCGTCTTCAATGCCGCCAGCACCCAGGTGGTGCCCTTCCTGGCCCTGGGACTGGGCGTGGACCACATCTTCATGCTGACGGCGGCCTATGCGGAGAGCAACCGCCGGGAGCAGACCAAGCTGATCCTGAAGAAGGTGGGACCCAGCATCCTGTTTGGTGCCTGCAGCACGGCGGGATCCTTCTTTGCGGCTGCCTTCATCCCGGTTCCGGCTCTGAAAGTCTTCTGCCTGCAAGCGGCCATAGTCATGTGCTCCAACCTGGCGGCAGCCATCCTGGTTTTCCCGGCTCTCATTTCGCTGGACTTGCGGCGACGCACCGCGGGACGGGCTGACATCTTCTGCTGCTGTTTCCCGGTCTGGAAGGAGCAGCCAAAGGTGGCGGCTCAGCCGGTACTTCCCCTGAACAACAACGGCCGGGCTGCCAGGCACCTCAAGCACTGCAACAACAACCGGGTGCCGCTCCCGCAGCCGGCCCAGAACCCACTGTTGGAGCAGGGGGAACCCAAGTCCTCGGGCTACACGCTGACCACTTTCTCGTTGTCCAGTTTTGCCTTTAAGTACTATGCCCCGTTCCTGATGCGCAGCTGGGTGAAGTTCCTGGCTGTCATGGGCTTCGTGGTGGCCCTGATCTTCAGCCTGTACGCCTCCACGCGGCTGCAGGACGGCCTGGACATCATCGACCTGGTGCCGAAGAACAGCAACGAACACAAGTTCCTGGATGCCCAGACGCGACTCTTCGGCTTCTACAGCATGTTCGCCGTGACCCAGGGCAACTTCGAGTATCCCACCCAGCAGCAGTTGCTGAGGGATTACCATGATGCCTTCGTCCGGGTGCCGCATGTCATCAAGAACGACAACGGCGGACTACCGGACTTCTGGCTGCTGCTCTTCCGCGACTGGCTGAGCAACCTGCAGCGGATATTCGACGAGGAGTATCGCGACGGAAAGCTAACCAAGGAGTGCTGGTTCCCCAATGCCAGCAGCGACGCCATCCTGGCCTACAAGCTCATCGTCCAGACGGGTCACGTGGACAATTCGGTGGACAAGGACCTGGTGCTCACCAATCGGCTGGTCCACAGTGACGGCAACATCAACCCGAGAGCCTTCTACAACTACCTGTCAGCATGGGCCACCAACGATGTCTTTGCCTATGGAGCTTCACAGGTTAGTCCAGGAGAGTGTAGATCCTTTTGGCCCAACTAACCATGTCCTTTTTACTTTGCAGGGAAAACTGTATCCTGAACCGCGTCAGTATTATCACCAGCCCAACGAGTACGATCTGAAGATACCCAAAAGTCTGCCCCTGGTCTATGCCCAGATGCCGTTCTACCTGCACGGCCTTACGGACACCTCGCAAATCAAGACTCTGATAGGTCATATCCGTGACATAAGCATCAAGTTCGAAGGCTTTGGTCTCCCCAATTATCCTTCGGGTAAGTCCCTCAATCTATACTCCAAATATTCCAGATATTAATCCTTTGCTTTCCAATCTTTAGGTATTCCTTTCATGTTCTGGGAACAGTACATGTCCCTGCGCTCTTCGCTGGCCATGATCCTGGCCTGCGTGTTCCTGGCTGCTTTGGTGTTGGTCTCCCTCATCCTGCTCTCCGTCTACGCTGCGGTTATCGTCATCCTGAGTGTCCTGGCCTCGCTGGCCCAGATCTTTGGAGCCATGACTGTGCTGGGGATTCAGTTGTCGGCTATCCCATCGGTTATCCTGATTCTCAGCGTGGGCATGATGCTGTGCTTCAATGTTTTGATATCCTTGGTGAGTAGTCGCTGAAACATCCTACCCTTCGAGCTGAAACTGAAACTGTCTTCTTTCCTTTTAAAGGGCTTCATGACCTCTGTGGGCAATCGACAGCGCCGCGTCCAGCTGAGTATGCAGATGTCGTTGGGCCCGCTGGTCCATGGGATGCTGACCTCCGGCGTGGCAGTCTTTATGCTGTCCACCTCGCCCTTTGAGTTCGTCATCCGACACTTTTGCTGGCTCCTGCTGGTGGTCCTCTGCATTGGCGCCTGCAACAGCCTCCTGGTGTTCCCCATCCTGTTGAGCATGATCGGTCCGGAGGCGGAGCTTGTGCCGCTGGAGCATCCCGACCGGATATCGACACCCTCGCCGCTGCCTGTCAGGAGCAGCAAGCGATCGGGCAAGTCGTATGTGGTCCAGGGATCCAGATCCTCGCGCGGTGGATGCCAGAAATCCCACCACCACCACAACCACAAGGATGCAAACGATCCCTCGCTGACGACCATCACCGAGGAGCCGCAGTCCTGGAAGTCCAGCAACTCCTCCATCCAGATGGCCAACGACTGGAATGCGCCAATGGCGGCCAATTGCAATGGCTACCAGCCGGCGCCGAGGGAATCGCGACAGTCCACCTATGCGGCCCCACCTCCCGCATACCACAAAGCCACCGCGCCACCGTTAACACCCCCAACGCCGCCGCCCGCCTTCCAGCCGGCCTATCCGCCGGAGCTGCAGAGCATCGTGGTGCAGCCGGAGGTGACGGTGGAGACGACACACTCGGACAGTAACACCACCAAGGTGACGGCCACGGCCAACATCAAGGTGGAGCTGGTGACGCCCGGACGGGCGGTGCGCAGCTACAACTTTACAAGTTAGCACTAGTTCCTGTAGCCATTAGCCCGTATCTGTAATCCTAGACTAAGATCCGTATTTGTATAATCGGTTTGTCCTGCAGGCTGGCTGGCTTTCGTCCTTTTTTGGCATTTAGAAGTTTAATGTACAGGTGTCCCCACAACAAACAGGATCATTTAAAGAAAAAAAACTAATTTTTTTTTGGAAAAATAAGAAAGGAAAAGCCAAGTCCAGCCTGCGTGTATGTATATGTGTATGCATGATAGTTAATTTTCCGGATTCCGGTATTTTAAGCGGCTGCCTCCTTGTTCTCCTAAACCTCCTATACCATCCTTGCCCTGAAAAAGTCCCTGCTCCTCCTCCTATTTGGAACCCCTCTGCCTAGCAGCTTTGTATGTATGTATCTTAGTACCTAAGACATTCTTAAACATAGAGTTATTTATTGTAACACACAACAACAAAAACAACAAAAAACATAAGCAACCAATGTACTTACATACAAATTCAACGCGAGATTCAAATCCCACTCCCACACACTAGTAATTTCTAGTTTATAATTTAGTTTAAATATGTACATAAAACACAAGGACTTGAACCAAAATAGTATCGCTTAAACGGAAACGAAAGAAAATTACTAACTATAACTTAAATCGACTTCAAATAAAGTCGTTTTCCCTCCCAAAAAAAACAAAAAAACAAAATATAATATAATATAAATATTAATAATAATAACACGATATAAATAATTGAAAAAATCGAAGCTACGAACGAGGATTTATTTAAAGATTGTAAACGCGGCATTTATCCATGTACATTTGTTGCACAAAGACTGACTGTCTTTTTTTTAAATAAAAATATATATATTACACAGTTTTTTAAAAGCGAATATAACAGTCTATTTAATGGAGAGGGTTTGCAAGATTAAAAATGTCTTTTTTTTAAAGGTTTTGAGCCAAGATAGCTTTTTTAGATCTAAAGATCTCACCATGAACCATGGTTACTTATATAAACTGCTAAGAGCATTAAGAAAGTTAGAAATTGCTTTCTAAAAACAAACTATTTAAAATTCCCGCCCAAGATCGCAATGGCGGAAGTTCTCCTTTTTTTTTAAACTACAAATTGGAAAAAATACCTCCAAGTTTAACATTTTTTGTTGTAAAAATTGTAATTATTATGAACGCTGATTTTTACTGTAAATTTTTATAAACCTTATAATTCAAATTCAAAAATACGTTATTTTTCAAATGTGGTTCCGCCGTTTTTTCCGGCAACACCGTGCGGAGGAGTTGCCAGATGTCGCCAACGAAAATTATACCAAAAATACTAAGAAAAATACTGAAACCCTTTGCTTACAAGAACTCTGGCAACCCTGGATATTAATTCGCCAGCCCTGGACAGCTGTAAATCGCAATAAAAAACAACATATTATAAAATCGTAAATAGCAGCCCAAAATTAAATCAAAACAGCTTAATTGCCGCATCATGTGAGTAAGTGGAAGGCAGATGCATTGGACAAAACAGTTGCAGTTGAAATTCATGAAAAGAACTTTTGGAAAAATCATCGTCGGCATTTGCGCGTTGGTGTGTGTTTGTGTGTGAGAGAGAGAATGAAAATAATCTCGTGGCAAAAACAAGGAGCTGCGGCGAAGATCAGAAATTTCTGTTAGAAATCTGGTTCTCTTGTTGGTTCTCTTAAAAGTTGGAGGTCCAGAGACGCGTAAGAGTGCTCCCCTTCGTTGGCGCGACGTATAAAAGCTGGAAGCACAACAGGAATCGGGTTTAATCGACAAAATTCACTCGGACGGGAAAGTGCTGTCGCTCGGCGCCGCAAATAGGAATATACTCGCACGAGGCATCGTTTCATGCGGGCGCTAAACTAAGGACGCCTAAACTTAAACTAAAATAAATAAAATAAAACCAAAGGGAAAACCTTAAAACGCAATTGAAACACTTTTAGAGATAGTGTGTAAGTAAAGATATTGTTTTTAGAGTGGCGTGATAAAAAAAAACAGACACACACCAACACACACACACACACACCCCCCAACCGATGCCTGCTTGTGTGTGCGTCTTGTGCTTGTGAGCAATTGTGCAGTTTTGTGAAAGTTTTTTGCGAAAGTTTTTATCAATTAAAGCGCAGTGGCTAAAGCGCTAGCTAGACTATTAAAAATATTTAAAAAATAATAATAAAAAATAAAAAAAAGTCGGAGAGAGAAAACGTGTTGACGCCAACGCAACATTCTATGCTGGTATTACGTGTTCCAAGTGCGTGCGTGTGTGCGTGTTTGTTCTTATTGGCAAAAAAACAACATTGTTTTTTATATAATCAGTGTGTTTTTTGGCTGATTTAGCTGATTTTGTTCTTTATTCTGATGTTTATTCCATGTGCCATCCCATCACCGGACCACCCAAATAACCACGTTTCTGCCACAGACTTTTGAGCGCTTACCAAGGTGAGTCCGAATTATAATGTGTACCTTTCTCAGCTGACGCGACTGCAACTCTCTCTCTCACTCTCTTAATGTGTCTCGCTCTCTTGCTATTCCGCCGGCTGGCCCCTTATTTGGTTTTTCATAAGTCACGCCACCTTATCAATGACGCGTCTGAAATTCAAATATCCTACTTAGCTAAGGTCATGAATCCATCCCAAGTCTCAAGTCTTCTCCACGATGACCCAATTTGCAACCAGCCTGAAAGTGCAACTGCACTGCCACTTATGCAATTGGTTGCCACTGGCAACTTGGACCTCACTATATTGTTGTTTGGTTTTTTGTTTATTGATTTACAGTTAGGCCTAGCCTAAGAAGAGCAACTGGACAAAGAGCATTTGTTTATTTTTTTATTGTTGTTTACTTTGTGGCCAGCTAATTGTTTAGTTTTTTAACGGTTTTTTATAACCCACTAATGGCATTCCTTCCAATAGCCACATAAACAAATCGCCTCCCACTCGTCCTTGCTTGGCTCTCTTTGGCTCTCTCCATCGCTCTCTTAATAACCTCCCGCCCCTGCTTTCTATTGCACGTGTAATTTCCTTGTAATATACTTTCTGCGCAGACTCTCTCTATGTCTGTCTGTCTCTCTCTGTCTGGCCTGGTGTTATACCAACTGAAAATCATGCGAGTTTTTATCATTTGGCCGCCAAAGGGGGCGGCGGGGGCAGGTATCCAGTTCGGGGTCATTCTGTATATACGGCCGTGTGTCATCTGTTTGTGATTTCTCGCAACCAGCTGAGCCTTGGGGGTGGTGGGTTGTTGTTGGTGGAAAAGTGGGCGCGCGTTGCAACGTACCGTGCCACCACTGCTATTGTTTCTAGGGCGCGGCTTTGGACGGAAACGGTAGCAGCGGCGGAAGGCACTTAATAATCGGCATATCATTCCAACTGAATGCGATTTCGCAAAAGTTCAGTACAAATAGATAAACCCGGCGATAAGACAGCTGGATTACGTGAGTTCTGGTTGGAAGACTCGCTCGATTCCGGTTCTTAAAGGTTACTAAGGTAAGAGTGAGTGGCATTTTAGAAAACTATTCAGGTTTAATGATAGTGCGAGGTATTTTAAAGTATGGAATCTTAAATAAAGAATCTTAAAAAGAGTATCTTTAACTTGGAAACTATGGTAAAATAATCTTTAAATAAATGCCAGTAATATTTAATAATCTCATCAATTATCAATCACAAATATATATCTTTTAGTAGCTATAGTTTTTATAAATTTAATTTTAGTTTTTAATTTATTTAATTGAATTTCATGAAATTCCTTTAAAATTCCTCTTCATTTTCCTCTTAAGGATTAATGTTCTCCAGAAACATGCCATTTGTGGGAGTAGTTCCCCCCTTTCCTCCGATACCTTGTCGTGGGTGGTCTCTCTGTGTGTTTGCCGGTCTCCTCCGCTTTCATTCATGGCCAGACGACCTCCCACTCCCACTTTAGTCGCGGTAGTCCATGTAAACAATTTGCTCTTTGACCTTTGAGCACTTCGAACCGCCCGCCTCCCCTCCCTGCTAGGGAGTCGAGTTGTATCTCTTAAGCTTTTGCTCTTCGCCCTGTGCAGTACAGTAGGGCAGTACACTCGCGCACCCGCCACTTGGCTCTCTCGATTACTCACCATCGCCACCAGCGTTGCACTCTCTTCGCCGCAGTCCGTGTACTTTGTTTTAAGCTTCAGCAGCATTTCCCCTGAAACTCATACGATTTTCAGCTGGTATAACGAAAGAAAAACGTGCCACACAGTGCTAGCTAGCTGCTTGCCACAAGCCGCCTCACCACCCCACTAGACGGCCCCTTTGCCTTGTGCCGCGTGACTTTTTCCCATAGCTACACTGAGAGAAATTAAAGTTGAAATATTATAAATAAAATAAAAGATGTCTATAAATTATAAATTAAATAAAAATATCTTAAAATAGTTTTTATTTTTCATTATATGGGCAATTCTCCAGAAAGGTCAACCGCAGCCAAAAAATTAAAAGTTCATAAAAATATGTTTTTTTTGCATATTCGTGCAATGTATTTATTAAATGTAACTAATGTAAGCCAATTTTATGTTTACTCATAACACATTTTGAAATATTTCAATGCAAAGTAGACCAAGTGCGAAAGTTCTACTTTTGGCGTTTCTAATGCTCGTTTTGTTTTAAATAATTTTCTTAAAGAGAGTCATTGAGCATTGATATTCGCTTTTCTAAATCTCCATATATATTGAAAGAATATGAAAATGATGTAAAAAAAACGATGCGATTACTAATAGGGGCGAATTTCTTTTGAGCTTATTTGTCTTTACCAATGTCGCGTTCGACAGTGAAAAAGACTATTAGTTATCAGTGCATCCAAGGTTTTTGTCGAAGGAGCACCAAATATCGTGCCCAAACGTAGATTTTTGCGCTAAACAAATTTAAAAAAAATTTGGTTCAATATAAGCAGCAATTCGAGTTTGGATCGCTTTTAAAGTTTGTCGCGTGCGACATTGTAAGTAAAAAATTAAAAAAATTTTTTTTTTTTTTTTTTAATATATATTTTTGTATACCAGTTTTAGTGTAAACGAATGCAGGAAACGAAAAAATCAAATCCAACTGCAAATGTTGGCGAGAAAATATAAAAAAAGATGAACAAAAATTATTGAATTTATTGAAGATATTTTGTTAAGTTTGAAATTGATGTAAGAAATAATAAAAAAAAATATTGATGCATCAAAAATAATTTAAATACATCCTTTGCACTTCTCATTACCTAAAAAGAAACAAAAACAACACAAAAAGTATGGTGGAAGAAAGTGTCGCGTGCGACATGTAGCGTGCGACAGTGATTCAAATTCAATTTAAAAGCAAACTGCTTTATATTTTTAAGTCAAACGAAATGCATTATTAAGAACAATCAATACTTAACATTTTAAAATTAATTGCATTACAATTATCCATCACGTTTCGCTGAAATCAGTGCTTGAACTGGTTTTCGAAAAAGTGACTTCTGTTTTTGTCGCGTGCGAATGCCTCACATTTTTGTGATTATCTTGATGATAAACAATTGCCCAAAATCTATCTTAGCACAGATTATAGTGCTAACCAAGAGCCTTAAGATTCGCATTTAGAAAAAAAAAAAAAAAAACCCATGCACATTTTTTTTCAGTTTTATTGCGTACAAATGTCGCGTTCGACATCAGAGAATTGCCCATATTATGTTATGGTTATTTTTTTAAGTGCATTTCAAGTTGCATTTGTTGCCTTTCTTTTCCATTCTCTTTCTCTAGTTCTCTACTCTTCTAGCCTCTTTCCCTTTCCCTCCTCCCTGTCGGGCGCTGTGTCAAAAATAGTCACGCGATGTCTGGGCGACTAAAGTCTCTCTCCGACCACCCCTCGCCCAGTGCAGCCACCCCGCCCCCCGTACTTTGTCGTGTAATCGGCCTGTTGCCCCACCCCCCCGATTTGGCTCTTTGCCCTATAGGGCTTTAACTGCCTAGCTTAACCGTTACTTTTTCATCCAAAGAGCTGGATGCAACAGCTGCCTCTGTTGCACTCTCTTTCCACCCCGATTTTTAAATAGAATCCATTACACAACGTACTATTTTGGACTTTTAAATTGGAATTTCGTAAAAAATGATATATCATTTCCTTTTAAAAATAAATGTCTGTAGGGGTTGGATTATCAAGAGCTTATCTAGAGGATATTTTTTGTACAAATCACTGTGACTATTTCTTCAAATAAGATTAGATTAGATTGAGATTCATAACTAAGTCAACTCTTTATTAGTTTTTGGGTTTTTTTCAAAGGGGTTTTCCAAACTTTAAGAAGATTACTTATTTGTTAAAAGTTTTTTTTTTAAGTTTTAAACTTTTCTTATATGTATGGAACGGAGATAAAGTTTACATTTTGTGCTTCCTGTTTCTATTTCTGGTTCCCCTATGTAGTTATACTCTTACTGAGGGTATTATAATTTTGTTTAAAAGTGTGCTTTGGAGTAAAGGAATTGTTCTCTGATATTTAAGTTTCTATTAAGATTTTTCAGCTATATCAGATATTTGCATTATATGAATATATATCTTCAATTCCTTACATTTATTCCTTACCCATCCAGTTGGTAAGGGTATGTACTATATCCCTTCCTATATTATAATGGTTTAAAAATCTTAAAATTCAAACACATGTATTTTCATAGCCTACTTTTAAGGGCGGCTAGCAGTCCACTAGAAATAAAGAGTAGAATTTTCCCGTTGTTTTGCGTATGCTAACATTCCAGAAGAAGCTTTAATTTAGTAATTATTCAATAAAACTTTTAAGAATAATTATTAAAAAAAAGTGCCCTCCTCCTCGATTCTCATAGTTGGCACTTAAGCAGGCCCGAAAAATCGAAAAAATTAATTATTTATTTTTTAATATTTTTTTTTTGTAAACTTTTAAAAATAATTATTTTAAAAAATAGTGCCCTCCTCCTCGATTCTCATAGTTGGCACTTAAGTAGGCCCGAAAAATCGGAAAAATAATTATTAATTTTTAAAAAATAATTTTTTTTATAAACTTTTAAAAATAATTAATTTAAAAAATAGTGCCCTCCTCCTCGATTCTCATAGTTGGCACTTAAGCAGGCCCAAAAAATCTGGCAAATTAATGATTTATTTTTAATAATAATTTATTTTGGTTTTTTTTTAACTTCATACATAAGCTCCTACTTCAATGCAAGGGTATACCAACTTCGTCTAAAACCCAATCTTAGGTGAGCTCTCCTATCTTGTTTTGAAACATTCTATGTTTGGAAAACAACTAGTTTCTGGCAGGGGCTTTACTAAGAGGGGTATACCCTCATCAAACATTCAACAGAATCCCCAAACAACTCAGCCCCTGGATCGTATGGGCATTACTTGTGTTTGTTATTTAGTCATGACTTTGGTAGATTTTCTAACCGGTTTTTGGCGCAGTACCGCTTTGATTAAACCGGGTCTCTGGCTACGCTTCTGGCGCACGATCATTGCCAAAGTCGAGTCGAGCTAGCCTCTTGCCTTGTTTTTCTTTATTTTTTTTTTTTTGGAAAATTTCACTCCAACACGTGCTTGGCGGTAGATGGTCACTCTAATGATAAAGTACACTGCGATGCAGGCTTGTCTAGGTCATTTATTTTAGCGCTACGCGGTTGTTGTCTTACTTTCTCACAGGGGGGTGGGGAGGGAGAGCTCATTTGAATATCATGGGAAGTGAGCGAGTGCAAAAGAGAGTGAGAGGTAAGAGAGAGCTTCAAGATCATGAATTCTTTCTCCCCTACACGCTGGGAGGTGTGTGGGTGTAGTGGTCTCTTTCTCTCTCTGTAATCTCACCCACACACGATTAGTTTGTTTGTTTTGCATGTTTGTTGCTCTTTTTTTTTTCGACTTTTTACGTTTTTTTCAATGAAATACTCTGTTGTATCTGATGCTGTTGGCCTGTGCCTTTATTTCAATCTCGTTTGAGCAATTTTTTGTTATTTATTCTCGTTTTTATGCGAGTACAGCGAGTATTTTTATTTTGGACTTTGGCACAGTCATACGATGATTTTGTTACCCCATTATTACCCAGAGAACAGAGGACGGGCAGACAGATAGAAAGAGATGGATGATGTACACACGTAACGTGTGCATGGAATAAAAAAACAAAAATCAGAAAAAAAAAAATTAAAAATACTGCAATTCAATTTAATTATGTTCTCACTTTCCTACACCAGTAATATTCTCCAATGTCAAGGCAATCAGCTGATGAATAATTTCCCGTTACAATACCTAGACCAAAGTTCAAGGTACTACTACTACTACGACTGCCATTTTGCTGCAAATATTTACCGTAAACAGAGCAACAGCTGATTGCGAGAGAACTGAACTGTAAAATAAACAGAAATGCATCTTTGAGATACGAATACGGATACGGATACATATCTCCTTTCCATCAAAGAATGTGGGTCTTGGAACGTGTGTTTACTTCGTAGTTCTCCAAATCCAAGTACAAAGACAAAAGTCCACGTAGGGGGGATACTATTCGAATGACGTGGTATCTGGTCTTTGTTCGTTTTATTCCAAAAACACACACAAGTCAGTAATATAATTAATGTTGAACGGTGAACATCAGAGGTATAGCTTTGAACCCGAGACTCGAAATTAAAAATCAAGCTTGACATTCCCACTGATGTCAGCAGAAAAAAACGAGGTTCGTTCAAGTTCGAGGTTTGTTTTGGTTGCAGTTCCAAAAAGGCATCTATAAGGCCACACAAATCGTACAAAAAACAGTTAGAACCAATCACTATAACCAGCTGTAATTAAGGCCAGGTTGGTTCTATTGTTCTGTTAGAAGCAATTAAACAAGTTTCACTTCCAATAGTCTGTGATTTAAAATGCACTTGACCAGAGTAGGTACCAGAGTAGGTGATTAAATGCATGAAATGCCGTACCTGGTTATCAAAACTCCACTTGATAATATTTTATACTTTGTATTGCACTGCACTTCCTTAAATATTAAATGCGCAATAAAATATTAATGTTCTTATAGTTATTTTTAGAAAATAACATTTTAATGGTTTCCGAGCTTCAGAGTGTTGAGTGTTTTTTAATGTGCCACAATGACTTTTGACCTTTGTTCGGGTTAAAGTGGCCGCCTGGCTTGTTGTAAGAAATTACGCATACGCCCTGTGTGCTATGGTGTGGAATCGGATCTGATTCAATCAGTAGTACTATGATTAGGTAGTGGGCAGTGTCTCGTTCCAAAGTACGGATTACAGTAATCACAGGCTTAATAGAGACCTAGGAAACAATTTCCTAGTCTCGAGAGCTTGGACTCTAACACGCCATAGTGGGTATAGCTTTAAATATCTTCTCGATTTCTGAATTTCACTTGAAATAATGATCTTAACCCACTGTGCCGCGTTACCTCCTCGTTCTTCGCAAACAAAACACGTATTTTTGGAGTTTATGGCCAGTGGGGGGATATCCGAGGAAAAGATCTGTATTTTGGGGCCAGTTCAATGCACTCCGATGTCCAGCTCGACTTGAAATGAAAGTTTCACATATTTTCGGGATTTTTTATATCAGGTGGTTATCATTGCATAATGGACGAACTTTGGTTTGAATTGTTTATCTCTTAAATCCATAAGATATCGCCTTTCGAAGCGGATATATGGTAGAGTCTAGACTTTGAACCTTCAGCGCCTTCCTTCAAAATAAACAATCAAAGTTGTAAGTAATTTTTTGTAAATTAATGCCAAGGAATTCTTGAGGTTCTATAGATGTCCCCGACCTATGCCAATGTTTCTCAGAGAGATAGAGAGAGAGAGTGGAGAACTGCAGAGAGATAGTGGGTCTTAGAAGCGATTATGCAATGTCTCTCTTGTTTTAATTTTAGTCTAAATTTTAAGATGAACTACGTATATATATATATATTTATTTTCTTTATTTTTGGCAAATATCCAGATACCTAATAGATACATATATCTGACTCTCTCTATTGATAAGAATTATAATTGTTTTGTTTTTATTTGTTTTTTTTTTGGTTTTGGTTGCTTTACTCCCCTTATCCCCCTCAATGTTTCATATTGTGTTTCCATATTGTGATGACATCTATATCATATCCATACATATTCGTTCTATTTCCGGTTACAGGTGAAAACATAATTCAGAACAGCATCCATTGTTACTCGTCCTTGTTGTCCAAAGAACCCCCTTCATCGGAGGATACTCATCAGGATCCCCTCATCTCTGCATTTCATCAGAGCCTCTAATTGCTATTGAAGATCGGGCCGGAAAAATAAACAAAAATCCGCCAACATGTTCATCGAAGATGATGCGCAGTAAGTACCACTCTGATCCCTAAGTGTTTTCCATTCGGTAGCTGGAGTTGTGGTGATGGAATTATTATATAGAACTATATGGAAATACCCCTGACATCATGCTTCGTTACGCAATTCAAGTTCAGGGCTTCACTGGATGGGCTTATCAGGCCGGAATACACATTGCAACATGTATTATAGAATGACTCGTCCGGAAAAATGAATAATTTCTTTAAAAAAATAATAATAATTTCTAGGAAATTTAAATCTCTTTAATTAAGTCAGTTATTTTTAATTAAAAATTATTTTGAAGCGATAACCAGATGGTCCGATGACGTCCGGAAGTGGGTCTATTTTCTCCAAAAGACTGGATATTTTTGGCTTTAAGATAACCTGGGTTTCTAATCAAAAAAATATACGATTTTCAGTATTATAAATTAGGAAGTATGAGACTGGTTTCCCAGATCGTAAAGATTATAATGAATTATGGGCCAATTCCTTGATTTTTGACAACTATAGGGCTCTTGACAACTAATCGTGGTAGTTGCAAGAATTGGTAATTCTGATAAGAAACCAGAACAGCACTTAGTCAAGGGTCCAGACGAATACCAGACCCAAGAACTTGACTAAGAGGGCCTTACTATCGAGGCTAGTGACGAAGACTCGGACTTCGGATTCCCAACAATCTCGAGGCTGATAAAGAGCCGAACGAACGAACACAACCCTTTCGAGCAGCCTACTCTCCAAAGCGTGTTTCGGTTATCGGGGATTTTGTGAAAAGCGTTTTCTGAGCACCAAGACCCCAACGATCGAGACCGCCCGCCTGAGAGCTGGCAACCCTTTCCAAGTCTTGCTAACGGTGGCAGCAGCAACAGGTGCCGATATCAGTTGGTTTTCGGTTTTCGACGCTGCTACAACGACTTGGGGTGGGTGGTTGTGTCCAATGGGGCGTATACGTAATACGTGTGGGAACTGAACCCAAATCGTCGTCGTTTAAAATTTGCATACCAATTGGTTACTAATTTCTATATTTTTTTTTCTTCCAGAATGGAAAGCTTCTGGGTGCTGGTCTCAATTGGAGCGATCAAGGCGATCACCTGCGTATACGATATTGTTACGTTGCCGATCTATTTGGTCCTGCAACAGCCATGGAAGCGTCGACAGGATTCGCGGCGAGTGAAGGTAAGCAGTCTCCTCTAAGCGGTACTAACTAACTAGGCAGTTTAGTTTCAAAAGTTAATTAATGTTAGGTGCTATTGCGACGCCCAGAAATACAAAAACTATCTCTGGAATCGTATGAGATACTTTCGACTTTGAACTGGACGTTCCAAAGTGCATAGACAATTGCCCGCCATAGTTTCTATTTGTTATACGAAAAGTGCACACTCGTTATCAGTTTGATTACTTTTATTTAATATTTTCTATATATATATATATTTTTGCTTTATAGTAGAACCGCCTTCTTCACCTTGAAACTTGTTCTAAGCGGGGAGAGCTTCCAACAATCTATATTTCTTATCAAAGATTCGCTTTTTATTTAAAAATATTCCAAGAGAGTGCTGTGCTAGGACGTTGTCAGGCAAAGGTATAGATCCTGATAAGAGGGTCTAGAAAGTTAGACTGCAACTATTGTAGATTTTTAGAAGCCCCGAAGAACTCTCTACCTTTGTAGAGTTGTGTGTCTCTTTCTCCTCATTATCTAATATGGAATGCTTTTTGGTTGGAAGGCTGATAAGGTTTATGGGTTACGGTTGTTATGCCAACGAAACGACGGAAATTATAACCGTGTTGTGTTCATCATAAATTCGTGGCCAGCTTGCTATAAACCTTGAGAGTAACTCAATAAAAATTGCTATTAAAACAAATCCATTTCGTACATCAATAAATAATCAAACTTCAAAATTTCTGATAATAATAATTTGACCCTCTATGGATGATAACTGGCTTCTCACCGCATCTTCTCTCAACATCTCCTACTTCCCCAACAGGCCAAGCCCATTAACCAGAAAATGTTGGTCGATGAGTCCAAGTACGCGCCGGATGACATTGAGGTTGAAATCAATATTTTTTTGAAAATAGTCTTATAATAATATCTGTTTTGGAACGTACACACACATACACACACACACTGGGGCACCCCCATACCACACACACATACACATACACTAGCACAATATATATGTTCCAAGGATTGGGTATAATCGTACTCAGAGTAAAGTTCCCCCCGGTTGGGTCATGTTTGGAGAATCTCTGTTTTTTTTTGGTGTCGGTCATCCTGAGTTCTCCGGTCTCTCCTGAGTTGTGGCCCCCACCCACCCATAAAACCCGCCCCCCAATAAACTCACATGTCTGTTATCTCTCTCTATTGCTGTCTTCTCTCTCTCTCTATTTGTGGCCCCTCCCCTAATCTCTGGCGTTATTCGGATCGAAACCCCTGACATGACCTGAAACTAATCGCTTTGAACTAATCTTTTCCCCCGAAAAAAGGCAAAGATCGTAAAGAACGATGACCATGAGCTGACCTACCGGACTACGGATCCGCCGCGTGATGTCCACGTGAAGATGCTGCAGGAGAACATCGACACCCTGGAGAAGGTCTTCAACTATGTGGCCAAGACCTTCACCTCGAAACGGTGCCTGGGCACGCGTCAAATCCTCAGCGAGGAGGACGAAGTGCAGCCCAACGGACGCGTCTTCAAGAAGTACAACCTGGGCGACTACAAGTGGAAGACCTTCACCGAGGCGGAGCGAGCCGCCGCCAACTTTGGTCGCGGACTGCGCGAACTGGGCCAGGCGCCCCGCGAGAACATTGTCATCTTCGCCGAGACCCGGGCCGAGTGGTTGATCGCCGCCCACGGATGCTTCAAGCAGGCCATGCCCATTGTCACCGTCTACGCCACCCTGGGAGATGATGGAGTTGCCCACTGTGAGTACAAACCAAGAGAATACCCTGAATCCTAGGTTAACCTTTGAATTCTTGTCGGTTAGGCATCACCGAGACGGAAGTCACGACGGTCATCACCTCGCACGACCTGCTGCCCAAGTTCAAGACCCTCTTGGACAAGTGCCCGCTGGTGAAGACCATCATCTACATCGAGGATCAGCTGAGCAAGACGGAGACCACGGGATTCAAGAGCGGCGTCAAGATCGTGCCCTTCAACCAGGTCCTCAAGACGGGACAGGAGAGCAAGTTCGGTACGTTTGTTAAAGATCATATCTATTTGGCCAATCAAGGAATCCAAACGCCAGGAATGGGTCATGTTCTAAAGGGAGTCTTGGAGGTCTTGGTGGACTCTCCGTCGTGAGCCGCCGGTCTCGCCATCGTGGTGGACGTTGCTATGGAGACCGTGCTGGCCGTAGTGGCTCCTTTCTCCAATACATGCCTCTTATGCTGGATTTCCTCTTCATCCTCTGAGCCAACCCGGAATGCCGTTGAAGCCTTTTGGGGATTCCCATATCGCCATCTAAAGGAGGACATACTAAAGTCTGGGGAGGAGGATTTCTTGGGGGATCTCACCTCATATCGCTTGCGGAGGTGCCGCTGACGGGCTGCAGCAAGATGGGCGTCTGCGAGGAAGCATGCTCACTCACCAGACTGGGCGTTGGTACGCTGCTAATGACCTCGATCTTCGCCGTCACATGGTTCTGGTTTGCGATGGCTTCCCGATCCCGGCAATAGTTACGATAGGCCCGGTAGATGAGCACCCCACAGTACACGCCGAAGAGCGACAGGAACAGGCCGCATCCTTGTTGTTTGGGTGGCTCGGTGGCCAGCAGGGAGTTGACCTGCTGGACACAGTTGAGGGGCGTCAGGGTGATAAAATCGTCGAAAACGTCTGACATTTTGGACTACAAGTCGAGGCCGGCTGATAATTTTGAAAGTATATTATTTGGAGAACCGGAACAGACTGGAATCTGTTAGAGGCTTGGGGATAGGTGACACTATTGGGGCGGCACTCTAAGCTCCACAAAGGTCCTTAAACTAACTAGTTCCTATTTTTGTATTCTTCTAGAAAACGTGCCACCCAAGGGAGATGACATTGCCATCATCATGTACACCTCAGGATCCACGGGCACACCCAAGGGTGTACTGCTGTCCCACAAGAACTGCATTGCCACGATGAAGGGCTTCGTGGACATGGTCCCCATCTATCCGGATGACGTCCTCATCGGATTCCTGCCCCTGGCCCACGTTTTCGAACTGGTGGCGGAGAGTGTGTGCCTGATGACCGGCGTGCCCATTGGCTACTCGACACCACTGACCCTGATCGATACCAGCAGTAAGATTCGACGCGGATGCAAGGGAGACGCCACGGTTCTGAAGCCCACATGCATGACCTCGGTGCCGTTGATACTCGATCGCATCTCCAAGGGCATCAACGACAAGGTCAACTCTGGCTCTGCCTTCCGCAAGTCGCTCTTCAAATTCCTCTACCAGTACAAGGTCAAGTGGGTGCAGCGCGGCTACACGACGCCTCTGATTGACATGTAAGAAGTCATTTGAATCCTTTGGATTGAAACTTGAAGACTAATCCCTTCCCTCACTTGGCAGGTTGGTGTTCAAGAAGGTTGCCAAGCTGATGGGCGGCAAGGTCCGCATCATCATGTCGGGAGGAGCCCCTCTCTCGGCCGATACCCATGAGCAAATCAAGACCTGCCTGTGCCTGGATCTCATTCAGGGATATGGCCTCACGGAAACCACCTCAGGAGCCACAGTTATGGATTGTAAGTAGGATCTCACCCACTCTGGAAACCATAGTTAACACACTTTCGTCTTCCAGACCGCGATATGAGCTATGGCCGCACTGGAGGACCTCTGACCGTCTGCGACATTCGTTTGGTGAACTGGGAGGAGGGCAACTACCGCATCACCAACAAGCCCTATCCCCAGGGTGAGGTGCTCATTGGCGGCGAGTGCGTCTCTCAAGGTTACTACAAGCTACCCGGCAAGACCAACGAGGACTTCTTCGAGGAGGATGGACGACGGTGGTTCAAAACTGGAGACATTGGAGAAATCCAAGCCGATGGCGTACTTAAGATTATTGGTAAGAATTCCGCACTCTTTCAATGAAGCTACATGACTAACTTCGAATAATCCCACCTTTAGATCGTAAGAAGGATCTGGTTAAGCTGCAGGCCGGCGAATACGTCTCACTTGGAAAGGTTGAATCGGAACTGAAAACTTGTGCTATTATTGAGAACATTTGCGTCTATGGTGATCCCACCAAGCAGTTCACGGTCGCGCTGGTCGTGCCAAACCAAAAGCATCTGGAGGAGCTGGCTGAGAAACACGGACTGCTCAACAAGACCTTCGAAGAACTCTGCTCCTCGCCGATCATGGAACAAGCCGTGCTCAAGGAAATTGCTGAACATGCGCGGAAATGTAAGTTAACTAAAGATATATATCCTTGATATCCAAATCTTATCAAATCTTATGCCCTTTTTTTAGGCAAATTGCAAAAGTTTGAAGTACCGTCTGCCATAACGCTGTGCAAGGACGTTTGGTCACCAGACATGGGCCTGGTGACGGCCGCCTTTAAGCTGAAGCGCAAGGATATCCAGGACAGATATCAGCATGATATTAACCGCATGTACGCCTCATGAAAGTCAGCATACTAAACTAGAAAGAGCAAAAGCCGATACGACAACAACACGGAGAGACAACTACGTTAGTGGAGCAGCAGCAATGAAGCTAGTGCGATATAGTAGTGGCGATATAGTAGCCCCCACACCCCATAAGACACAAGCATGCGTACCAAATCCAAATCCAAAACCAAGCTAGCCCATGTCCATATAGATTTGAAAGTCAGGCCAAACACAAGGATGTATAAAAAGAAAAAGTTCTCATTTACAAATTGGTTCTGTTCCCTATTGTTTGCTAGATTCTTTTTTTTTTTTAAATTATTCGTCTTTTTTAATTATAATAAATGAAGTTTGTTGAAGTTTCGTTGGTAGATAGAAGTAGCTCTGGTCTGGTAGTTTGGTTTGGAATCGAAAGTGCGCGCTGTTTATGGGCCTAAAATGCTGTAGAACAGATAATGACAATGATAATGATAATAATAATAACTGAATGGCAATGATGATAATGAATGAATGAATAATTAATAATTAATTGTATAATGTACAGTTTTTGGTTTTTAGTACATTTTTTGGCAAATGAAAATTATAAGTAAACAATACTTATTTTTATAGTAAGCTTAAGTGGTTGCCTATTAATTATGTACATACAAATATACACACCTACATCTATATACTTGCATATACATACGTGTATAATAAATTTAATAATTAGTGTACTCCTCTATTCTAAGTTTAATGTATGGCATCCCAGAAGCAACATGAATTGTAGCAGCGACTTGATAATGAATTAAAACACAACACAACAGCTAAACACATTAAATATTTTCTTGAATAATGCTTATTCTAAGCATTAAAATACCATCTAACTACAAAAATGGAAACCATCCAAAAATTATTTTTAATAAACTCAAAGGCAGAAAGGTTACAAATGGCAAATGTAAAATGTATATTTTAGCTCAATTTAGTTAAAGAAAAGAAGCTAAATCAAATGAATTTTATTAATTAATGTCGAAAACACATACAGAGAAAAGTCAAAATTAAAAAGCAACAATGAAAGACTTAGTACTAAAATAAAACAAAAAAGGTACAGCAAGAAAACCCCAACAAAACCGCCTAATTTAAAAAATAATTAAACAAAGATTTAATTCTGTTTTAGATGTGCAAAAAGTCTTGAATACAATTTAGTCATATTTTAGTTAAACTATGTATATTTAGGGAACGTTTAGCAATTTTTTGATGGGAAACGTTGCGTTTCTTTTTTTTAAATAAAATTCAAATGATGAGAAATATTTTTGAATTTCTGTAAAAATCGTGTCGTAGCATTTGTTTTTCCAACTTCGGACTTCAACTATCATCCGGATCAAATAGATTATTGTAATAATGGAATGAGTTACAAACAAATAAATATTAAGACAATTATTAAAAATAGGTAACTGCATTATTATATTTTTGATCGTATAAAATACTGGATAAAACAATAAATAAAACTATTTTCTAGTTTTAAATCAGTTTTCTTTTTGAAATTTTCGATATACGGGTTATCGAAGTGTCGATATCGATTTCGGGGAGTGGTCACTACGAAAGCTATCGTTCTAAAGCTTTCGGCTAGATCGGTCAGTATGGAAAGCTTTTTTGAAATCTATTCAGGTTTGTATATCAAATAATTATATTTCTTTTTTTTTGTTAGTTATATAATCTAGCAAAGTTAATATTAATTTTAACCAATTCTTAAAAATAATCAAGTCTGAATTCTTCGAGAAGACTTTCTGGCAGAAGCTCACTCAACAGTCAGGATGGCCGAGTGGTCTAAGGCGCTGCGTTCAGGTCGCAGTCTACTCTGTAGGCGTGGGTTCGAATCCCACTTCTGACAAGAATTTTTTTTGTATATTTTTTATTTTGTTTATTTTTTTAACTCATTTGCATAAAAGATGGCATCATGCATGTCTCGACTCGACATCTCCTCGCTGGCCATTAATTCCTTGTGCAAAGAACTCCTCAGGTGCGCTCAACCTCAATAATTGGTCTGGGTTTCTGGCTTGTACTTTGGCAGTTGTTTGTCTGTGTAAATGACACAATTAGCACGCCTTCCTGCCTTCCACTTTCAGCAGTATTTACTGTACTGACAGTACCCAGTGTTTGCCTGTGCGTCTGCACTTGTTTGCCTTTGCCTTCGACTTTGTGCATTTTTATGTAATTAAGAAAACAGAATGGTTAATGTCACTTCACGGGGATTAAGGGACTTGAAAGCAATAGCAGTTCACCTATTTTAATAGTAGTATGGAATAGTTACAGTGCCATTTATTAAAGAAGTGTTGCATAACTCTGGGCGTTTATGGAAGGAACTCCCATACTACAAAGGCCGGTGCTCTCTGGCTCCAGCTGCCCACGACACTAACTAATGTGCCAAATAAATCATAAAATATAAGTACTACTATAATAAGCTTGCTATATTTTCTGGGCATAGAAATATTAGCCCAAAATATAAAGTCCTGGCGAACTTGTTGCACTTTTTGCAGTTCACCAGAAATCCCAACGAAAAGTTCTTTGAAAAAAAGTCACTTTAGCCGAAATGGGGAGACAGCCACAATGCTCAGTGACTAAAAAAATTAATAGAGCATGTCAGACGAAAGGGGAACAATGGGGAAGTACATTTCCAACCGCACAACTACGTCCTCATAAGTCACGCTTAAAGGATTCCCGATGACAGAAGGACTTTATTAGCAGAAAGTCCTCTGCACAGAGAAAATTATTTCAGTCGAATGCTCTATTTCCCAATCGGATAAATAATTCAAATCAATTCAATACAAAAGTTGAATGCAAAAAGCCATTAAAGCCAAATCAAAATGCTGTTGTTCTTTGTTGTGGCCAGATCTGTGTCACAGGCTTATTCAAAATGCATTTGAAACAGAGCCCGAGTTAAACCAACATGGAGACTGCAAGCGGAACGCACTTAATGCAGATGCATCTGTATCCGAAAGTGTAACCGTATCTGTATCTGTATCTGTATCCACAAGTGGAACTGCATCATTTGCGTACGAGTATACTGCGTGACTCTTTTGGGTTTCCTCTGTTTGATGCATTTGACTAAAAAGAGTCTTTGTCAAATGGGAATTTGCATTCGGGAGACCCCTCCTCTCTTTTCTGGCAAATATTTGCATTTTTACTGAAAAATCGATTTTATTGTTTTCTCAACAGACTTGGGTTACATATCAATTACGAGAGGATGCTTTTAATGTCTCTTGTGTCTGTGTCTGGTGGTGTGTTTGTTTATGTATTTACCATACATACCTAGTCAATTTTGTAATCCTTGCTGTTTTTGTTTGGCATTCCATTTCCGCTCGTCCTTGTCGAACATGTCCGCCTGATATGGCGTCTGATTTCCGTTTTGCGCTCCAGCGAGCAGCGAACGATGGATGTACTGAGATTGACAACCCGTCCATCTCGGTGTGCGTGTCCTGCCGCTGGTCCTGGATGTCCTTCGAAGTGAAAGTCTACCGTTCTGTGCACTTTCCTTTTTTTAAATATTCTCCATTGGCCTTCAATGGCATTGGCGCCCACACTTAAAGTCTGACTTCTTTTGGCAGTTGCATTAAATAAATGAAAAATATTTAATTAAAAATATTCACAACCGAAAGGCTTTATTTAAAGTTGGCAATTTGTTTAATTGGCTTACATGTGTTTTACTGAAAATTGGATAAAACTGAAGTGCTCTAATTCGGGCTTATCATTCATTCGGGCTTAAAAAAACTCTTTATTTAAACGTGATTTTTATGGTGTAAGCCAATTGGTTTCAGGTTTACACACGACAATTATTTACACATTCAGCCTGGCTGGAGGGAAAGAAAAGTTTCTGGCCTGGTCGGGTGTGTTGCATCCTCGAAAAGCTAACTGCTGCGCTTAACAAGAATTCTTTACGCCATGTTGCACATTTTGCGAATGTTGCCAAGTTCAAATGGCTGTGAAAATGCACACGCTCCGCGTCAATGGGGCTTGCGGGGATTTGGCCCGAAGGGGGGCCGGGTCGGCACTACTGTCTCCTTCAGCAACAACAGCCATTTGATAAGCCTCACTGACAGTGAACGGCAACAAAATGTTGCCAAGCCTCGAAATGGGACAGTAAAACAACTTTCTCTATCTTCTCCTAGTAACTGTATTAATATTTGGCTACATGGAGCATGAAAATTTGGATAATGATAAAAAACAGAAAATAATGAATACCTAGAACTCCAGGAAATGCAGAGGGTATAAGGAAGTCGCTGCATGGAGGCGGCTATCGTCACCAAGCATAATACCCGGATAAGAGCGATCGCGGCTGATAATCGGGTGATATCGCCCTTGCTATGCAACATTTTTAGGTTTCCTAGGCAGTTCATTTTAATAATAATTCTTTGAATAAATTCAAAGAATTAATAGTTGTGAAATCGAATTAATAGCATTTATAATGTCCTCAATAACTTACATTGGAAATCGAGTTCGATTCAATATTAAAGAAGAGGTCCTTTCCGTATATTAAATATATTATATTTGTGATGTTAGGTAAGAAAAATTGTATATATAGTGGAGGACTGTTATTCAGTAATTCAGAGTAATTATTCTCTTAGTCAGTTCGATTAATCATAGTTTATTAAATAATTCTAAGAACTACTGAATAAAATTGAAGTTCAAAATAGGGGAAAGTCTAACCTCCTTTAGGTTATCTGCTCTCCTTTCTCCTGCAGATAACTGAACGGTAATTTTAGGACATCCTCTACGCAAACGCAAAGAGAGAACTTTTCCTCTCAAACTAAAGCTTCGTGTGGATGGAACAAAAAAAATATAATTTTAATCAAAACATGTTTGGCTGCTCTCCGGTTACTGTTCCACACCTCTGCTCCTTTCAGTCCCTATGACCTGAAAGATTTGCAAAGAGGAGAACATTTGATTGAATTGTTATTGTTAGAAGAGTTGAGTTTGTGCATTTTTACCTGTCTTGCTCTTACGTCTGTTGATCCTTGTATTTTTTTTGCTATTTCTTTGTTTTTTTTTCTTGTTGCCATTTGTAAGGATGCCCATTTGAGGCTATGCAGTCCTGGCGCACATGTGTAAGCGAACAAACAAGCCCAAACTAGTACGTGAGTTGATTTTTGTAGTCATTGTGTTTGTGTACATTAGGACTTGTTTTTTTTTTTTTTGGCCAGGCCCGTTGTTGGGCTACTTAATGGTCGAGTAGTCATCGCTGTGCCACACAAGAGCCAAATGCGACCCTGACCTATTTTTCACTTCACTTGCTTCGCTTTCGTTGCATGTGCATATGTGAGTGTCCTTCCATTACAAATCATTCAACTGAATTGATTCAACTGTCATTTTAAACGAGCATATGCCTCCATAATGTATGTCCTTTGCTGACGCAGGCACAGGTGCCTTTCAATCATTTGTGTTGTTTTGATAGACAGCTATTTAATTATAAAGTAGATAATATATTTATAAAAAAAATCTGTTTTTTTTCATATCACTCATACGCACTGTTGCATCGTGAGTTTAAAACTATCCCTGATGTTTAAAATTCCTTGAACTGAAAGAAAAATGTATTATATCCTTAAAACTAAAGGCCCTTCTGACTGAGAAGCACCTGCGGCGAAATTGGTCGAATGAAACATTTTCCAGGCATGTTGTCGACATTTTTATGGCTGCCACGTTCACTTTGCTTACTGCTCCCCTCTTCGTCCTGTGGGGTGTCCTTCCTCTTACAGTTTTGTATGACCTTCTCACTCTGCCAACCACTTGGCTGCCCAATTAAAAGTTTTAGCACATTTTCACTTGAAATTAATTGTCGGTAAACGTAATTCATGTCCGAGACACGAATGCGCTAAAGGAGCTCAGCAGCGCAGGACCCCGGACCGAGGATCCAGGACACACAACAACAGCAGCCACAACAACGGCAGGAGGAGGAGGAGGAGCAGCAGGACCTTCAAATGTTGCCAAATGCACCATCACACCATCCACACCAATAAGCTGAAGATGCGAAGTGAGATGCAGAGCTCGTAAGAAGCGTTGTGGCCCCAATTTTAGGACTCGCACTACTTTGTTGCGAAAGCTGTTGCATACTTATGTGCGCTAATGCCAGGACAATTCAAACAGCTGCCCAATTTCGGCAACTAACATAAAATGTAGACTATTAAAATGTATATTAAAATTAAGGTGAAAAAACGGTTAGCTTTGCTTTTGAATCCTTTGTATAATAAATTTTCGAAAATGCCATTATCCATGGACAATAGAAAACATAATTAAAATGAAACTCCACGAATCATACAGTGAGTTGGAAAGGTGATAGTTATTTGGCTAGTTCCCACCCAGGGCCATAAATTACCCTGGCACCGCCATTTAGCTGGAACAAAATGAAATTTTTCAATTAAGTTAAAGGCCACTGTCGATGGCGGGCTAATGTCATTAGCAGGTAAAGGACACAGGAGTAGCAAGCCGGACCATAGCTGCCGTTGCATTGGAAGCAAGGACATAAATTAAAATCGAAACCATGGACCATTTTATGTCCGTTTAATGGCAATCGATGGCGGGAGCCGGAGGATGGCCATAAAATGATATGAAACGGGGCAGGTCAATGTTTAAATAATTCCAGAAATTTTATTTAGAGTCTCTCTGTCTCTCGGAGGAAAATGGTAATGGTTCGGTAGTTCGGGGGCCACAGCCAGGCTGAAACTAATTGACAATTCAAAATGTTTCGAATGGCCAAGTGGAGCCTGGCGAGCTGGTCATAAAGTTAATAAGCAATTTGCATAACAAATTGTCTAAAACGTTGACATCATGTCGTATGGAATTGCCGAATGTGAAATCCGAATGTGAAGTGCGACTACAGTGTGGGTGGGGTGAGACCGACCGGTCTCATTACTAATTTTCCATGCACTGACTTGTATTATTACGTATACGCACTGTGGACCACCCCATTTGGCCGGCCTGGGCATGCATTTAATTGTTTCAAAACGGGACACACTCCTCCCGGCCAGCGCTCAGAACTCTCAGTCCCTCTGGCCATACAGTGTTCGTTCGGATCGGATTTTTGCAAATGTGTATGCTCGTAATTTATTCTCGGCCTGTTAATTAGCGCGAAAACAACCTAGCAGATGATTTAGTTTAGAAAAAATGACGAATAAAGGATTATCCTTAATAAAAACTGTAAAATGAAAAAATAATCTTGGAGTTTTTAGGGGAATTTTTATGTTTTACTGCTTAAAAGTTATCTTATACTTAGTTTTATTAAAAAGCTTAGTACATAGCTCTAATGATGTCCTTATATACCCTTCTTATAAAGGGTATTTGCATTACATGGTTATGGCCGCATTTAGTGTACTTTCCACTGCAATTAGCCAGTGTCAATTGTTCATGCTTCTGTTTGTGAGAGTGTCTGTTGGGGCATTAGTGGAATGCTTTTTTCTCCCACATCTAAACAAACGCATATGCATACAAACACATACATAGTATATATTCCGATATGTAGGGTATCATATATATATATACGTTTGTGATGCAGGGGAGACTGGGAACTGAGCTAACTGCCATTTGCAGCTGTTTCTATTTCCGTTCACTGGCCACAAAGCTGCAGCGGTCCTTCGGCCCATACGTCCGCCTGCCAGTACGTCCTTCTGTCAGTATGTCCGCCTGTCCGTTTGTCCGTGTGTCCGTGTGTCCGTTTGTCCGTTCCATTTTCCCCCAGGCACTACATCATTTGTAATTTGATGGCATGCTTAGCAGGGAGCGAGAAAGGGCAAAAGGGATGCAAAAGGGGACGGTCGGACAGCTGGCAAGGAATCGTGCCTCAAAGTATGCAACACAATTGCGGCCAGGGCCATTATAATTGCAAACACACTCACACACACACACATTGGCCACACAATCCTTCAAACATGGCAACCCGGCCCAGCACCGGAGATACATTTGCTCTTAGCAATTGCATTTTGCATTATGCTTTGTTATAATTAAATGATTATCAATTTGGCAAATATATGATTGGTTTCAGTCTAAGAAATGGAAAGCATTCAACCGAAAATTGATCCCAAAGTGCACAAATAAATGACCCACTCGGATGTCCTTTACGATTAACCAGTGGGATGGTTAATGGAATATATATGTGTTATCTTGAAGCAACTCTGTCAGATACACACTCTAATTTTAGTACGATTTTTGAAAGAGCATTTTAATTAGTAATCTAAACAATCAGAATTATTTACTGCGCCCCTCGGGCATGTGTAAAATCTCCATATACCTTATCTTATTTGTATCAGCTCTTTAAAATTCAATAAGATCATTATTTACGAGGGCTAATAAAATCAGAAAAGGCTTCCGCTGGAAGATGATAAGAGTTCATTATAAAAGCCACTGCCAGTGCCATCGATCGATAGTAGTTAACTGACTAACATGAAGTTGATTGTGTTCTTCGCCCTTGTGGCAGTGGCAGCTGCCAATGTTGTGCCCGCCGAGCAGCCCAAGGCTGTGCCCGTTAAGGATATGCCCTTTCCCGGCAAGATAGAGGGACGTATCACCAATGGATATCCCGCATACGAGGGCAAGGTGCCCTACATCGTGGGCCTGAGCTTCAACGACGGCGGCTACTGGTGCAGCGGATCCATCATTGGCAACACCTGGATCCTGACCGCCGGCCATTGCATCAACTCCGCCAACCATGTCCTGATCTACTACGGAGCCAGCTTCCGTCACGAGGCCCAGTTCACCCACTGGGTTAGCCGCAGCGACATGATCGTCCATCCCGACTGGAATGACTACCTGAACAACGACATCGCCCTGATCCGTACCCCCCACGTGGACTTCTGGTCCTTGGTGAACAAGGTGGAGCTGCCCAGCTACAATGACCGCTACAACAGCTACGCCGGCTGGTGGGTCCTCGTCTCCGGCTGGGGCCGCACTGACAACGACAGTGGCATGTCCAACTACCTGAACTGTGTCGATGTCCAGGTGATGGAACACAACGATTGTCTCAACTACTTTGGAGGCAACTATGTCGTCGACAACACCATCTGCATCAACTCCGAGGGTGGACGGTCCTCCTGCAATGGAGACTCTGGTGGTCCCATGGTCACTCACGATGGCAACCGCATCATTGGTATTGTTTCCTTTGGCAGCTGGGAGGGTTGTACCGCCAGCAAGCCAGCTGGTTTCACTCGTGTCACTGGATACTTGGACTGGATCCGCGACCACACTGGAATTTCCTACTAAATATTTTCAAAGAAATAAAGTTTTTAAAAGAGCAGCCTGATTAAAAATAGCGTTTATTTTTTCATAATTTTTCCATCACCATTTATTTAAAGCTAGAATTTGTAGTATCTAAGAAACCACTGGCTTGGTTTTCCCTAAAAATTAACTTTATCATAGTATCATAATTTATGATCCTAATTTTTTTATTTCACAATCTTTTAAAAACATATCAATGAATGGTGTGATGTGTAGGTTATCTGATAGTATATAGAATAAAAAGATTACTAAAAGAACTAAGTGATAGAAGAAAATATTAAACTCTATATGGAAAATGGAGTCTTAACATAACAAAATAATTGTTTGAAAAAGATTCCTTAAAAAAAGATTTTTGAAAGTCAACTTTCAGGCACATTAACCATGTAGATTTTGTCAACCCAACCCTATACCCTATCCAGGCTTTTGTTGGCAAATCGTTGGCCATCTTTTAGGATCGTTTTTTAATGTTTTTACAGGATGCAATTGTGGACCCGCTAAACTATGCTAAAAAAAAAATCAATATAAAGTGCGAGGGCCGAAAAATCGCCAATAAATTTCAGGAACGTAAAACAAAACAAAAAACGCCTGGGCAATTTACTTGAGAAATGAGTTTTTAGCGAAGCCTTACCGTGGAGCGGAGCTGGTGGCGGAGTCAGCCCGAAAATCAATTCACTCAGCCATTTGCTCGACCCAGCGTGTAATTTCTCAATTTTTGGCCATGCCAGCCAGGCTCACGCGATACTTTTCCTGTTTGCCAGTTTCCTGTTGTTTTCCATTTTATCCGCCAGTGTCCTGGTTAATTTGGAGCCTGAGCCGGCGGAGGAGAAATTGAAAAGATGGGGGGACTTAGGTTTGACTATTTATAAGCTTCTTGGCTCTGAGTTCCTTCGGCCGCGCCACGCTCCTTTGTCCTGGGAAGGCAATAAATCGCTTGGCCGGGAGGTACGAGCTAAGTGCCTGGATAGAAAACTATTCCGGAGCTTCAGTTGCAAGTGGCAAGGATAAATAGCAGATAGTTTCATAAGAAATGTGCGATGGAGACGCAATATTTTGTAAATGGTTAAAGTGTGAAAAAGAGTATAGGGATATTTAATTGGAAGGATAATTGAACGTTTATCCACATAATTTATTCAAAATTAAACCTTATGCTTATGAGTGGACCATATTGCAGCTTAGGGGTCCTGCAGAGAGAGTCCCAGTCCCTTGATCTTCTCGTCGACCCAATTGCGCAGGTATGGGACATTGGTGTACACCGCCGGAATGTCCTCTTCGGCGCATTTGATTCCCCATGATACCATGCCCACCAGCTGGAAGCGATCCTTCTGACCGGGCATCGTGCAGAACAAGGGTGAGCCGCCGTCACCCTTGCATGTGTCCTTACCAGCAACGCCACCGGCACAAAGGAAGCTGGGCCGTAGCCGGAACCTTTGCCCCACAAGTGTGCTTCGAAGCATGGCCTGGCACTCGTCGTGCTCCACGAACGGCAATTCAATCCGCTTCAAAACATTCTCCAGCTGCTCGCTATCTATGTCCTTGGTGCCCCAACCGGTGGCAATGCAGGTCGATTCCTGCAGCTGATCAATCAACTTCGGCGATTCCGTGGGCGGCAGACACAGGGGCTGGATGTGAGGGGCCATCGGGACGGGCTCGTCGAGCAGGAGGAGGGCTATGTCATTGTAGAGCTTCTCCCCCTCAAACTCCGGATGCATGATTATCTCCTTGATACGCCTGGACTCATGGATGTACGGTTCGTTGAGGCTGTTCAGGTCCCAGTCGCCCATCCTGGCCACCATAGTGTCCACAGTCTCGTTGACGATATTGTGGGAGGTGGTGATCACCAACTGCGGATGGATCAGAGTGCCTCCACACAGAAACTTCTGTCGTCCCGTAAAAATTCCCACCATCCAAGGATACTGCCCGAAAATGGCCACATCCTCCGTGTAGTTGAACTTGTCGTTGTCGGGAATTAGGCCCTGGGGATTGCTCCAACCGCAACTCTTGTACTTAAAGTCTTTCTGCTTAACCACATAGGGACTGTTGCTTTCATCCACCTGGCAGGAAGTTTAAATACATTTTTGAAAAATAAACAAAATATGGAGACCTAACCTGTTGATCCACAGCGCAGCAGCGATAAAGGGACCTGGAGCATACAGACGTACCGATCCTGGGATTGATCAAGGTTTGCCCATCGTCAATGATGGTATTGTCGCGACATAGCTTTCGAGGCACACACTCCATGTTTACGCCACAGCTCTCGTTGGGCTTCGGTTCCAGGACACGACCAGCCTTGTTCCGGATTCCGGGTGCACCTGTTCCACTTTGCGTTATTGGCTGGTTGGCCAAGAATTCATCCCAGCTCTCCAACTGGGCGGCATCGCAGCACATTCGTCCGGTGCCACAAAAGCGAGCTATCCGAGGTCCAATACCCTTCTTTCCTGAGTCGTCCGAATCCTCGCAACGTTTCACCGTTGTGCAGAGTTCATCCGGTTGGCACATTGCCGAAACGGTGTCCTGGGTCAGGGCATCTTGGATGAGAATGCCCAACAGCAAGCCTATTGCTGGGATTAAGCGATTAATCATCTTGACGGGATGGGAACTGGGCGGGAACAAAGAGGAAGAATTAGAATGCAGCCGCCAGATAAGATGGATTCCTAATCTGCGAGTCAATGCAAGGCGGAGGTTATCAAAAATCATTGACGATTTGTATAAACACAACAGTCACTTGAGATCAGAAATTAAAACACTAAAAAAAATGCATAGATTTCCCAGTTTTAAGGTTTGAAAATATTAATAATGCATTGGGTTAATCCATTGATTTGATTTAAGTTTTAGAATAGCTCCAGAATCGTGGAAAAAGGTTATCATAGTTATTTATTAATTGCACTCATCACAGATACATTTTTTATCATATGACACTTTGAAATACTTGTGTTTTGAATACAGAATACTTTTAAGACGGAACTCATTTTATGCAAATTTATGGTTTTTCATTGAGTACGATTCTATTTCCACTAGAATTACTTGTTTTTGATAAATATACTATGCATTTAATGCACTTGTGTAAAGTATATATGTCTGCTCTATACCTCTATAGCTTTATAAGTCTCGATTAAACTTGATGCGAGGGGTTTCCAAAGTGAACTGATCGGCTAGAGCAAATTCAAATCATTTTATAGAACCGGCTTGGAATATTCTGAGAAACCACAGATCGAGAGGTTGGCAAAGAGAAGCCATTAGACTTATGAGAACAATTAAGGGAATAACGTATAGGGGGCAAGTTTTATGAATTCGGAGAGGAGAGACCGCGTAAACGATTTGAATCAGATTTATATGGAGTGCCCCATCAATCCGAGTTCAGAGCTTGGCGAATACGCGTCGGTTGTTGAAACAAAAAATTAAAATTGCGCATCGATTTGATTTATTTTGAAGTGTAAGTGGGATTTTTTGGTTTTCAAATAGATTATGGTGTTTATTTTTGTTTGGCCGTAAAAGCAACAGAATGAACAGAGATTAAAGTTCATACGTGTGTGTACCTTTGGGGGCTGGCTAGTCATTGAGTCTGGTTTTTCCCATTACAGATCGCCATGCGTTCGGAGGCGTCGATTTCAGTATTGATTCTCTCACTGGTATCGCTGGTCCCGGTGGCTATCTCACTTCGCAGCTGTCGCAGCCATGAGATATGCGTTGGTGAGAAGCTGTGCAACGACTCGGATGACTCCGGCCGCGGAGTACTCATCCCCCGGAGCCTGGACAACAGCTGCGGCCATAACCTGGTCTGCTGCGAGAAAGAGCAGCTCGAGAGCTATTATGCCGAACAAGCCGACCTCCAGTTTCGCAGCCAGAAGAAGGGAAATCCATGGGGTACTTCGGAAATCCCCACTACATCTCTTCAGACAACAGAAAAAAGCATTCCGGCCAAAAATGAGGAGCAAGGCTATAAGAGCTGTGGCATTCGGAAAGAATGTGTGCCCCGGCACTTGTGCCTCACCGGAAAAGTCAATGAAGACGGAAGGTATATCGTGGGACCGAGAATTGGGGACAACAAGAATGGCTGCCGATCGGTGGAGGAGTGCTGTTCTTTGGATGATCATGTGAGATTAAATTAATATTAGCCATTAACTGTTTAGGAATATGCATGTTTTCTTTACAGATCGCTGAAGATCAGAGCCCCACAAAGCGAAACTTAAAGAACTTTAGGTACAGGAGCTGTGGCTACAGCAATCCCAACGGTCTCTACTACAAACTGGACGGTTACAACGACAATGAGTCTACGTTTGCGGAATTCCCCTGGATGGTGGCCCTGATGGACATGGAGGGCAACTATATCTGCGGTGGCTCCTTGATACACCCGCAACTGGTGCTGACCAGTGCCCATAATGTGGCCAACTACAGCGAGGACTCGCTGCTGGCGAGAGCCGGGGACTGGGACCTCAACAGCCAATCAGAGCCGCATCCCTACCAGATGCGAAGCGTAAGCCAGGTGATGCGGCATGAGGGTTTTAATAACCTGACCTTTTACAATGACATTGCCCTTGTGATGTTGGAGCGACCCTTCCAGCTGGCCCCCCACATCCAGCCCATCTGCCTGCCCCCACCAGAAACCCCACAGTTGGAAGTGGATCTGAGACGTGCCAAGTGCCTGGCCACGGGTTGGGGGCACAGCAATAGCACTTCCGACCTTTTGGAGCACTTGCTCAAAAGGATCGAACTGCCGGTGGTGGATCACGACTCCTGCCAGAAGCTATTAAGGCTAAGTGTCCTCGGACGGCGTTACAGACTGCATCCGAGTTTCCTTTGCGCCGGCGGCGTGGCGGGCAAAGACACCTGCAAGGGCGACGGCGGCTCACCCCTATTCTGTACAATGCCAGGACTAACAGATCGGTTCTACTTGGCGGGAATTGTATCCTGGGGGATAGAGTGCGCCGTAAAGGATATTCCAGCTGCCTATGCAAATGTTGCTTATCTGAGGAACTGGATCGACGAAAAGGTCGCGGAAAGTGGTATCCTCCTCGAATGATGTATTTAAAAATATTCTTAAGTTTGTTTGCAATTTTTTCTTCATTTTTTGCATTAAATTGGTTTCCAAAAACTAAAATAAAATTCAGAGACACAAGTTACTTAAATATACTCATCAACTATAACTTTAAAATAAAATAAATGGCCGAATTGTCTAACAATTCCAAAGACAAGTCAGGGAATATTTATCAGGGAATTGTGCTCAAGTAACTCCGCCAAATCATCCTCGCCCCGTTCCACGTTTCCCGTTGACAATGTTGGATTGTCGGGCATTTAAGCCAAATTGAGTGGCTGCAATGGAAATAGAAAATGGAAATTTATGGCGCAGCAGGCAGCAGGTGAAAGTTTCCCCTCCCACGCACCACCCACACGCTGCCGCCCACAATCCATTCACTGAAAGATTTATGAGAAAGCTTAAACCGCCAATACTGATTGCAAAGATTCATTCTGAGCCGCTTAGCTTGGGGCTGGAAAAGCCAAATGAATTCGCTTACATCTCGGAATACAATGTACTACTGCCAGCTTCACCATATCTACTATTTGCATTGTTAATTGGTCTGATTCAAAGTTCACAAAAACCGCAACGAACAATCAACAGTGCACTTCCTGAGACTCCCAGAGAGCTCAATTTAGCTTTAGTTTATTTAAGGCCGAGATGAAAAAGCCATAGATTCATTTGCATTGCAAAAACATAATTAGCTAGTGAGTTTTTATCCTTTGACACTGCTGCAGAAGCCAAACCCAAATGAGGACCACAATTGTAAAGTTTAGACTTTAAAGAGTCCTTTGGGACCAGGGAGAGTTCACACTAGGCGAAGCATAAAAATTGAGATATCGGCAGCTAACTGACTCACTGACTGGTTGACTGATTGCTCATACGCACCGTTGACTGCCACTGGCAGTCGTGGCAGCAGCATTGGCAGTGCCTGCCAGTGGCAGTGGCAGTTGCAGGCCCGCGCCTCTGTCATGTTATCTGTTGGATTTCAATAACCATGTCTGGCATGGCTACTGTTTCATGGAATTTTGTTGGCCGTTGTCTCTGCTAGATGCAACATTTTATGGAGCTACAAATCAAAATTTGTTGAGCCACATTCCCTCATAAATCAGACTCTGGGCCAGCATGAATCTCTATTTCGTGCCCAAAAAAAAGGGGAGAAATCTGAAAAAAATTAAACTATCATGAGCCGTTTCTCCGCATAGCCGGATGGTGGTGTACATTTGACAATTTGCAGGAAAACTGAATTATTATCTAAACAGTTTCTGGTCTGGCCAAAATGTGTGTGCATTAAAATTGCAGCCTCGTGTGCGCCATAATTAAGAATTCAATTTAAAGTTTGCCAACTTTTAGGTTTTGGCTTGCAGCTGCCGGCTGAAAGGCATCAGGTGGCTCAACGTTGTGGCATCCACTGTGGTCGTGTAAAGTCAAAAAGCCGCAACATCATTACGCTCTCATGTACCTTTTGCAGGCAACCGGCATTCCACAAACTACCGTCAACTCACACACACGTTGGACGCAAACAGAGGGAAGGCCAACAAAAAAACACACTTGGCTCACGTGGCGTATGAACAATAAATGGCATCTGTGCCGGGCTAAGCCCATATGTTGCTTTGGATAATGCATCATAAGGGGTTTTTTGGGGTAAATTAAAATGCAAAAGTACTCTTTGATGTCTAGATTTCTTATGTCTTTCACTTAATTACATATTAAAATACATGTCACTCATATTTTATGCATTTAATATACTGACTGAATTATTTTATAGGGCTATTACATTGTCTTTTGATTATCACATTAGAAAGTTTCACTGGACTAGCGACTTGAAACTCGCCTGCTCAGGACCGATCGCACATCCTTGGTGAAGCGCAAGGCATCCAGGAAGGGCAGCAGATTCAGAAGCTCAGTGTCCTCCGGATCATAGATGTATGTCTTGATGGGAATGGCATTGTCCGGAAAGTCGCGATAGGCATTTGGCGAGTTATCGATGATGAAGGTGCCGCTCATGTCTGGGTTAACTACGGTTAGATCCTTGCTGACCATCGAGGTGGTGGAGGAGCAGTGCTGCCGGTAAAAGCTCTTCTGAATCATGCCACGCCCATTGTCCAAACGATCCACAACCTGTGAGGCGTAGATCTCCAGACTGGCGGTGTATACCACCAGGTCATACCATTGCGACACGTATTTTAAAAACAAATCTACATGCGGTCGCTTGTAAACCTATAAAGTAATTCCATTAATTCTAATAAAATTACTACCATCCCTGACCCATGACCCACCTTGAAAGCAATAGGTTCTAGGCCATCGACAGTGACGGATAGCTGATAATCCGGCATCGCAGCTTGTGGCACTTGGCTGCAGCCCACCGGCTCATTGGTTTCCGGATCGGTGTAACAGGAGTGCACCAGGGTCTCGTCCAGGTCTAGAATCAAGGTCTTTCGGTGCACCTGGCGCAACCTTCTACTGGTTTCCGGCGATAGGGGAACATCCTTGTAGGTAAGCTCCGATTCCTGCCAAATGAAAGAACGTACCTTGTTAGCGACGAAAGCGAAGCATCTCCGGAGGTAGCCGCCCAGGTCGGTGGTGAAAAAGAATGCGAAAATCGGTCTGCGATCGTGACTGGAGCTAGACCTTTGGAAGTCGCCGACCACGGCAACTGCCACAGGACTTGTTGGGGCTAGCTTCGCCAGGTGTGCCGATTGTGATGGCAGCTGGCTGACCATTTTGCAGTTGGCGTCCTTCCGAATTGCCGGCGACTGTGTGCGAATTAACAAGAAGCTAGTTCTATCGGGAACTCAATTACATTATATATTTTGCTTCAATTTTAAAATGTGTAAGCTGAATCAAACTGGTTGTGAAACTTTATCGGCACACTTCTAAAATGGTTAAAAAAATCCCTGACTACGAACATATTCTCCAAGCCTATACAGTTTTTAATCCAACTCCAAGTCCCAAGAAACCTTACTGCCTATAATCTCCTGACTTTCACGCCGTTGCCCCGACTGCCTGAATCAAATGTGAGCTGGCACTAATTGCCAGAAAGCCACAGACACGGCTACGAGGGCAGGACTACAGTCTGACAGCCGATTCATTACCCAACCCAAGCCATAGTCCTTGCTCGCAGAATCACCGAAATGATATGCAAGCCAGTGCGGATAGGGAGCTGCAAGAGAAGGCCGTGCTCCCTTGCCACCTGACGTTAATTAGGGCTTGCATAATTTACTCGTACACCTGTAAATGTAACTGTTACTGCTCCGGAGCACCTGACTTCCGTTGGGCCAACCGGCCGCATACGCAATCCCCCTCTCAAGCTAATTGAGTTATAATGCTAAGCGGCAATTTTGTGGCGAAGTTGCATTAGCGGTGTCCAGTTGCACGGTAGACGCTCTCCAGACATAAATCACCACGCAATGCCGCGTTCCCACTCGGCATTGCCGAGTGCCGAGTTCCTTCTGCAGTTATTTAATGTACCGTGCCCCACGCCATAAATACGTATGTTTCTGCACCACATTCCCTGACCTGTCCGGAATATTTTCCATTTAGCCAACTGACAACTGCAGCAAAAAGTTTTATGGCGGAAATAGCTGGTTGTAAACTGAAAACTGAAAGCAGCAACTTGCAACTTGCAACGTGCAGCTTGCCACTTGCAAGGTTGCAGCCAAGCAGCCTTGTAAAATATGTTTGGCAATTTCTTGCTATATTTTTCGTTTATTAAGAAAAATGATGGGTTTTTCGACCTGCCTTACAAAAGTTTTTATGAATAGTTGCTGTGGAAAAAAGAAAATGAAGAAATAAACTATAAACTATACACACCATTTTACTGTATATTTTTATGCTTATTGATGGAGAATGAAAATATATAACGTTTAAGGTATTCGGCTTGAGAATCGCCTGGTTATTTTCAAAGATATTGCCATCTCTGTGGGCTAAACTGTCCTCCCCAGGCCTTGTTGAAAATTTCAGAGTTGGTCCACTAAAAAATTTGAAAAAAAATCTAATAAATATTTGGATGGTAGGTTTTGGTGCAGATTGATGGAGAATCGATTTACAAATCGATCAAGGCATTCCGCCCAGGAATCGGATGAATATTGACAAAGATATGGCTATCGGGGTACCACATTGCCTTTCCCATGTTATTTTCAGAATTTTAAAGGGGACCCTCCAGAAAAAATGACAAAAAATCTAAAAAATATTTTGTTCATAAATTTTGATGCAGGTTGATGGAGAATCGATACACAAATCGATTAAGGTATTCCGCTTAGGAATCGGATGATTATTGGCAAAGATATGGCTATCGAGGGGCCCACATTGCCATCCCCATGTAACTTTCAAAATTTTAAAGGAGACCCTCCAGAAAAAATGACAAAAAATCTAAAAAATATTTTGTTGGTAGGTTTTGATGCAGATTGATGGAGAATCGATCCACAAATCGATCATGGTATTCCGCTCAGGAATCGGATGAATATTGGCAAAGATATGGCTATCGGGGTACCACATTGCCTTTCCCATGCCATTTTTAAAATTTTAAAGGGGACCCTCCAGAAAAAATGACAAAAAATCTAAAAAATATTTTGTTGGTAGGTTTTGATGCAGACTGATCGAGAATCGATCCACAAATCGATCAAGGTATTCCGCTCAGGAATCGGATGATTATTGGCAAAGATATGGCTATCGAGGGGCCCACATTGCCTACCCCATGTCATTTTCAATATTTTAAAGGGGACCCTCCAAAAAAAATGACAAAAAATCTAAAAAATATTTTGTTGGTAGGTTTTGATGCAGATTGATGGAGAATCGATCCACAAATCGATCAAGGTATTCCGCTCAGGAATCGGATGAATATTGGCAAAGATATGGCTATCCAGGGGCTTTCCCCAAGCCATTTTCAGAATTTTAAAGGGGACCCTCCAGAAAAAATGAAAAAAAATCTAAAAAATATTTTGATTTCAGTTTTGGTTGCAGATTGTTAGAGCATCGATCTACAAATCGATCAAGGTATTCCGCTCAGGAATCGGATGATTATTGGCAAAGATATGGCAATCGCTAGGAGATACTGTTTTCAAAAATCGGCTTGAAATCAGCAGCATAATAATATTGTTTTATCAGTATATTTTGCTTACACGTTTCAGTGATACTATAAAATTTATGAGTCTCAATATAAAAATCCCAAACTGATAAGAGGGCAACAATAGTATAAATAATTTAGTATAATAATTTCATTCATGAGCGATAACAACAGAATATTCTAAAACAGAGGCTTGTCTTATGAAATTAGTCCAAAGAAATGATAAGAGTGTATGAATGTATGAGTTGTATCCCGAAACTCACGCCATTTTGATGATACAGCACATAGATCTAAATCAATTTGCCAATCAAATGATTGCCAATTTGAATGCGATTTGGCACTCGAATCTTAAATATTTGATGACTTTCACATTGAGTCTTGTACAAGAAAAGGGGTTTGCTCTGGGTGTTTCTTTTTCTGTACTTTGCATTCGGGAAGGAAGGTCTATTAAAAAAAAACGTGAAGGAAAATGCAAAACAATTTGGTAACAAGTAAAATGCATCAAATCTCATGGATGTTGAGGGTCCTGCTGGGTTGGAAAAAGCTCGAGTGGCGAAAGGAGAAGCCAAAGCTGTTGCGAAAACATGTCACATTAAGTGCACAGATAGAGGAGGTCCTGGGCGAAAGGACATTCAGCCATCCAGCCATCCAACCAGCCCGCCAGCCAGCCAGGATGTCTAAGGGAGCTGAGTGCTTTTATTGCTGTCGGAATTCTGCGTGGCATTTGCCTTTGAAGTTTCAACTGGAACTTGGCTTCCGCTCCGCTTTTTTCTCTCTATTTGGCCCGGCTTGTTTATGCAATTGTACTTAGATTCAATGGTTATGTTTCAGCAGCTGGCATAATGGCCGAAATCAAGTAGAATTCATATCCGGACCCAATATAAGCTGTCAGCATATTTACATTGCATTTAAAGTTGAAATGCTGCAGTATGCTCTGTCAGACAAGACAGGATTGACAGCAGGACACCAACCTCGATTGACTTTACCCCCTAATTAACGCCCAGAACCTTGCCGTCGCTGCCATCAGTTTTTCCTTCATTATGCAAAAGGACCTCTTTTTTTATTTTACTTCTCACGCAGCCAGGACAAACTAACAGAAGTGTCTGCTTCGCTGCATTTCAATGGACCACAGAGCATTTGCTTTTTGCCGACGCCCCCGGAAAGCATTTCCCTTGGCAAGGTTTTAATTATGATACTTCATTAACTTAATTAGTTCATCCTCAGAATGCATTGCATCCCAGCAACGGAGGACTGATGCTCGATTGTGGGTGAAAATTACAATGTCAGCTTACAAAGTTTTCAGTTTATTCATTTCGGTTTAAAGAATGCGTCTTTTGAGAAATCATGAACCAGCTCCCACTCCACACAGACGGCATAGATGAGGAAAATGATGAAAATGGTCCACAGGTAGACACCGGCCGAACGACGTCCCTGGAAATTGAAGGTGATGCTCCACCACAACGTGGTTACAATGGCTATCAACAAAAATATATAGCAATTCTCGCCGTGTTCTCCGTAAACCCAGGCAGCGGCATCCTCGCGGCGAAGTCGATTGTTGAACAAAAATGCCACACTCATGCTGATCACCACCGCTAAGGTATAAGGATTGATTTTAAAGTAAAACCTTAAAAATGATACTCTTTATTACCAAAAACAGGGCCTCCAATAATGGCAGCAAACGCCATACGGCCATAGCCCTGCATGGCCAAATGAGAATTGGCTATGATGTCCGGGGTGGCGTTCGAAATGGCTCCAATGGTCACAGACATAAAGTTCTCCGACAGATTGAAAACTATGCCCACAATATCCGAAAGGACTTCCAGTTCAGCCACGGCAATCCAGATAGTTACTACCGAACTGCAAAAGGTAAGAAGGATAAAGAACTAAGGGAGGAACAGGTGTTCAGAAGGACTCTAAATAATGACATTTTTTATACCAAATGATAAACCGGAGGGACATCGGTTCGAGCATGGAGAAAAATCAAAACGGCCAAGGGAACTGTCACACAAGGAGACCACATGGAAATTTTATAGTGCAGTAAGATATACCAGCCGGTGTACTGACTCTTAATGGCGGCTAAGGACAACCTTATATAATGAAAACCTTATCCTTTCTATAATACCTACAGTGAACCAGAGTAATGACCACAAATGGATTCGTCACAATCTGAATGCAGTTGAGTAACTTGCTCCAGCCGTGCTTGTCCTTCTCGTAATCAACCACGGGAATAAAAAAAAGTAAAATAAATACCAGGGGACTCCTGATGATCAAGAAGGCGCGACGACACATCCCGCCCAGCAGCCATTCTTCCCGGTCAATGGGATTCAGGGAGTAGAGGAACTCTTGAAAGAGCATCAAATTCTTGGGATTCTCGTTATTATGCAGATTGGTACGATTTGCCTCGTAGTCCACCGCCTCCGGACGATCTTCTGGCTTGGGAGTGATAAAGTATCCCGTGTTGGTCAGGTCAGAAATACGACGACCAAGAGAACGACGATCGTTGGAGGTGTCATTAATCCGAATGTCATCGTCTTCTTCCATGGATCTCAATAAACTCAGTTTCTTCACATACTCCTTACTCGGCGTGGAAGTAGACTTTTCCATTTCCCCAAGCTCCAGACGAAGTTCTGAAAATTTGAACATCAATTTAATAGAAACTCTGCCTTACGACTTACTTATCATCTCCCGCCGCATCAAAATGACATCAATCACATTAACCAGCACATAAACGACATAAACTGCTACCAGGACTAAAGAAGGATAAAATAAATAAATTGGGAAAACCATAAAGGGTTTTCCTTACCTATACTATTCCATTTGGTGACAACACCACCTTTAACCATAAAATATCGGACAATCTCCACACCCAGCATCAAGAACAGGAGATCCCTGATCACACAGTGCCCATTCATTCGGAAGGGTTTCAAAAAACACACTGTGCCGCCACTCAGAAGGATAATAGCCAGGGCATTACCCACGGCAATCGTGAAAATCGGGGCTTCGGCTCTCACAGGCATTAGATTGGCAAAAATATCAGGACATGAATTGCCAAATGCCAGAAACGTAATTCCCGCCAAATACTCATTCATGTGGAGCTTCAGAGACACTATCTTCAGGGCAGGAGCAAAGCTGTAGATTTTAAAAATAACTATAAAGTATATGTCTAATATAATTTAGGCTTACAATGAATCAATGTTGAAGGACATAATCCACAGAATTACCCCACACAAAAACACAAACAACATCATAAAGCCAATCTCTGTCCACTTGTCGTCAATATCGATGGTGCAGTACATCATCCTGAAGTAGTTGAAGAAGTTGACGATCCTTTTGCAGTCCTCGGCTTGGGTGGCCATTTGACAGCGCCATTTGTAGGAAAGCCTCATCACTGCCCTACAGTCCATCTAGGAAGAGAGGTCCTTAAAAAATTGAAGTCACTTAAAAAAGACTTACGATGTTTATAAAGTTGTTGAACTCGAGATCAAGTTCTGTATCGCGACCCTCTAGTTCTTTTGTATCCGAAGTCATGATGAAACTAGAAATCAATAAATCCTTAAAACCAATAGATGTTTGACAAAATTTAAAGAGGGAACTTTTTGTTTTCGGTTTTTAAATATTTAAAAATGTAAACTAAACCTATGTAGATGTTAATATGGACTGAACCATTCAGCTAGGCGAGAGCAGAACCGAGAGATAAAGAACCTTTAAATCTAATAAATTTTAACCGTAATATGTGACGAAGTCCGTCCCGAGGGTCTTCCCCTAATACAAATCAGAGAATGTGTGCCGTCTTGGGTTGTAAATCAGTCTCTTTCATCGATAAGATGGCGATCACTCCACCGATCCCTGTCCACCTGACTATATAAGCTCCGACCCAGCCCCAACCGATCAATCCGGTCTTCCAAACTACAATTTCAACATGGTTTCCAAAGTGGCTCTCCTTCTGGCCGTCCTGGCCTGCAGCCAGTACCTGGCCCATGGCGTGTACGTCGTCTCCAAGGCCGAGTGGGGCGGTCGTGGCCCCAAGTGGACTGTGGCCCTGGGCAACTACCTCAACTACGCCATCATCCACCACACCGCCGGTGCCTACTGTGAGACCCGCGCCCAGTGCAACTCCGTCCTCCAGAGCGTACAGAGCTACCACATGGACTCCCTGGGCTGGCCCGACATTGGCTACAACTTCCTGATCGGAGGAGACGGTAACGTGTACGAAGGTCGTGGCTGGAACAACATGGGCGCCCACGCCGCCGAGTGGAACCCCTACAGCATTGGCATCAGCTTCCTGGGCAACTTCAACTGGGACACCTTGGAGCCCAACATGATCTCCGCTGCCCAGCAGCTCCTCCAGGATGCCGTCAACCGTGGCCAGCTGAGCTCCGGATACGTCCTCTATGGCCATCGCCAGGTCAGCGCCACCGAGTGCCCTGGAACCCATATCTGGAACGAGATCCGCGGCTGGTCCCACTGGTCCGCTTAAATCCAAACTCTCTCACTTCCACAAAAAATAAACGAGCAAAATTGAAAGAAGCTTAATTTTTTCTTTGAATACTATTAATTTTATTTGAGAAACGTATAAAAATGTTAAAATTTAGTTGGTGCCTTCCAAGGGCAGGAATTCATCGTCCCCGAAATCGTGGATGAGCTCGAATTCGACGCAAACCATGTACACATTGTAGAGGACAAACAGACTCAGCATGAAGATGCCAGCAGAACGGCGGGCACTAAAGTTAAAGGTCACACTCCACCAGAAGGTGCAGACAATTGTTATGATTAGAAATATGTACATATTTTCACCCTGTTCGCCCATCAGGTTGGACCCAACTTGATAATAGCCAATGTTCCAGGTCTTTTGACTTCGTATTAGCATCTCGACTCCTATTGTAACCACAACAGCTAAGGAATATGATCTTAATTGATAGCAATTTATGGGAATAGCTTAAAATTCAACTACATACTAAACATTCCTCCACCTATTACAGCTCCAAATGCCATTTTTCCATAGCCCTGCTTCGCAAGGTGGGCATATGCCAGGATGTCGGCTAGCACAGCGGAAATGGTTGAAAAGGTTATAGTCATAAAGTTGGACGACAAATTAAATACAACACCGATTATCGAAACGAGGACTTCCATCTCGCAGGAACAAATCAACACGACAATCAAAACGCTAAACAAAGTCAGAACACTGAAGACCTAAAAAATAGATACAGATTCCAAAATAATAGGGCTTTTATGAGGGTCCTCCAACTTACAATATGATAGGGCGGCGGGATATCTGTGCGTGAATGGTAAAATATAGCCAAAGCCAATGGAATGGTTATGAACAATGTTGAAACGGCAAATGAATACCTAACTTGCAGATGAAAGTTATTGAATGTTCCAGAAACCATGGCTATAAGGGGAAAATACATATAATATTATTGGATTATTAGAATATTAAAGGAATACCCACTTTCAACGAGCACAGATGCCACAAAAGGATTTAAGACGATTTGCAAGCAATTAAGCATTTTGGACCATCCATGCTTGATCGACTCATAGCTTACTTTGGGAATCAGCATAAGAAGGAAGAGAACTATGGGACTCCTTAAAATATATACTGCACGCCAAAACGTCCCATTTAATTCCCACTTCTCCTTGTCAATGGGATTGATGGACTGAAGGAATTCCTCGAAAAGAAAGAGATTCTTGGGATTGGCCTTGTTATAAAGCGCATTTCTGTTTGAATTTACATCGACTTTCCTGCGATGATACAGAGCCTTTGGAGTAATAAATAAACCAGTTCTCCAAGGGGACTTGTAGGATTCATGGACTTTGATGTCGTCTTCTTCCTCGAGCTTGTTCAATAAACGAATCTTTTTCATCAGTTCTTCGTCCAATCGATGGTTAACTGGGTTAAGCCCTTTGCTTAATATAGAAATCTCAGAACGAAGTTCTAAATTCATAAATTAAAAAATAAATCACAAAATCTAAATATTTAAAACTTACTTCTGATAGTATGTCGCAATAGGATTAAATCTATTATATTTATAGCAATATAGAGGGGATAAATACTCAGCAGTACTATAAACCAAAGAAAAACCACCTTTAGCATTAATTAACTTAAATATTTAATTGACTTACTGGCACCCTGAATCCAAGATGCGAAATCTGTGCGGATTATAAAATATCGGGACAATTCAATGGCTAACAATAAAAACAGGAGATCTCGAACGACGTGGCATCCATTCATTGTAAATGGTCGAATGAAACAGATAGTTCCACCACTCAAAAGGATAATGGTCAAGACCTTGCTCATGACCGCATTCATGGTTGGTGCTGTACTCCGGGACGACGCAAAGTTGACCAACAGGTCGGGAGTGGAGTTACTAATGGCCACAAGAAGGACTCCTGCCATGTACTCATTCATGCGCAATTTTAGGGCGAATATTTTGAGAGTCGGACTATAACTGAAAGTAATGGCTATAATTTGTATTATATATTATTAATATACAGTTGGTTACTTACAACTCATTAATGGTCATATAAAGTATACAGAGAAATGCACCGTAGATTATTGCGAAAAGTAGCATCACACAAAACTCGGTGAACTCGTGTTTGATGGTAAAGGTGCAATACATTATCTCGAAGTAGTTGAAAAAGTTACTGAACTTCTTGCAATCAGTCACTTTTCTCGCCATATGACAGCGATTTCTGTAAGACAGCTTCATGGAGGTAATACAGCTAGCCTGGGAGCTATATCTATTAAATCAATCATTCCGAAAATAAATTCTCTCACTCACATTATCCAAGAAGCGTTCAAATTGGTATGCAAAGTCATGATTGGATTCGAGTTGACGGACCATTTTGGGGCCTAACGAGTAATGTTTTGTGTATTATTGTTTTGATATAACATATATGTATATAGACTGACGGGAATAGTACGACTAACTTAAACTAATCTAAAAAAAAAAACAAAAGTGCAGTGCCTTTCATATTTTCGCAAGTATTGATTAGTATATCAGGCACTTTGTAAAGAGACTCTCCTGTAAACGGAAATGAATAGCAAGACTGTAACTCTAGCCTTATCTGCCCATCCCGACTGATAAGGACCCAACTGAATGTATATGGAATAAATCAAAATCACCAGATTGTGACGAGGCTTCTTGGAGGTGCTTCCCCTAATACGAATCTGAGTATGTGCCTCGATTTGGGCTGTAAATCAGTCGTCACGACCGATAAGATGGCGAACACTCCACCGATCCCTGCCCACCTGACTATATAAGCTCGGACCCGGCCCAAACCGATCAATCCAGTGATCCAAACTACAATTTCAACATGGTTTCCAAAGTGGCTCTCCTTCTCGCCGTCCTGGCCTACAGCCAGTACCTGGCCCAGGGCGTGTACGTCGTCTCCAAGGCCGAGTGGGGCGGTCGTGGCCCCAAGTGGACTGTTGCCCTGGGCAACTACCTCAACTACGCCATCATCCACCACACCGCCGGTGCCTACTGCGAGACCCGCGCCCAGTGCAACTCCGTCCTCCAGAGCGTCCAGAGCTACCACATGGACTCCCTGGGCTGGCCCGACATTGGCTACAACTTCCTGATCGGTGGAGACGGTAACGTGTACGAGGGTCGTGGCTGGAACAACATGGGTGCCCATGCCGCCGAGTGGAACCCCTACAGCATTGGCATCAGCTTCCTGGGCAACTTCAACTGGGACACCCTTGAGCCCAACATGATCTCCGCCGCCCAGCAGCTCCTCCAGGATGCCGTCAACCGTGGCCAGCTGAGCTCCGGATACGTCCTCTATGGCCATCGCCAGGTCAGCGCCACCGAGTGCCCTGGAACCCACATTTGGAACGAGATCCGCGGCTGGTCCCACTGGTCTGCTTAAATGTTTAGTCTGAAAAAAAATCATTAAAAATAATCATGAAAAATAAGTAACTTGATTGAGTTTTTTAGAGTTTGTTAAAAAAGTTTCAGAGCATAAGAAAACCCCTTCTTAGCTTAGGTATCCTGTCAAAGTCGAAAATTAACTTTTTCATATTTATAGAAGACGTGGAATACGTGTCTGCACAAAGTTTTGTGATAAACTTGACACATTTTAGTACTTTTCTGAATGGTAATTTCTAAAGGGAAAATATAGAGAGTGATAGCCGATTGCAGTACAGTTTTTGTAGCAAAAAAATTAACTTCCATGACTGAACTGAGCGGCTAAAGGACTGGCAACATTAAATAAATCCCCCAAAAAAATGAAAAGCCAAATGAAAGTTTGGAATTGCTCGTTGACCAAAGTGAACTATTTGAAACTTCCAACCGCAGTCTCATTAACGACATCCTTGTTAACAAAGTATTTCTGAATGAGTTGCAGTCGCATTTGTGTTTTCGGCTTAATAACTTGCTTAAGCTTTCAGGTTGAAGATTCGTCCTTTTATCCTGACAAGAAAAAACCACTTGGATGGATGGACAGAGAAGGTTGACAAACTGTTTGGACTTTGAGTTTATTTTTAAAGTATTTTAGGTTAGCTTTTGGCAGGTTTAAATTACCAAAATTCTTATCAAAAAGCTTTCTATAAATAATCATATTTTTTTATTCCAGCCCTGGCTATATTTAGTTCCGCTTTTCTTTATCAATAAGCTTACCAAATCTTTTTTTTTCTCCTACGTCATTTTGTGAAGGAACTCTAAAAAAACCAAAATATTGACTATTGATCAGTAATCTAATCGAAATTTGGCCACATAAATATTTTTATGCCACGCTTTGATTCGTATCAGCAATTAATTTCTTTATTATTTTTTTTAAAACAACCGTAAATTAGGGGGAAATCCTCATATCAAGGATGATAACAAAAATAAAAAATGGCGGAGTTAAATTTATAAATAAGGCGTTATTGAAGTCGTATGATGCTTTGATACCGTGGTGTGGAACTCAGACTTTATGAGATTAAACAGAACAAAGCCTTGATTACTCACTAAATTATTCAATTTAATTTTAAACAAATTATAGCAATGTATTCTAGAATACCTCTATAAATTCTATAAAGCTTTGTTCGAAAAGCTTTTAAATTCGCAAGCCTTTATGGCTAAAGGGTATGACATGGATAAAAGTTATTGACATTCCTGTTGCTATAAAGCTTTGGAGTCTCCAAAAGGAAATGGACATTTTCGAAAGGTTTTTCTATACATATTTTAAATGAATTAAGCTTAGCCTAAAGCTTCGGGTATAGTCTATTTAATTTCCTATAACTTTAGAGTTTTAAGTATAATTTCGTTTTATAGTAAAATTCCCTTTTAAGTATTTAAGAGATAACTCGAAAATAAAATCAAAAGTTAGGATTCCTGATGTAGCTGTTAAACGATAATAAAGTGTCTATCAGTTTCGGGCAATCTAAGAACTGGAAATTCAAGCCCCCCACCAAGAGATACTTTGATAGCCCTAAGGTGGGAAATATTTATGGTCCTCCTTTCGGACAAATTAATTAATGCCACTTGGTCTGATTAGAGCAGTGATTGGGGACGTCGTCATCGCCATATCAGGATCTTGCCCAGATAGCCCCCTCCCTATCATATGAAAGCACACGACCTGACCGCTGCATCGCCTTGGAGCGATAAGCCCGGACTGCGGGTATAAAAGGCGCTAACCGAGCCCAGAACCAACAAAACAATCGATCCGCAACATGGCCAACAAAGTCCTCGTCCTTCTCGCTGTGCTCTTCTGCGCCCAGGCCGTTCTCGGCGTGACCATCATCTCCAAGTCGGAGTGGGGCGGTCGCTCGGCCACCAGCAAGACCACCCTGGCTAGCTCCCTGAGCTACGCTGTGATCCACCACACCGCCGGTAACTACTGCTCCACCAAGGCCGCCTGCATTACCCAGCTGAAGAACATCCAGAGCTACCACATGGACTCCTTGGGCTGGGCCGATATTGGCTACAACTTCCTGATCGGCGGCGATGGCAACGTGTACGAGGGTCGCGGCTGGAACGTGATGGGTGCCCATGCCACCAACTGGAACTCCAAGTCCATTGGCATCTCCTTCCTGGGCAACTACAACACCAACACCCTGACCTCCGCCCAGATCAGTGCCGCCAAGGGTCTGCTCTCCGACGCCGTTAGCCGTGGCCAGATCATCTCCGGATACACCCTGTACGGACATCGCCAGGTCGGTTCCACCGAGTGCCCCGGCACCAACATCTGGAATGAGATCCGTACCTGGTCCAACTGGAAGGCCTAAATGCTTTCAAGAAGTGTCTTTTTAAAAATCATAAATCTTTAATTGCGCTTCAATGAAATCTTAAAAATACAAAATCACACACAGAGTAATTCAAGCTTGATTTTTGTTTTCTTACGAGGGAGTCCCCGACTCGAAGGCCCTGGTGATTAAAGCTCAGGGGGATTAACAGCTAGACTTTATTTATTCATTAATTAAAGGGGCTTTCAAAGCATATCAGCTGAGATGACTGCCAGGAGCGGAGTATCCCAGTTTTAATCCAAAATAAAATCATAAATCCAAGTAATTAAGTTAAATATAAACTAATATTTATTCGAATATCTCTGCATATTTAGTATACAGTATACATTTAGATAATGTACATACACAAAACACTGCTTTTTGTTGCTGGTATTAATACACAGTAGTAAAATACATTGATATATATATCATCATAATTACGGATTATGTATGCCTGTGCTCAGTATTCAGTACTATGTATTCAATATGCATAGAGTCTTACGTAGAGTCTTAACTTAAAACATTGAACTTCCATTCCGTTCGTAGAGGTGCTTGCCAAGCCAGCGACACACTCCGGTCGGTAACAAATACATGGGCCTCAACTATGCAATAGTCTCGAGCTAACTCAGGCTAAACGAAAAGTTTGTGTCTTATAGATTGTTGCAGCTAATTTCGGGTCAGATCCGGCCGAAAAGGAATTGAAGCTTTTCTAGCCAGCATCGCCAACTCTATTTGGTTTTGTTCAGTTTTTCGTTCACTCAATGAGCAGCAACCAGGCAGGGCATCTTAATTGTACGTTAAGTTAAACAACAATAATGAGCGACGACTAAAAGCGGAAACTAGTTTGGATTTTGCCTTTCTAAACACAACACTACTCAATACGTTTATGCATCTATATAGACCGCGTATGTGTGCCTGGGAATGATAGTTACGGGGAGGACGAGTGTAAGAAACCAGACCAAATGGGCAAGAAAGGGATCCGGAGAGAGGTGGTGCACGACTGCCTGCCTGTGATGATCACAACCCACCAGGCATGACAGGGGGGAACAAACTAGCTGCAACCACAACTTAGACCTGGCTTTCGTCGCGTCCGCCGAGCACCTGACCCGGAATGTTTGACTCGCGATGCATCGGCGACTGAGAGGGGACCTGCACCTGAGCATCAGCCACATCGTTGTAGGGCGGTGGCGGCGGTATACCTCCGATCACCTCCATGCCCGCGTCAATGACTTCCAAGTCCTCCTCCTCGTTGTCCAACCCCTCGTCGATATTAACATTCACGGCGGCGTCGCTACGTCGCATCGGCGGCGTGTTGGCGTTCACGTGCATTGTGTTGTTGTTGTTCGGTATATCGTTGTTGTTGTCCAGGTTGGCATCAGTGTTGGAGGCAGCATTGGCTGTAGCTGTTCCAGCAAGGGCCACAAAAAGAGGAGCCACTGCCTGAGCGGCCTCAGTGCCACCAGCCTCTGCACCTTGGTCCTCCTGGTAATTGGACATGGCCACTTGGTAAGACGGCGGTGGTGCTTGTTTCAGATACTGAGCGATGGCATCATCATAATTGGGCAGCAACGTGGAGTAGGCACGCTCCTCGCCACCGAAAGATCCGCCCACGTTGTGTACTCCAGTCGGGGGCTCCAAGAAGGGGAACAGGGTGCGAACATGCTGCTGGCGCAGGGTCAAGTACTTGTAGCAACGCCAGACGATGCCAATGCAGTAGGCCTTAAGGAAAACAATGCAGACGAAGACGACAAGAACCACAACAACCAATTCCTCGGGCGGCAGCTCCAGAAGCTTCTCGCGCCAGGGCAAGCGGTGCGACTCGGAGATCATGCGGTGAATAGCCTGAAGGTAGCACAAGTATCCAGCAGCAGTAAGGCTAAAGAACAAGATGTATTAAGGATTAATATAATATTCTTAGGTTGAGATGTTGCTACACTTACGTTGTAATGGCAAAATCAAACAGCTGAAGACAGAAAAACGGTAGCAAGTGTGAGGGCTTTCCCTTAATGGCTCCGTAGATCATCATTAGGGTTATGGCTATCATGCAAGTGCAAACCAAGCCGCCCATGTCAAAGTTTTCTGCAAATTAAAGAGTAAGTTAGAAATCTTGCCTAAGAAAGAGGTATGTTGGAGTCTCACGGTAACGATTACGGTAGTTGAAGGAGTGATCGCGGTAGGCGTAGGGGGGATCCACCTTGCTGAGCGGCGTGGGCAGGGCCGGAGCGCTGAGATCCACTGTAGAGTCGTGGCTACCACCCTCTAGCTCGTCCATCATCTCGGGATATCGCCAAATAACTGCCAGGACGCTCAAAGCCAAGATGTTCAAAAACTGAAAGAAGAAACAATGAGGAATAGGAATATAGGTATAATTTCTGTCTAGGATATAGCTTATAGAACGATTTCACATATATCAGCAGACACCCCAATCAGCTATCTCAATTGTTTCAAGCAATTATTAGGTTTCTTTGTTTTTCGAGGACCACTTGGACTCCACAATCTGAAAGCCATTATCTATTCTATTAATTTTCGTTTATAATTCGAAAGTCAGAGTTCATATCGAAATATATATATTTTTTTGAGTAACCAACATCATTAGCAAATCAACAAAACTAATCACTATCTTGGCCACGTTCCGAATCGTCTGGCTTTGGTTGGCAATTTAGACACACATCGCTGGCACTTGTTAGCTCGTAGGATTGCCAGTAGTCACGGTGCTGGCACTGCACATAGTTCAAATACTCCACGAATGTCTCGAACGAAAATTGTACCGAATGCTTGCAGTTCAAACGGTGGTGGTGACGACAGTTACGATCGTAAATCCAGGTCCTTTGCTTCGGCGGCCTACCGCCAGTCTTCTGGAGATGCTGCTTAAAGGCCTCCCGATCATCGCAATAGAATATTCGCTCGGTAGTGTAGGCAATGCCGTCATGGAGTCCTTTTCGTACCAGGGGATGGGACAGGATTCTTTGCACTTCCACCGCCTCATTGTCCGTCTGCTGCAGTCGGATTAGCACCCAGGGTTGAATTAATCCAAAACGAATAAAGGATGCTACCCTTGCGATGCTTCCCTCGCGCTTTGGCCACTCATGGTTTAACCAGCGCACAGCCACCATGAAAACTTCCAATTCTGAATTCACGGCCACCCGATCGGATGCTAGAAGTTTACACAGTGGTTTGAGGAGAAGCCCTAAGAACTCATTTGACGCCACGAAGGTTAAAAAAAACAATGAAATACGCTGTAACATTTGCTCATGGTTGAAGTCCAGTTTGAGCTCCTTCGCCTCCAAGTACAGCAGCGCGGCAGATGCCTCTTTTAGGTTATTGGTCAAGCAAGATTCGCATTGGGCGATCAGCTGTGGAATTTTCAGGAAATGTGACGCCTGCAGCACCTCCAAGAGCCCGTCCCGCGGCAAGGCCGGTTCTGTATCGATCATCCACTCGTAGAGAACGCCAAAGGCGCGCGGAGTTACCATTTCACCAGGCAACTCAATAGTCATTTCGTTGCCGATATCTCGAAACATGCCAGAATAGCACTGAAGAATCAGAAGTTGTACAGGAAAATTATGTTCATCGATGATCACTATGGAGTTTGTCTGCACTCCGTCTCGCGCTAGCCCCACAATTCCGTCGTAGAGATTGGCCTTCTCGGGAAAGAATTTGCGGTGTTCCGGCGACTTCCAGGTGTCCGGTACTTTGTGTCCTATCGAGAACAATGGTCGCTCCCTCAGTTTGCAGCCATCATCAACCTCATCCACCAAATTACCCAACTCGGAGGAGGAACAGCTCCGATTTGAAGTTGGTCTGATGTATAGACGTTTTAGTTCTTTTTGCTCTGATGGTTTCTCCACTTTAGACTCGGTGGAGCTTGCAACTAGACCCTTTAGCTCCTCTTGGGGAATGGCCCTGCTTGTAGATTGTAGACTCATAAGCTCTGTATTCTTCGATGGATGCACTTTAGCAGAATGTTCTTCGGTCGGCATATACTCGAGCTCCATATTCTTCGAATGGTCGTCCCCTAGGGAGCTCAAGGAGGAACTAGCATATAGATCATACACCTTCTCTTTCTCGGAAAGCTCCTCAACCTCATGGGAATCAGCTGGACTTTCAAATAGACCCTTTAGCTCAGTTTTCTCCATCTTTTGAGACTTACCCATCTTTTTGAAGAACCCCTTAAGCTGCTTTTTCCCGGACTGCTCCCCTACTGGATAATTGGTCGACATACTCTTCTGCTCAGTGTCCTCCGAAGACTCGCCCTCTTTGGAGTCCCAGATGGGACTTTTGTATAGAACCTTTGCTTCCGTTGTCTCTCCAAGTTCCGCCTCTTGGCCCTCCGTGCCATCCTCGGAACAAACTTCTTCAGTTCCTGTCGTCTTACTTGCTTTGCTAACATCAGAGTCATCCAAGAAGTATCTTGGGTCAAACATACTGGAGTCGCCAGATCGAAACATTGCTTTGAAATAAATCGTAAACCTACACCGAAATGAAATTGGATTGAATGTGCCTGACCAGAAAACTATTGTATTTGATTCTGACTAAACTCGGAATGGAATGTCAACGGATATTATGTTTCTCTAGGATCACGAATGAAAATTCAAAGGCACCTTACTCCATTTGAAATCTATCCATCTAAAAGTCGTTCAAGTGCTTTTAGCAGGTGTGTCAGGCGGCTCATCGTGATAAGGTAAAAGCCGAAAACAGATAAGCGAGACCCACTTGATTTGATTTGCAACTGTTGGCTGATAGCTGACAGGTGAATTAACAATTCTCGAATTTATGGCGGACCCCATCAGAATGTTGCCCAAGAAGATATGCATACCCACTGGCAGGGTAAACGGTAAACTCTCGCTGGAGTCAATGTTTGCACATCATCCGTCAGGTACGTGTAGTTTATAAAAATAAATGAACAGCTCATGGAAATATCTTGTTGCTGTTTGCACAAATGGCCGTGCTTGGATATCCGATTTTGTGTCCAAGTATCTCGGGTTGATGGCTTTGTTTTGAACACACGCCTCGTCGACCTTTGATGCGGCATTTCATTTCACTATTTTTTCCTATTTTTCCCCCGAAGGAAATTGAATATGCGGCAGGCGGCATCTTATCTGCATAGCGGAATGTATCAACAGCCAAACGTCATCATGGCGAATGAGTCAATCATCGTGGCCTTCGTACACCCGAAACTCGTTATCAGCTAAAATGCATTCGCGATTTTTCTGAAGGTGATAACTCCAGTGCTGCTCAAACTGTTATCATTGGGGTAGCGCATGTGACGTGCACGGTGGGTTCTGCCGCGAAACGTGACCTGACTGCCCATAAAGGCCCATTATCAAAACAAATGCATCACAAATGAAATAAGAAGATCAGCTACACTGGGAAAAATCTAAAAGTATTTGAGTAAAATATTAAGAATATTATTTAATAAAACTGAGCCACCCCTTTTTTTTCAAGTGTAGCAATTGCTTATGCAAAGTCATGAGCTTGTGAAAGGTTAGTTTTAGACAATGAAGCTTCCCCCAATGGTGAAACTTCCGCTCCACGAAAAAATTGTCATGCTTTGATCTTATTTTTACGCAAATTTGATCAAATGACGCACTACTTCGTCACGTACTGCCCCCCATTGACGTCACAATGGGGGAAAGTAAGTTGAAGTTTGGGAGCCACTGGCGGGTCACAGTTTTCGGGCGACTGGGCAATTGGGAAATTGATTTTTCCCCTTCGCCGACACTGAACAGGGTCAAATTTTTCGCACAGGCAATGCGAATTGCATGCGTGGGTGGCACTGCAAGTATTTGTGTATATCCGATGGCACACAGGTGTGTATACGTGGGTTCTCCTTTCAAAGGTCAAGGGGCAGACATAGGCATTCGGATTAGTAGTTTTGCTTACCAAGTGCCACAAGCCGATCATCAGGGTGGCGGTATGGACATGCAGGCCAAAGCAGCAGGTAAACTCCTTCAGGTGACGAAGGTTGCTGCTGGTGGAAGCGGCATTGTTGTTGCCATTGTTGTTGTTGGCGGCGGCGGTTGTGCCGTGGTGCTGGTTGCGTTGCGGACCCATTTTTAAGTGGATCCTGAACATTGCTCGCCCCACAAACTGTGAAAGAGAACGAAGGCAATAGAGAGTTCAGAGCATTTCATTAATTGTGTTTATTTCTGTGCCCCATCATACACGCACACACACACATACACCCGCGCAATCAAATCAAGTAACCGTGTGTGTATTTGTTATTGTGTGCCACTTTTCACGGTTCCCTTGAAAATTTTCCATCCAACACTTTACGCAATTGATTTGCCAATTTCGTTTGATTCACTTATTTTCCTACCTCGGGTCTCTGAAATAATGCAACTCGAGCAAACTTTCAATTCGATTTGTGTCCAATTTTGGTGTATTCAATTTTATTTAACTGCTGCGCAGCGATGAAAATTAGTGGTGGATAAACATCGATATCTACATCGATGACATCGATAGTTAGCGAAGCAACATCGAGGTTTTTGCCAACTATTGCGCAGACATTGAGTGTACAATAATACTCATTATATATAAATAAATATAAAACAAAATTAATTACATAATATCAACAGCTTATTTATTATAAATTTAAAAAAAAAGCACTGGACGCTCTAGACTAGAAGACCCCCAAAACATGGCAAAGCAATACATTGTTTGGTTACATCGCTATTATTGCTAAAGAGTGCCCAATCTTCGTCCTATGCCAGCCCTTTTTCAAAATGTTTATATTTTTCAGATACATTTTCAAAAAAATCAAATTTTTCTGTTCATATCAAAAAATGTTCTAGAAAAAAGCGGAAATGACATCACTGCTTCTCGGTACTTTCCAACACTACTGAACTGTGTTTGTTTTTGCTCATGTTGGAAGGGAAGGAAACTGCATACAAACAGAAAACAGAGAGACTCGGGAATGAACTGAACTCTTGGGCTCGCACGCCTACTACGGACCATAATCAGTGCTTATATTTATTTATCGGCTAAATAGTGAACGTGAAGTGTAATTGCAGTTATATAAAAATTAGCGTAACGGTAACTGCACATTTACAGTAAGTTCCGTTTATCAGTTCTGTACGGTGTGCTCTCAAGTTTTCTCTTTGTTGCTCACACCCCTGCTGCATTTCCCAACTACGTCACACCGAATTCACTTTTGTTTGCTATTTATAGACTTTGATTAACTGCACTCTGCACATTTACGAAAATTGGGATAAAGAGAATTAGACAGTGATGGTGGTGCGGTGGTTTCTCGTGGTGGTTAGATTTCATATCACGATGTGCGGTTTTACGTTATCAGCGCCAAACAACAGCTAGTCGTAAATGTTGTGCGAATCAACAATGTTTTTGCCAATCGGACAGGGCCTAGTGGCCCACACAGCTGTTTTGGGGGGTCATAAATAATGTACCCTCCACACATCTTCGTTTTTGGACGCTACCAACCTTCTAGCTGCGGTGGCGCCGTTATCTAAACGGCTGGAAGTGCCCGTGCCCTACGCGTTAAGACGCGAGTTCGAATCTCCGCCCATGCTTGTTGGCTTCTTTCGACGATTACCCACGTTATTTAGCCGTTAACTCCTTGGGCAACATTAACTTTTTATTTTTATTTATTTTATTTTTTTTGTTTATAATCTTTAGTTTTATTTTCAAGTGAAGAACCATGATTTTCTTTATTTAAACCATAAATTTCTCTATTTCGACCTGGAAAAAATCGAGTTATATTTAGAGAGGCGACGTTATTTTAGGGCTCCTTTGGCCTCCCCACCCTGCAGAGCACTGGCTCTCCGCCCGTCGTTTCGTACTCTCTCCGAATTTAAGTGATGACGTAATTTGAAGCGCTGCAATCCTCCGTCTTGTTATGGTCTTATAAGAAATACATGCTCCGGGAACCGGTTTTGGATAGTTTACTTTTGTTTTCGGAACTGCGCCGCACCAAAACAAACTCGCCATCTGCTGGCGAACAACCCTCCCACCCCACACTTAACCCACCGCCCAACCACTTTTCCAAGATGGGTTCGAGATTCAATCATTGGACGATTATAGAGCCAGGTTGTCTCGTCGTCGTCGTCCATATCAATGAGAGTCGTCGAGGTGTTGAAAGCACAGCAACATCGCTAATGTGCGTTCGTTTGTTTATTTATGGCCAGCAGCAGCATGAGTTGCTTCCGCTGCGGCCTTGACATGGTTACAACATTCGTCCAGCTCCAGTAATTGTCCGCCGCCAAGCACGAATGCTTCGAATGGGTATGGAATCGCTCTCGTTTGATCTTGTTCTAATTATAGAACCTGCCCCCCTTACAAATGTTTTTGGAAGTACAGTGGAGTTCGTGTGTTTAAGACCACTTCTTTATGGCTTTCATTTCTTATCTATTGGTATCTCAAACTTGATAAAATACCTACTTACATAGCTAATAATTCACCCAATCTATTTACCCATCATGTCCCATTCCTTCTCAGAAATGGAAATCAAGGAATACCCAACAAAAATATCAAATATTTCATGTCTAATGGCTCCCCCCTTTCGCGTGGGATTTTATTACCACTGTTGTAGGGCTCTATAGCACGCGGCCAAGATGCGCGGCCGGTGACATCATCATTACAGAGCGGTATAGTCATTAATGATTGGATGCGTTTTCCGTCTGTATAGAGAGCCCAAGCTCTATGGGGTTGGGGTATTATTTGTGACCACCCACGCGAACTGTCACCCACCCGGATAGGTTACAGGGACTGGCGTTACAGTTTGGCGGAACGAAAGTGGGTCAACCGGTTGGGTATCAACACGCAACCTGTCAGATCGATAATCCACGACCCAGATCCCTTACAAAAATATGTAAACAAACAAATGCCAACATATTTCAAATGTGCGTACTTGGGTTCTTTTCAGAGTGGGAATTCGTGTACCAGCGCTGAGCCATGGGTCAGATCATGGGATCCATGCAGAGCAACGTAGCCGACGTTTTTAGTGGCCGGCGGAAGCGAAGGCGCAGCACAGACTCCTCGCCAGGGGCGGATGACCAGGCCCTACAGGACGCCACTGTGCCCAAAAAGTGAGTAGTTTCCATGGATACCCTATAGCCATTTCTAAATGGGATCTTATTCCGTAGGAAAAAGCTGCTAACCACCACCCAGTACATATACAAAGCCCTGTTCAAGGAGCAGCAGAACTCGGACGTGGCTGTCATGGCTCTGGACAAGGTGTGGCACTTGCACAAGGTGTACCTGAGCCAGAGTCCCTACTTCTATACCATGTTCAATGGTACGTGGCGGGAGGCACAGCAAAACTTTGTTCAGATAACGATCCTCGACGATCGAATAACCGTGGCCAGTCTGGACGCCGTCTTTGGATCGATGTACTCCGATGAGATAGAAATAGAACCGGCGGACGTCATTCCGGTCTTGGCGACGGCGACGCTCTTCCATCTGGACGGCATTATAGACAAGTGCTCCGAGGTTATGGTAGACTCCATAAGCCCGGAGACAGCCATCCAGTACTATGAGGCTGCCTGCCAATACGGAGTCGTTGGCGTTAAGAAATCCACCTTCCAGTGGTTCCAAATCAACCTGCTGAGTATATATAGCAAATTCCCCAACCTCCTAAGGCAGATCTCCATCGAGTTGATGAGCGCTCTGACAGCCAGCCACGATCTGTATGTGATGCAAACAGAGTTCTCGTTGTATACACTTCTACGCACATGGATGTTTCTGCGGATACATCCCGACTATGACCCCGAAGACCCGGTGCAGCGGGCCGAGGCACTCAAAACACAGGAGCGGTTAGCAAACGCCGGTGTGGAAACGCACACGCCCAGTGTGGACGTGGTACAGTGGACGTATTTTACTAACCGCATGGAGGAGCGGTCGTTCCTGGCAACGCCAGAGGGCCAGCCGTACATTCGTGTCTTTCAGAGGCTCCGCACCCAGTACCTGACGAACCACTACATGGATTTGAAGATCATATACAATGACAACATAATACCCAAAGAGTGGCTCTATCGTCACATTCACAGCCATTGGGAGGCGTTGCTGCGGATTGATCACGGGCAGGAGGATTGGTAAGACTACTGAGTTACTGTATTCATCATGAACTATACCATTGTCTTTCCTAAAATGTAGCAGTCCGACGCAGTTGGACGACGAGCAGTTCTTCGAAAATTGCATGCGGTGTGGGCGCCTCTTGCTCGAGCCTGGCTACCAAAAATGGCGCTGGACAGGCTTCAACTTTGGCATGGATCTCATCTTGATAATGGACTCGCGCAGGCTCAATATTCGTCGCCACCACAGGCACGAACACGAAAGGGTGCTGAGCCTGCAGACGCGGAGAAAGTTCATGGTTCGGACCACGGTGACCTCGATCAATGCCCGCCGTCAGCCTGTGTTCACACAGACCTCCGAGATTTGCACCCTGAGCCTGGAGAAGAACGAGGAGGTGCCGCTAATGGTGCTCGATCCAAAGTTGGTGCACCCGCTCCTAATTTCCATCAACATGTTGGTGGTGAATCCGCCGAATCAAAGCTTCAAGGAGGTTGTGCCGTATACCGAGGATGGGACAACGTCTCTGTCTGATCCGATTTCGGAAATTGGTGCCGACTGCGAAAGACCACTCACGCCAGCCAGTGCCGACGACTCGGCAGTCTTTATTGGCGACTCTGGACCATCGACGCCGTCATCGCCTGCTGCGCGGCCGCGAATCGCCTGGTCGGCCAGCGATGCGAACGCCATTTGCGGCGACCGGGCGTGCTGAGCGCGCTCCTCCAGCTGTCCACCCAGTTGTCCACCCAACCAAGCACTACCAGTACCACCACTTTTTGTTCATTAACTCGTTAACGTTGTTTTCGGGAATCGATGTAGTTTTTAATTGTAAATTCTTTTATCGCCATTGCGATTGGCACTCCATCGGATGCCGGTTCAATCAATCCAATCAGCATAATTGTACATTCATCACTAGCGTATCAGAGATCGTCTGGTATGCGCAAATCTATATATTTTTGTATATCGTTTACATCATTATTATATTGTAATAATGGCCAACCAAGGACTATCAATTTTTTTAGAGTAAGAGCACACTCTAGTGCCCTCGCACACGTACGTACGTAGATGTTGCATAACGTAGGTTTTAAAGATTCGGCGTCTAAAGATGTGATTGTTATGTTTAAGTAACAAGTAACGTGGCAAAGTAACTAAAATAAGAGCGTATTCGGAAAATGTTTGTTCAACGCATCTAACCAATTGTCCTAACACATTTTTACTCGCTTCATGTACGCACAGTAACCATTACCTTGAGTGATTTATTAAAGTTTACATCTAATTACAACTACTACGAATTTTTATTCGACTTCAAAATTGAACAGGTCTTGTAGTACACACTGTCGCCAGGACATTATGGCCTTCAGTACCACCCAACTGGACTGGCTTTGGTTCAGACCCTTGGCACACACATCTCGTAGTCTTTTCAGAACCCAATTTATCCTTTGGCTTCGCGTCCAGTACACGTAGCTGGACTTGCGGGCTGCTATCACATAGGGTTCCTTCTCCGCCGGGCTCATACACCTCCACACTGTGCCTGCCATGACAGACACCTCATTCGATGGCAGACCTCTCAGCCATTCCCTGTTGCACCTCCGGAAGTGTGTCAAAAACCTGAAGAAAGGGTTACGTCCGCCGCCTCTATAAACCTGTTCCCCAGCATCGCACAGTTGGGTCAGAGTTGCCTTGCAGATTCCTGCACTGGGCTTCCATCTCCTCCGACACTTGGTTTCAGCCCGTCCCATTTTGGTCTAAAATTTTGACTAGATACCCCAACAATTGCGTATACATATATATTATATTTGTATAACAATTAATGCAAAGTACATATGCCGGGTATTTTAACAATTCAATTGTTTGCAATTAACAACGAAAAATTTAATAAAATTTATCTAACTCCCATATACACACCAAACAAATTCGCTTTCGGATTATAAATATACATTGATTCCGTACAGAATAATACCATTTAGTAATAAAAGAGTTCGGGGAAGTTCGTCTCGTAGATGGGCTTCTCGTTGCTCGCCTGCAGTTGAGCCGCCTTATTGTCGCTCTGCGTGATTTGTCGTTCCACGGCCAGGGAATTGAAAAGCTCGTTTAGACGATTCTGGATGAGATCGTGCTGGAAACAGATGAAGAGGAGCATTAATTTTTACATAACGATAGTAGTTTGAGTTTCAATAACTCACCTTGGGTTCAGTGCGTCTCATCAGATCATCGAATTCGCCTTCTCGGAAGTTCCGAACAATCTGCATTTGACGTTCTCGCTGCTCCCTCTTGGCGGCCTCCGTGGGTTCTGCCAGAGCCCGCTTCATAGCCTCAAAGTTGAACTCCGGTGCTAGAAGCTTCTTGCAGACACCTGGTGAACTGCTCACGCTGTCCACGTCCCCATTGTAGACGGTGAGGTCTGCAGAGCTGTTTCGCTGCGTTAGCTGGGTGCTGACGGACTCTACCCATGAGTGGCGGTGACCCGGGTGGTCCGTCTGGTTAAGAGTGTACGGAGTGCCAGTATTTAGGCGTTGGGCATCCATGCCCGCGTTCTGCAAGCACTCTCCCAACGCTAGTTTATCGATGGCCAGGTGTGGCAGGGCCAGGTTCAGGTTCTTGCCAGACATTTTCTTGGGTTCCAGCAGAGGTGGTAGGTAGTGGGTGGCTTCCTCGCGCCGCGCGTCCACTATTTTCTGGGCGTAGTCAAGGAGGTTGTTAATACCACTTACTCGCGAAATGAGCACCAACAGGGAAATGGATATGGCGTGCAAATTGCATTTATGCACATTTCCCAGGGTGTCCACAGTGCTCGCCACCTGCTGAATGCTGAAAGGGAACATAAAGTAAAGGTTAGATTTTATTGCTCCCCAATGTAAGTTGGATGACTCACCCCAGAATGAATAGCAGGAATTCCTGTACTGTTTCGTTGCAGGACATCTCGACGATGAGCAGGGCGGCGGTGTTGAAGCTGGAGGTCAGAGCATCAACACGATCCGATAGGGCCATGCTGTCGATGAGCGCCTGCATGATGTTAGCTCCGTATTTGTGCGTGAAGATTATGTCGGAGCGGGATGGCGGTTCCTGAGACAGCGCCGGATAGGGCTTCACTGAGACGCTGCTGAGCACCTGTTCGTTCTGGTGGCGGTCGAGCAGAGCCTGGAAGATCTGCATTACAACCATTCGAGTGGGATCGTGAGGGGCCCGTGCCATCTTCAGCAGTGGCTGCAGGAAAGAGGCTGGGAACGCCTTCTCAAACGACACAGTGCTGTACTGGGTGCCAACTTTGAGCAGCGACTTGAGCAGTATATTCTGGAGCATCTGATCGCCTCGACTTTTCTTCGAAAGATCGGGCACCGTGTTCATGATGAACAGCATGATTTCGATCTTTTGATAGTCCGGATGGTGGTTGGCGAACTCTCCCAAAGCATTGATCAGCGCCTCCTGGTACTGCGACTCCTCCGGCGTTATCTCGGTGGTGGTGCTGACGCTGGTCCGCAGATGGGTCAGCAGGTTATTGATGATGTCTAGGGCGGATGGTCCAACACTTTCGCCCGCCGCTATGGCGATAATCTTCGACAGCACAACCGCCAGCGATGTACGTGTTTTGGGCGAAGACTTGAAGTTGCTATCAAGATGCTGCATCAGCGTCTCCACCACAGTGTACGAGTACTGAGGCTGGATGGAGATCATAACAATACGGAATGTATGAATCGCAAAAGTGTTCGGCACCCATAGCTCATGACGGTCCAAATGACTGTTGATAAGAAGGGGGTGATTAACTGATTAGAGTCTGTGGGGAATGCATCCGCGTAAGTCACTTACGTCAGCAACGGCTTGAGAACACTTCGAATGTGTCCAAAGGAGGCGCGACCCACCAGTTCTCGGAGTACTTCCTCGGCCAGTGCCGGCGGCGTTACATTGGTGGCGTCTTCAACGGGAGTGAGATCGCCCGACTGCGTTGGGAAACAAAAATCTCATTAGTTTTTACTGGAACATTAAGGGGTGAGGCTCTAATCAACATTCACTATGCTTATATAATGGTAAAATTCGAATCATTACCGCCAGTAAATTTTTCTTCACGAACATAACGTTTACACAAAACTGTTTGGTTATTGTTGTGTGTTGGTTGTGTTGTGGTTAGTTTGGGTTTGGTTTGCATTAACAAATACACGAAAACGAAATGCAAAATACATCGAAATTAGTTCAGTAATCAGCCAATGGGACAGACATTTCCTATCGGTTTGGCGAGTCCCAACCCTCGCACTACGAACCTGCATATTAAACAGCAGCGATGGCACAATCTTCTCCATGTGCTGGGCCTCCCAAATGTTCTCCACCAGGTCGTCGGAGACGGTTTTGCGGATGACTCCTTGCAGGCCCTTGATTCCAGCTAGTCTCAGGCTATCCCGTAAACTGGCCGCGTCGCTGTGGCACATCGACGAAAACTTCGAGATGAAGAAGTCGTACCGACGATGGTATGAAGGGGTGTCCTCATTGATGTTGGCGAACTTTACAAACTGAAAGGTCAGGATGGTAAGAGAAGCTTCTTTTTGCTGTCATGAGCAGTCACTTACCGAATTGGTTGCCATTATCTTCAGGTTTGGGTTTGAGTCCTCCAGCAGCTTCTGTACCATGCGCAGAAACGACTCCACGAAAAGGTTGAGAGTGGTCTGGGCATGACAGGCCTGGAGCAGCAGGTCCATGGCCTCCATAGCAATTTCAGCCAGCCTGTGGGTATTTAGAATTTAGTAAAGATCAAAGTTTATCCATAGGAAACTCACTTGTAACGCTTTCGGTTAATGTCCTTGGTGGCCTTCTGGTACAAGTATTCGCCAATTCGATCCAGCTTGTCTGGTGAGCTGAGCGAATAGAAGGTAAGCTTCTCCATGTTCGACTTAACCAGACCATCCTCTGGATTAACGGGAAAGATGTTGTCGACCAGGCGCTTGTAGCGCGGCCTCAGGGCCGAGCAGCACCCACAGCAGCCTAGAACGGCACAAGGAAAGGCACAGCGATTAGAGGGATTTGGCAGGCAGACCCGGAGGCAGCGGTACGTGAACATGGTGCCGCCTCTCTCGCCGACGGAGTGGTGAGCTTGTGAAAATCGCTCAGGTCGTGTGGGTGCGACCACCATTTTCCGCTTAATCTTATCGCGATAATTGCTCCGCGGACCATAGTTTTGCTGTTCGGATTGCCCTTAGTCGCGTGTCCGTCTCCCCCCTTTGCAACTGTGCATATGTGTGCCAAGCTGAGTGATTGGACTGCTCATCGTTTCCGCACTTCCTCCTTCCTGCCCAGCCCCTAAAAACTTTACTCCATCGATTTGAAAGGTGTCGTCATTCCTCGCCAATAGCTTGGATATTATTTGTGTGTTGGTGTCGAGGTCAATTCGCTCAATGGTCCGTGGCACGGAACGCTCCAGTCCCAATATCACCTGCCCCCCAAAACGCTTACCAGGCATGACGGCGTCCGCTGCTAACACGTAATTTGTTTCTCGGGGCCGTTATCACGGCATAAGATAAATAAAACGCTTCAACTTTATCGTGATACAAGGAAACTTTGTCTAGTGCTGCCAGATATTGATTCGGTGTATGGCGTTGCCTAATTGGCCGGGCAACTGACAGTCTGGCAACGCCGCGCAGACTATTCCTGCATGAATCAGGCATGAGGGAACTGGGCATGATTCCGTTTATTTTTTAAAGCTTTATTTTTTAAACTTATTTGAGTAAAATTAAAATTCCAATTAAAAATTAAAATTTGTCTCTAAAATAAATTGGTAGAGATGGTGTAGATGACTAAGTAACACCATTAGGACTTAATAAATTATAAATATTCCTTATCCAAACACTTTACATTTTAGTTTTAAATATAATTTTTACTAAAAACACAATTATTTTTCCTTAACTAAGCTATATTTTTATAGGATTCTCGTATACTTACAACTTGGATCCGTGCATCTTTGCACGAAACTGTCAAAGAACTCGGGTAATTCTGGCGGCTCGAAGCAGCAACGTATCAGGGCCATTTTAAATGTTATTTTTGCCAAAAGAAATTGGCATACTCTCCGTGAGGACGTTGACCATGAACTTTAGTTATTTTTAGCGCGAAATGTTGTCCTTTTTTTAGCTGCTATTTGTTGTTGCTCCGGGTCAGCTGATGTCCCGACTAACGGGAGCAAAGCTCGGATTCGCTCGCAATGGAGCTTTCTATAATGGGTAGCTTATATCACAGGTTTTGTTTGGCCAAATAATGCCATTTTCACATTTTTAGCTGACACTCTGTAATGAATACTAATTCAACGCGTAATTCGAGTTTCCTAAGTTGCCTACTTTTATTAATAATACTGCAAATACTTTGGCCAACAAAAATTGATCAATTAAGGATGAAAATTTGTGATAACAAAAACTTAAACCGCACACAGCGAGAACAACAAACTGAATGGAAAATGTGTGTTTTTCGCACAAAAGCTTAGCACACTTTTGAGGCTTCGCATTGGCCTACGACCCGAAGGTGGCTTCCCGAACGACCCGAGCTTCCAAGCCAAGAGCAGGTGGTATGGCCACCACCAAATGGCGGACCTGTTCGCAGTGCCTACTGCTCCAGTGAACCAACCATTGGCCGCAGGAAGGCATCAGCCAAGAACCTGGACTAGTCCTGCAGTAGCAGCTCTCGGAATTCGACTGGAGTGCAAAAGGGCAAAGGATCGCGGCTGGGCAACGCAACAAGACCTTTAATCTCTCTATGAAACGTTGTTTACAATGGAATTTATTAATTAAATGAGTCATTAAGGGGGTCAATCATCCCTACCTTTGTTCCAATGAAATGCAATTACAAATAATAGTTTTCCTTGTTTGGTTACTTAACTATTTAATATTTTCCTTCCTGCCACCTGGCTGTTTATTTAAATTAAACCGTTTTATAACTGTCTCGCCAAAAGTTTTCCTCCCCCTTTTCCCCATCATTATGAAGCTTTAGGCCCATAATGGAGCTTTCGCTTATCAAAGTTTCTTAAATTGTTTTACAACACTTGAATTATATTCAACACCTTATAACCCCAAACTTCCAAAGGAAGGACTAATTAGCCGGTAAGTTATCATACGGGAATACTACCAAAAGAGTATAAGAGCCAAAGTTTTGCTGAACGCATCGCGGTTGGAATTAAGAATTGGTTTCGAAACCTCTACGTAGGGTGTTCCATGCTTTTTTCTTGGATTTTAAACTTTAATCCAAACGGGAATGATTAAGGGCACGGATTAAGTCGCCCGTATCAATTTCCTTCCTAAATTGGAGCAGTGGAATTGGAGCTAGAGGTGGACATAGGGGTAGTGGGTCGAAAACTCCGTAGCCTTCGTTTTTTTTACCGTTATATTGGGCTTACAATTAAATACTTGAATTCGGAATGCAAAATGTGTACTTGAAGGCAAAAAAATGAGTATACACTTGAAGAAAATTAACAAGAAACAATATTCTTATTACAATTTCTATGTATTGCATAGTTCCTAAAACCATAAGAAAAGTTCTTAAATTTTTATCAAAATAAAGTTTTTGATTAAAAAGCCAGTTTGTTTTTGTATTTTTTTGTGTACTTCAAAGAGCGCTTCACACGCCAGTTTCGTGGGTTGACAACTTTATTAATCCCAAATGGACTCCTTTGGTTTTGGATGAAGGGGCCGAAGGTGGTGGCTGGCGGGCGAAGTGGACGTGCTTTATAGTTTCTTGACCGACGATGACGATCGATGATTTATTTGAATGGGCTGCTTACTTCTGTGACTTTTTGATTAATTACTGTGATATTCAAATATTCAAGTGTGTGGCTATAAACGCGCAAAAATATGAACATGTGGATACAGTCGGACGTCCAAGAGTAAAACCTTCTGTCACATAATACAGTGCCAGTGATAAGACCTCAAACGAGACTTAAACTGGAACTTGTATTTATATTTGAAGCGTAAAAAATGCAAATACCAAAAGATCTTTATAAAGATTTATTGTGTTTTAAATTTCATGAAAATTCGAGTTAGAGATGATGGACTGTAGGCTGGAGATTTCCCAGCGTTAAGTTCTGAGCATATTTTACGCTTTGTTTACTTTTGTGGCCAGGGATTAGCGCCCTGTCCGGTGGTATCTGGAAGATGAATTAATTAGTGACCGGCTTTAATGACTAGTGATTGATGAGTGGGAGTGGCCTTCGGAGAGGAGCGGGGGAGGCCGCAGGCTTGGGCTGGGGGGCTCCCAATGTATAGGGTCACCGAACAGTAGCTCCAGTGGAAACTGGTTGACAGCAAAGCAGGAACATCATCGACCATGTTAAGCCAGCAATATTTTCATATTTGCCAGCGCGTAGGAAAACATCTCAAGAATGTTTGGGCGATCTGGTTTCACTTGTTTTCGAGTGAGTACTCGAACCTTGATTTGATTCATATTCGCGAAACGAAAGACTCTAGAACACGAACTTGCGGGAGAGCGGCTCTCATCTTGCCGAGCCACTTGCTCGCTCTCCCTCTCGCTTTGGGTCGTTTCTCTGAGCTTTGGACGAAATCAGTTGAAGCCAAGTTTTACTTCAGTCGGCTCTGAGACCGGCCCGCGATCACTTGGCCCGGAAAAAAGTTCCCAAACTGGCTAAAAAGAGCAAACAAAAAAACGAAACTGCGTCGCGCCGCATCTGCCAACAATTAAGTTAATACAAAAAAAATAAACAACGAACTGGCCAGCGCCCATCAGTCAACATCAACACACCGCCTTGAGGATATATAGCTCGATCCTCTGGCTCTTAAAAAAACACACACACAAAAATAGAAACAAAAACTAACGACCATCGTTACGTCCATTCAACCGATCGGCAACCCACGCAAAACGACAAAACGCTTAAATACAAATCGTGATAAATTTTTGCTAAATTGTGCAAACGTTATTTGATGATTTTTTCGGTTTGCCCGTTTGTGTTGACTAATTAAAATTTGACGTGCATACCAAAACTCCAACTTCGACAACCTTAAAGCGAAAAAGTCAAAAAATAAAAAAACAAAATTTTCGCAAAAACGACACTTAACAAGTGAATCAATATTGTGTGTGCCGAACGACAGCAGTAACAGCAATAATAATAATAATAACAAAAGCATCAGAGACGTAAAAACGAACCAACAACAAATACACAATAAATGTAATTAGAACTGCGCAAATTACTTAGAACTGCAAAATCGTTTGTTCTACCCCCCCACACACAGATACACAACAATCCACACCACACCAGACAAAAATTAGCCACAAGTACACCCCCACTAACGCACGAGGAATGCTGTTTTGAGGTGAGTCGATTACCCAGTACAGTAGAACAGCCCTAAAACCGCCAGCTAACGCCGTAGATGCTTTGCTCTGATAACCAACTGAAACCGATACGGAACTCTGGACCTCTATCCATACATATATAGCCATACTAAAACCCCAAGCGATTCTCCTTGAATAATTCAGACTCTCGGTTGGAAATCGCACACCCGATCTCTATCTCTAGTTGGTTTACGACCCCCGAATAGTGTCCCAGTTACACACTTACGTGGGTGAGTGTGACTGTTCCAAATCCGTATATAGAATATTGTCGGCCAACGCATAACTATCGATTGTGAGTCAGAGCTACAATATCTAAAGATTTGACGAGTCGGAAACCTACATAGTTCAATTGATCTTTTAAAACCTTTCGCCCGATCTGGTTAATTGGAAGTCATTTTCGGGTTCAATGATTCGCACCGCGCACAGTAGAAAGAGAAGATCTATTTAGCCGGCCACTTTCTTCCAATATTTCTTTATAGCCACCTCGGCTCGGCTCTCCACCTCACCTAATGGCTGGGAACATTAACATTGAATACACTTAAGTTTTGTAGCCAACCCCAACCTTCGGTGGGGCTTTTGAATGTGGATGCAAATTAATAACCAATAGCCAATTCTAATGTTAATAAAAACTCGGCTCGCAAATGCGAGCGTCTTTAGGGTTTTTGGGCGGAAATAGAATTTTGAAGGCCCCACTCAACCGAAAGCAAACATTTTTCAACGATGACTGCCCAGTTGAGTGAAAGTTTTTCGGATTTTCAAATAAAGAGAATCTTTCAAAAAAAACTCACTGCACCTACCACGCGGATCACCAGGCAAAATGGCCAAAGATCGATTTAAGTTCTTGGGAATTAGCATTGCAAATGATGAATTTGCATTAACTTTGGTTTTTAATTCGATTAGGAGTCTAAAATTTATTGTTCTTGTGTGGCTTTTTGGCAAAATATACATAAGTAATTGGCCAGAGCATCGGCATATTTGAATTCAGGTTCTGGGCTATTTTCGAACTCATTAACAAATCAGAATCGAGAACCTTATCGGCTGGGAGCTAGTGCTCATTTTCAAAAGCCGTCACGAACTAGAAACTATATATTTATAAATATTGTCTGTTGGAAAAAATAAGCAAGAAACCGAAACAACCGAGAAGCATGGATCTGCAGAAATCAGCGGTCTGGTTCTTTAACCTTTCATCGGTGCGACTTATGCAAATCTTTATCGTGGTAATGGGCGATCTGTTGGCTCTGTCCAATCTCCTACCGAAGCACTCCATGTACATCTCACGTCCGTTCCTGGTGTGGCATCACTTCGATGCCGATGATGAGCCGGACACAGATGAGCCCGGCCAGGACGACGAGGAAGATGAAGAACTCAAAGTGGCGGAGGATTACTATCTCACAGATGATAACGATAGCTGCCAATCGTTCTGAGGCTCTGTCGTATATAATTTCTGTTTGTGCATTCGCGTGGGAGACGATGTTTTTTTTTTATTGCCAAAGATTTGACCAGCCTAACCTTGAGTTTCAATGCCAATGCCAAGTGCCAGTGCCAGGCCCATGACGTCACTTGTATCTGTATCTGTATCTGGGTGCAGCTGTGTGCGTACGTATCTGTGTTTTTGTCTCGTGGTAGGTGCCTTAGTAAACACCTCGTTCTCATTTTGTTCACTGCAGCTAAGGACCCAGCAAGCCCAATGGACCAAAGCCCCGTGAGCCTCTTCAAATGCCTGGCCAAATTAACTCGACTCCTCATTAAAGCCGAAAAATTCGAAAGTTTCGACCGACGTTGTCTGGAAATAAACGTCAATTTAAACGAAACCTCCAAACAGGAGGGAACCATTGACTCGGGGTATGGGCTGGGGGTTTTTGTGTTGCAAATAAAAAATCAGAAAAAAAAACAACAAAAATTGAAAATTCTGAAAAAGCCGCTTTTGTTGATGTGGCCAAAAAAGGTCTACAGCCTTGCCTTGTATGCAGTCCTACGGCCTGTTTCATTTTCGTTTTTGGGAGTTGCGTTTGCCTCCGTATTATCTTGTTTTCAGTTTTTAGCTCCCCGATTTTGATTTTTTTTTTTCGTATACAACTTTTTATAAATTTTGTATTTGTGGGCTGCCGTTTTTGGTGTGCATGCGTCAAGGATGATTTGTTTTTTGTGCACAAGGCGGAGATGCCACCATATCGATGATCAGTATTTCATTTGTATTCGATTTTTTCCGAGTGCCCGGGTCGAGCTTCCTGCTTTGAGTCAGTGTCCGGCTTTTAGCACGTACACCTACGGTAATTAGTCACCGAGATCAAAGAACGCTACCGCCAAACAGCTTTTCTTGGAACTAATGCAGCTATTTATTTAGTATAAACAAGCATAACTTTGTTCTTAGATAACTCAAGTGGTAATGATGGGGGAAACCCATGGGGCTTTAGTCATTCATAGACTTCAAAAGTAAACATCCATAAAAATATGAAATTGTTTGAAAAATATTTTATATGAATTATGGAAAAATGTTGAACAAATATCAGGTCTCACAAGTTGTTCCCGTTCGGCCGTTTGGTGGATTGGATCAGGTTGATGTGTTTGCCCCACTCCCTGGTGACCTTAGCCGATCGATTGGAAGTGGAAGTGCGAGGTGCTCTTCGCAGCTCAACGCACATTCACATTCACTTTGGGCATCGTGCAGCCTTAATTGCCCATGGGGGTTCAACAGCCAAACAAAAGCCGGGCAAAAACTCACAAAATGGCTTAAAAAATCAATGTCTGTCAATGTCTGTGGCGCAATCGGCCTGAAAGTCTGTCGGTCGTCGGTCGTCGATCGTGGATCGCTGATTGTTTAACTGTTGACTTAAGCGGCAGTGTTAACAAATTATTTGATTTGGTCGCATTTTGATTTAAAAGCCAAAACATCTAACTGGCATTGAGTCTTTCAGCGGAAGTTGGAGCGCGGGAATCGAAACGAATCGGTATTGAATTTGGCCAAAACGGTAAATGGCATACGACACTTCACAGACGGCTGCGGAAGTACTTGGCTCTCAATTGGGTTTATATCGCTTCTGGGCCAGCTCTCGTCTCTCGCCCCTAGTACCCAGAGTCTGGGTCCCAGACTCGAAAGCCAAAATCATTCATAGCGAATCAGCAACGTTTGACACGCTAGTTTGGCTTAATTTGGTTTTTGTGTTTTTTCGGGGCTCGGGTTCAAAAGCTGGCAGACTGACCTTTCTGGGGGATATCAAGTGTCGCTCCGGCAAAAAGCAGGTGCAACTCGACGCCCTGGGAACTCTCCGTTTGACTCTGGGAAGCTGGGAGAGCACGAAAAAGTCCCCCGATTCGACTTCTTTCTTAACATATATTTTTTGTGGCCCAAAGCCCTGGGATCTTCTTGTTTTTTTTTTTGGGGGTTCGCAAAAGGCTTTCAATGAAGTCATTAATTTGATGTATTGGCCGATAGTTTTGCCTTTTCGGTTTGTATTGGGGCGCTTTCATCTCGAGCCAATTACGAATTTCTAAGAATCGTATCGCCCCCAAGACGTGGGCCGTTCGTCATGATATCATTGGTGCCCCTGTGACACTGCTCCATGCACATAAATTAGACAAAACATAGAGAAAAAAAAAAACTGAATCGATTATGGCCCAAAATGTTAATGAGCCACAATTTGGTCTATGACGGATGGATGGATCGTCATCGTCATTGTCTTATCACGTACTTGCGGCCCATCTGAAGTGGAGTTGTCTTGTCCGAATTGTAGATTTGTAACGCTTTCATAACGCAACACCTCCCAATCTCCCAAGCCCCCTCCTTTATAAAAAAAAAGTCCAACAAACTGAATTACTCAATGAGGAATACATAAAAAGTACACTCAAAGTGTATAAAGGCTCTGGTGTTGAAAGCGTGTGTACTTTGTATGCCACTCGACAAGTTTGCGACTTTGATTCGCGGTCAACAACATTGGCCAGGGATTGGAAGTCGAACGAATCGAAGCCCGTTTTCAATTGCATATCAATGAACTCTGCACCGGAAAAAAATGAACATAAATAACATCCCACACCTTGAAATAATGTGCTTGTAACAGGTAACATATGAGGAAATAAAGGATACATCTTTTAATGATTTTATTTATATTTGAATTAGAAAAGAAATTAATTTCCCACCTGTGTCATCGTCTTTTCTTCCTCTGTCTCTTGCGAGGGAGACTCCAAATCGGCATTCTGCCAATCAAATTGAAATCGAATCTAACGTCGATCAATTAACCGATCTGCGAACTGAAATTAGCATAAATTACGATATCAGCTACCGCTAGCCGGACGATTGGCATTAATTACCCGGCAGTTTGAATGGAAAAAAAAAGTGAAACTCTCCGGGTCTTATGCAAGGCGGAAGATGGCGCATGCACCGTTGATTATGACATGCACTACAGACCCAAAGAAGGCATTCAAACTTGGCTAAAACGAGGAGCTTGAATCCGCGAGCTGGAAGCTGTGGGGATCGCTAATACTCTCAGCCAGCATCGCGTGCAAGCTCGCCCTTTTCCCACTCCGAACAGTCGTTTTCCTTGGCTTGGGGCTTTTTTGGTTTTTTTTTATTGCTTTTTAGCCGGATTGTGAGATGAGCAGCGACGTTGACCTTTGCCACCGCGCTTGAATCGTTGCCGGAAATTTTGACACTGTCTTTATTGATTTCCCAGGGAAAGCTTCGTGTTTCTGTCGATTCTTGTGTCTTGGCCCGCAATTTTGGCCAACAATTGGCGATAACAAGCACAGAATTCCAAGGAATGTTGGCAATGCACTAATAACTAAGGAGTGGCGCTTGATACACAAAATACGTGAGAAGATAGTTTATAATTCAAATATAAAGTTGAAGAACCATCATAAAAATTCAGGAATTTCTAGGTGTATCTGATGATATTCTCTGAAGCTTTTTATATAAATTTCTCTCCTCTTTTTTATATGGATTTTTGGTGTCATGCTGCCAGCCCAGTGTGTCTGGTCGCATTTTAAGTGATTGAGAATTATGATCGATCGATCGATCTAAACTCTCTACTGTCCACTCGCCGGGTCCCCTAATTGATTTCCGAGCAGGTTAAGAGTCGCACAGCCACCAGCTATGACATGGATAGAATTTGGCGCTCCATCATTTCGCGATATAGTTACCCTCCCAGGGCTAATTATGAGTTCGAAAAGTGAAATCTATTGTCTTCTCTAGACACCGCCGAGAAGGCCTTTCTCAAGCTGCGATGTTTGATTATTAATCATGCAAAAAATATACAGACTTGTAAGCAAAGAAATTGATTTACATTTTTCGCTGTCTGGGAACAGCTTGCAATTATGCTATCGACACTTGCCGCACACGGTGGGGATACTAGAGACGGGAAAAAGTTGCCACGTAATGCCGCACAGATTAACCTTCTAACATACATAATAAGCCAAGTCCGAGTGTGAGATACTTGTACAAAAGGGAAGCTACCACCAGGCTACCACCGCAATACCCACAGATACAAAGATACATAGATACAGTTTAGCTGGCTAACAAAGCGTGAAAACGACAGCGGCCCAAGAGCGTCAGCGTCAGCGGCCACAAAAACGATGACGAACAATGTTGCCAAGTTTGGCATTGGTTGGCTGCCTGGTTGTTGGTAACAGAGGCGTGGGCACTAAGGGGTCATAGAACATTTTAAAGCCCAATAGTTTCATTGACTAAACCATTCAAATGACTTGAAATTAGTTATACTTTCGGTCAATCAGATGTGGTGGCCTTTAGGAATTTATCTACTAGATAACTTCTAAGCCCCATGACGTACACCCCTGGTGGTAATTGTGAGTGGGCGCTGGACAATCACCAGACAATCCCCCAAACCCCCAGCTCGGAACTTGTCATCGTCATCGCCGTCATCTGGCGAATGCCACACGTACATAGATGCTCGCATAGATGTCTCTAAATGGGAGTAGCAATTACTAATTTCCTTAGTAAAGCGCTCGGCTCAAGGGGAATTTAGTTGTAAGAAACCTGACAATACCCACAACGGCAGTCGCCTGGGTCTCAGGCCTGGCCCAAACTCTCCAATCTAAACTCTCGCTGGCCATTCTTGATTCCCCGTTCTCCGTTCTCCATTCTATGAGTCGCGATTCTCAACTCCTTGCCAAAGACAGCGCCGGCGCGTTCTTTGGCTGTCTGCGCGTCTTGGCCGTCTGGGGCATTGAGCATCGGGGCCACATTGGCCACATTGGGCATTGGCGGCCAGTCGGCCCGCTGAGGCAGCAGCGCGGCATTCACTCACAGATGCCTGGGCATAGATATCGAAATGCAATTAAGTATTTGCCAAAGTCGAAGACGCGAACGAGCGCCACCAACAAAGCGGCGGAGTGCCGGAGCGGCGGAGGCACGCATGGAAAAATGTTTTCCAGCGCTAGACAACCGCCGCCAGTTTGGCCAGTCCGCCGCTCCAGAGGGAGTTGGATCCAGAATTCAGAATTCAGAATACCCAAAGTGGTGGGGAGCGACAAACTAAAGGAGCTCGATCAGGACCAGGAGCAGGGGTAGCTCTGATCTTTGCATAACATGGACTTTGAATGGCCACAGGGCTTGGCCATACTTACAAATTGGACTACACCTTCATTTTCACTTCTATGAGCAAAGGCCGCTCTTGTCCAATGGGCCTATGGCTACACTGGAAGAAAAGGCAATATGTCTTCATTCCTGTTCTCTTGTTTTATCATTCATTTAAATTTAAAACGTTGGTAGACCCTTTTTCCTAGTGGACTTTTGCGATCCCCATCCGCTGGCTGAACTCGAACCCCAGAGGTCAGATTCACGGCGCTGAGAACACACGCAAAGTGGCCAACTGTCGAGACGTTTGTTTGCTTTTGGCCTGCTGCGCACTTTTGGTTTCACTTGACAGGGAAAGGGGGCCGAAACGGGGGAGAATTGGGTGGGGTTCTGAGCTTTGGAGTGGGCTCTGTGTCTGGGGGTTTCCTATCATTACCGTCGGTGTTAAAGTTCAAGTTCAGAACGATTATTGTTCTTTTGTGCAGGGCCAGGGGCTGGGGCGGCAGTAGAATATATACATGTATATGTTTAAATTGTTTATTCTGCGCGCTAATCTAATCCCATTCCCACATGTACGGGTGTAATTTATGTAATTTCAAATAATTTGTCTTAAATTAGCTACTCCCCGGACGCATGCAAATGGAGTAGCGATCTGTGAATGGAATAGATTGCACCTGGGCAGGGGCTTCGGGAGGCGGGTGTCCAACTTTTTAGTTTAATTGAAAGATGTTGGGCCGGGCAGCCCAATTGCAAAATGCAATTGCCAGTTGCAACTAAGCAACAACAGCTCAAGCTCCAGCTCAAGCTCAAGTTGAAGCTCAAGGCCCGCCAAGCGATACAAATTTTATGTTTATTACACCTTAATAATGCGTGTTTACAAACAAATCACGTTCATGGCGCAATCAACGCTCGGCAATCGGCATCAGGAATCAGACATCGGCATCTGCCATAACATTGCGCATAAGCGCCTGCCCAGCTAACATAAAACTGAAACCCCAAACCCCAGAACCCAGAACCCTAGTACCCAGAACAGAACCCAATGTCGAACCAAGACAGGATCGAGTTGACTACTTCCCATCAACGTCAGGGCGCACGCATGCGCACTCAAATTATATGGTAAAGGATTTTTATTGGCAGCTCGCAGCGTTTTCCCCTCCAAATGGAAGGAATGGCCACGACTGGCCTGGACTGGACTGCATCGCTGCCCGGCGATCAGACAGACAGACGATGTTGTGCCATTGATGTCTAGCCGGGCGATTGTGCTCGTTAGAGCGAAAGGCCAAGTCAAGAGTCTGGTTTTTGGTCTGGCTTGGGGTTCGGGCAAAGGACTATGTCTCTAAGTAAGCCAGTAAGTGAATGAGCAGCACCTGAGCCACCAGCACCCTCGTCCTGGTTCAGGTGCCATAATAGACAGACATTTTCCACACATTACCTGAGCTTCTTGTTATACTCTGAGAAGGAAAAAATAGGATTTTGTAAAAAAAGGAATATGTAATAAAGAAATTTGAATCTTTTATTAGAAAGTTCTATCTCATATGAGTTAACTGCTATCTATAGATTTTATTTATAAAATTCCCAAACTCATTAGAGATTTTAGAATTCTGTTGGAATTAAGTTTTAAAGCCAATAATATGCAAATTAAATTCTTCTCTTAGCAGAATTAATAATCAATAAATTTATGAAATTATTAATAGAAAGGGTATCCCACATTTTGCCCAATTCCCTTGTAATTCTTGAGAGACCAATAATGGTCTGTGGTTGCATGTGAGCGCCTGGGTGGGTGCGTGTCCATAGAGTGGTTGTCTAAACTGGACGTTCTTCTGGGCGATCCGATGGGCTCTTTCTAGGCATTGAGGGGGACTGAGGGGGCACTGAATATCCTCCGGCATAATGCATTGTTTAAATAGAGTTTGCACTCTCGTATTCAAATATGAATATTATCGCGTTTGCTCAATCGCAAACAATATTTCTACGGGTTTCTTCTCTCAGGCACTCCCCACACGAATCAAGAATATGCCCTCGTATCCCCCCTCTGTGACAATGGCGGAGTATTTTGAATCTCGTATGCAGCCCAGGCACCCTCATCGTGTGTCTATTTTTGTAATTGTCAGAGAAAACCAAACAAAAAGTATAAATAAATAAATAAATAAATAAGGCTAAAGCTCAATTCGAATGTGCCCACTCCCGAAAGTGAGGGATCAGTCAGAGTGAGACTCGGATTCAGAATCGGAATAAGAATAAGAATACGAATTAATTGGCAATCATTCTTTTTGACGGCTGTCATGTTTATACCCGGGCTAAGAGGTGTTGTGCCTGAAAGTGCGAGATTCGCCGGAAATTGCGCAAACTAAAATAACTATAATTATATTTTCAAATAGGTTCCTCCAACTATTATCCACTTCTACTAAAATTCTATACTTCCACACTGCATATTCCCTGGAATATGAACTGTCTAATCTGATTTTAATGCCACTTTCTCCCATATTTCGGCAATTGCATGTTCGAAGTACATAAAATCAAATCTAACAAGCTAAACCATGAAGTAAACCAGAAAAACTGTAACAAAAACTAGGCTAACCTAGCCGTGGAGCTGCGAATTAAACTCACGCTGGCTAATCACTGGACAAAATAATCGAATAACATAAATAACCAAACCAACAACACCGAAAAAAAGCAAACCAGCAGACTGAGCCAACTATTTCTTCTTCCAGCTGAAAACCATTTAAATTTCCCAGCTTAAATGGAAAATGCGAAAAGTTCAAACAGCTCGATGAGACTGTCGCACAAAGAGCTTACATAGGGTTGCGATTCTTCACAGAGTGAGAAGTGCCCCCTGACCCCAGGAGAGAGAAGAGTAAAGACAGCGGAGAAATAGCAGCAACAGTTAAAGATACAACGAGGAGGTATCCAAAAGATACAATGCAACTGCAATCCGGAGCAGCGGCGGCGACAACAAATGGCGGGCCAAGGGTCAGCTTCAATCGAGATGTGCACGTGAAACGGATAGGTCAGTGCGTAGTTTTTTGGGGAAATACCACCCCCACTCCATCTAAACCAAAACGTAACCCCAATAATACTAAAAACCAGAAAAAAAACAATCTCAAACCAAAACCAGAAATTAAAAGCAAATAACCAACACGCGCAACATCCAAATGAGAGCAGCCGACACGAACCCACAACGGCTCTCTAATGACAAACTAAGCAGCAAAAGGCATACCGCAGTCACAAGAAAACCCCATCAATAACCAGCTAACAAAAAAAATTACTAACCAAGTCGCATCTGAAAAACATGCCCGTATACTTACCTCGCCATCTAAGTGTGTGAGTAGGCCAATTTTGGTCAATCAATGACGGACAAACGGACAAATGGACTGACGGACAGCGGACAGCCCACGCGAATGCAACTCATTAGCTGGCCAAGCAGTTCTAACGTTTTCGTGATCTTGGCCAATAGCTTTCCATCATCGATTGCACAACAAAATGTGAAGAAGCTCTTCAGTTGCAGCTGCGGATGTGGCTTTGGCTCTTCAGGGTGCTTTGAAATTTTGGCACAAACTACAAAAAAAAATAAATAGCAAAATATAAATAAATAATCAAGTAAACTATAGATACTATATGTGAAAAAAAAGAAAGAATAACAAAGAGAAACCTCGATGTGGTGGTGGTGGGCGAATAAAGTCAGAACGAATGCCAAAAGCAATAAAAATAATAATAATAACAAAGCCGCCCCAACAATAAAATGTAGTTTACCTTGAGAATAATCACACACAGATACTAAACACACACACAAACAGAGAGAGGGAGACATCGATGCTGGCATAAAGTAGAGAGCTCCCATATAACTATTTAAAATAAGTTGATATTTTATAAGGCATTACAAGTTGCAGCTAAAAGCCACCTCGCTCGCACTCGCACTCACATTCGCACCGACTTGAGTATCATTTTGCACATCTTCCAAAGTAGTATAACCAAAGGAGACCCAGACCCCCAGACCCCAGCTGGACGGCTTTGTCTCTGCAGCTTCGACTAGATTATTATTGTTATGATTATGTCTGGCAGCCGCGACAGCAACGACATGGGATTTATTTCATAGCCGGATAGAATTTATGGCAACTGTCGCCGCGATCTGGCTGCGGGAATGAAGAAATTAAAAATTGATTATGACAAAACCTGAGCAAATGTTAATTATTTAGACAGTTCTCCACTGACAGTGACCAAACTAGATGCACTGCCATTTCCTTATGGCTCTTATTTTGTGGCTAATTAGCCGTAAGTCCTTTTGGCCAGCTTCCAGTTAAGTGCGTTATGCGTAAAGCCGAAATGGTTATGGACCAGATCTGGTCGGTCGGTCGCGTAATTGCACCAAATGGTTGCCATTTCGGTAGACCTGGCTTAATTGACGTGAATGAATTTAATTGCGATTTCTGAATTGGTTTAGGCAAATGCAACAAGTCGAGGTCGCCGAAAATGTAACGTGATTAGGTAATCTGCCACAAACAGGCACGATTCATTAGCCTTTAAAATTGTTATGCGAGCGAGGTAACCGCAAAATGTGGAATTAACTTTAAATAAACAAAAGGCAGATGACAGAGGTACCCCAATTTCAAGGGAACTTCTTTCTGAAAGGAACCTTTTGAAGGACCTTTGAATTATCTGCACAAGTCACAAGCGTTTAAGGTAATTTAACCCCAGAGATGATAATGAATTTCCAGTTTCTCGGTTTGCTATCTTTGCATGCAAATTAAAGCAATTATGTGTAAAACACAGATTTAATGATGATTTAATTTTGACGCAACAAAGCAGCGAGATAAAGAGAAGACGACATCAGCAATCTTATGGGGGAATGAGGAAAATTATTCGCCCGCTGGGCACAAAGCAACATTTTTCATACACAAGTTAACATGTGAATTTTCTGGCAAATTACAGTGCAGTCAAAAGTCAAAGTTGTTGACTGTAAAAAATCAACTAAAAGACGACTAATTTCAGCCAATTTGAGGCACTGCTTGATGCTTGTGGCTGGTTTACAGGTGAGCCTCGTTGGCTGCGAAAGCGTCTCAACGTGATCAACCTTGCGGAGCGACAAATTTGGCCAAGACGAGTCGGGTCGGCAGCTGTTCTGCCTTCGGAATCGGAATTGGAATTGAAATTGGAATCCAGTAAGGCGGACAAGTGACGAAAGCCCAGCTCCTTTGTTCAAAATCTTGAAATTGTGCCAACTTGGCGTCCTTCCTCTTCTTTTAGTTTTATTTTTTCTTCCAACTGATGACATAATTTCAGATGGCTTTTATTTTAAAAAAGGCGTTGCGAGAACAAGTCCACCTTTAACTACTCAGAAAGCCAGAAAGCGTAGGCCCAAGATTGCGGGGAGACTTTCTTGTACAGTTGCCTCAATTGCGTAATGGGCCAGGCCATTTCCCTCCCGTCTCCATTATAAGACGGCTCTTTAATGAGCTCGTACACTTTTAATTTATTAATTTAATTAGGCAAAGAGCAAGTCATTATTATGAGATTTGCTACGTTTCCTACACTCGCCTTTCAGCTCCACATTTGATTTGCTTTCGAGTGCGAACTTTGTCAAAGTTCCAACTGGTTTTGTTTGCTCTCGTGCCATCTTTGGGGCTCTGGTTGGGTCTCTGGCTAGGGGTTGGGGGAAGGCAGACTACTATTAAAATGCCATTTATGCTTTTTTATTAATTCATCATTTGCATACATTTGTTTTATATTCGTATTATGTCTCTACGAACTGCGCAAGAAACTTAATTAATAAGTCTCATTTTTGGCTTGCCTGCCCACAATTTTCGCACTATTTTCTCGCCGTTGTTGTTCTGTATTTATTATTATTTTTTTAGCTATATGTCTTATTTTTTTTTTTTTTTGCCAAGTGACATTGGGCGTAGGCAGTCACAGTTTTTGCTGGCTGTCGCTCGACTGAGATTGCTTTCAGTCGCTTTTTGATATTGGACTCAGTCAGGTTCTTGGCACCGAGCCTGTGAACTGTTTTCTGTGATTTTTTTCGATTGTGTGTGACAGCCCCCGGGGCACCAAATATTTCAAGAATTCGGGGTAAATTCACCTAAATGGAGTTGTCGATCATCGCATCGCCTGAAAATCCTCAAATGCTCAACTTCAGTTGTCGCAAGTTGGGAAAAAAAAAATCAGTTGGAATTGCAGACGATTGCGTCATTTGTTTATCGAAATGTGTATTGAAATGAGTCGCAGATTATTTTTAGAGCTCTTTAACTCTTTTTCGTTGAATGCTTCGATTTTTCTTTATTTTATTTTCGGTGATTTGTTATTTGTTTATCCGCTCTCGCCAGTCGCTGTAGCTGTTGCTGTTTCTGAGCCGTTTCGGTTTCTGTTGACAGCTGCTTTGGCTTTGGAAACAAGTTTGTCGCCTCAGTCTTTTGAATCGACTCCATTCTTTAGCGAAAGTTCCTATTTGTTCGTATGTTCGCATTTTGTATTTGTTTTGAAAGCCATGCGGCAATTGGCCAATTGGCCAGCGAACAATTTTAATTGGCTTTCAGGCCCCGGCTAAAGTCAAGTACGAGACCGCCTGATTTGCATACTTGGGCTGCCTCAAGGACGCGGCGCCGCTTTTGAAGTGATTAGGTCCTGAGTCCACGACTGCGATTAGCCGCGGAGCATTAAATTATTTTCATACGGAAAATAAATGCGACCTGTCCCCCGGTTCTAGATAAAAGGACCAGAACGTCAGGCTCCGATCTGGGGCCTTAAATGAAATCGAAAGTGCGCTCAGTTAATTGAAATACCCCATAGCAACCTACGCAGATCTTTAGCATGCCAGTTCTTAAATTACACTGCCAGGAATCTGTGAAGGGATTAAAGTATATGGTATAGGCCTTGATCCGAAATTCAACGAATATTTTTTTGAATGTACTCCTAGACCAAAACTGAGAAGGTGGAATGCGGTAAGCTCCCATTTAGTAGACTTGCCACGACCTTATCTTGTCACCGACCCGGCCAGCAGGGGATAAAGCATTTTTGCCAACTAAAACGTTTTGCTATCGACGGTTTACAAAAAAATTAAATGGGCGGGGGAGCTGGCTTTTGCGGTTGTGCGGTTTGCTGCTCTTAATGAAGCGGGCTGGAGGTCGTAGCAGTATCATCATCATCATCATCCATGTACAATTACTGGAGTCGTACCATTAAACTAAAGTAAAGCGAAACCATAAGCATCAGTCTGGTCCTGGAATCATTTGAGGCAAGCAAGTGAAAGTCGTGCCACAAAGCGCAGATTTCATTATTTATATGATCCGAATTTCGGCATATTTTTTGGAGTTTTTTCGATTTTTTTTTTTTTGTTGTTGCTGCGGCTTGTGCGTGGCAACGAAGTTGGTCAGTGTGTTGGAGCCAAAGACGTAGTTGGCTATCACGACAACCAAATTATGTGCAGCTACCACCCGAAACCGAAACCGGAACCGGAGAACCGAACCTGGCAATGGCAACTACAAGTTGCTGGAAAGGCGCCCAAAGGCAGACCAGTTGGAAAAGTGGATCAGATGTTTTATCGCCAACTTTTCAAAAGAGCTGGCTGCCTGTTCAGCAAAAAAAACCAAAAAAGTTATTAAAATTCGCAGCTCCTTTTGGGATGGTCATGGAAATCATAGAGCCCGCTGGCGTGGCTACATTAAGTGGATCAATGATTAGATTAATGAATGGCTCTCAGCGCCCGGTAATCAATCAAATGCTGCATTCGCAACAAGATGGAAAAAGGCAGAAAAATAGCTGAAAACACCTCATGCCCCGAGATCATTGTCTTAGGGTCTTGGGAACTTGAATCTTGGATCTTGGTCGGTGCTACGGTTAACCGGCATTGGACTGACTTGGTGCGAATTTATGTTTTCCTGTTGCCTCCAAAAAAATCACTGCGAAAAGATACAAAGCCTGCCCCCGGGGCATTGAGCATACGAATGAAACCTTGCAAGTAGCCTAGTCTTGTGAGGCATCTGATGGTGATGATATGATGGTGGCACTGCAACAACGAGGCAACATTTCACCTTGACACATATCGCATGACAGCTGATTGCACCTAAAGATGTAGCCCCTACCTTAGTACTTGTAGTACCATTATACCTGTAGAACTGGCAAGCTATGATAGCTCCTTCGCCTCCCTTGGTTTTCTGTTCAATTCTCAATCCCATTTCCAATCCAATTCCGCTAAACCAATTTGGCACACGACACGCCCAGCTCTGTCATTATTCATTGTTGTTTGAATTTCGATTAGACATCGGTGTCACTTTGCCATTTTGCAGCACGATTCGGATTTGGATTCGGAGTCGGATTCGAAGCGAATGTGGGAGCGGTTCTGTGTCCACAAATGTGACAGGTTGTGCAGGTGAATGGACAGAGCTGGCTGGCCTGAGGGAGGGGAAACGGGACCCAAGAGGAGAAGGGGAAACAGAAGTCCAGTTGATCTCGGGGCAAGGTCAGCACAGAAATGCGATGCCTCTGATGATCCAAGTGTTTCTTTTTATCGCATGTGTACGTAAGAGTTTGGATTACACTGGAAATATAAGAATGGGATTTTCATTTCAATTAAATTAGCTATCTGACTATCCCAGTTTTACGTCCATATCTTTTTATAAGAATAGAAAAGATTGAAATCAAACAGAACCGTCTAATTACTCTCTCTTTAAGCCCTTTTTCCCTTCAGTGTGGCTGACTGAATTGGCCTGAAAAAAGGGGCTGACTGGCTGACTAGTCGACTGGTCAACTGACGAGATCACGCATCTTGGCTAGCACATCTCGTTCTGGCCGCTCGATGATGGTGCTCGTTTCGGCACGTTTTTCTTCGCCTTTCTGTGTTTTTTTTTTTTTTGTTTCCCTCTCTTGGCGCTGTTGTTTTCGGCGTATTAAATAATAATGATTATGAAAAAAAAAGTGAGGAAGTGGAGGAATCTTTATGAGAGATAGATCAACTGGGGCCGCAGAAGCTTCTTCAATGGCCATTAGCGCTTACAGCGCCCGATTACAGAGCAAGCGTTCTACGAGATACGAATGCGAGATGTGAGATGCGAGAATCCAAGAATGCGAGTGTATCTGAGCAACAAAGCCACTCGCATCTGAAGTCGGTTCATTTCGAGTTCAGCAGACGTGGGCCAGATAGATCCATCCATCCATTCCATTGTCAGACGTCCAGTCTCGCAAAGTTGGCAACTTGCTGGCAACCGAATTGGTCTGGACGGGTTTGGGGGGCTGGCTGGCTGCCTTATTTAGCGGCCAGCAGCTGGAAAGTGTGAATTGGCCACAGCTGGCCAAGCTAGATGCCTGCCAGATATTACATCATCGCCGACTAATGTGCTAATTTGTCTTTACATGAATGCCAAAACTAGTTCGCGGAACTGCCTCTGCAATTGTATGTTAATCCCTGTCTTTTATCTTTTTTGTTTTATTCCAAAAGGCAAGCATCCCAGCGAATACGGTGACTTGGCTAATCTTCAAAGCTACCACCAGCTTCCGCCGGACATCGATCCCGAGGACATTCGCAAGGAGGCTGCCCTGGTGATAGCCCAGGCGGGCAGGCATCACAGCAAGGCCGAGAACGGCGATCATATTCCGAATTTCAGGGTGAAGCATCCCAAGCGCCAGAGCCAGACCAGTGACTTCAATTCGCTGCCCACGAGGCGCAAGAAAAGCGGCAAGCCCGTGGCCCGTAGTGTCAGCGACGCCTCCAGCAAGAAGCCTCCCAGTAAGAGACCGTCGATCTTCGGATTATTTGGCGGAAAGAAGACCGAGTCGAATGCCAGTCAGCTGGACAGAGATCCGCGATTCGAGGACGGCGGTGCCAGGCGCTTAGTGCGAAGCAAAAGTGATGTGGGCAGCAGCAAGGTAGCTGCCAGGAAGTCAAATCCCGAGGAAAGGCCCTCGCAGTCCAAACAGCAGCTGAGTCCCATTATAGAGCAGTCCCAGAGAGAGGACTTTTTCGAAAAGGATTATTTTCGAGAGCGCGAGCGTCGCAAATCGGATGCCGTTACACTGCGCGAAAAAGATGAGAGTGGCCGTGGCCTGAGGGAATTGCTAGCCCGCAGTCGCTCCCAGGCAGAGCTAGATGGTCCATTGATCACAGCAGAAGCTCCAGTCACAGCTTCCAGTACTTCCATATCGGCGGGCATAAGAGACCGAATTGAGACCCTGAAGGCAAAGTCCGGAGAAAACATGCACAGTTCCCAGCAGCCGGCGGAGCGTCTGCCCCTCACCAAGGGACGGACGGTGGATGGCCTGGTCAAGAGGCTGTCAATGGAGCGATTCTCCCCTCAGCCAGTGATTAGTCAGCCGGGTTTCTCCTATATACGGCCCAATGATGGCATTACCTACGCCCAGTTGGACTTGGGTGAAGATCAAACCCTGCGCAGGGATGTGCGCACTCCCCAGAGGGAGATACCTCCCGTGGCGGCTCCAGCAAGGCCTCCAAGGGCTACTGATTCCAGACCCAGCTACTCACCCACATCGCCAGTGAATGGGGCACCTTTGTCCCACCGGCCCAGTCACTCTCCATCACCCTGGCAGCAACTGAGTCCTCGGAACTTGAGCGACGAGGACGAGGGCTTGGGCTACGAACCACGGAAGGTCTACTACGAGGAAGATCTTTCCCGAAGATCAGAGCCACCCATAGTGCCGGTCATTAGAAGCGTTAGTCCTTCCCCTTATCTGGATGAGCTGGGCTACCGAAGGGCCCAGCTAGAGACTCGCATCCTCACCCGGCGCTTCGGTGAGGGAGCCACCTTGGAGAGAAACAGACCCACTCCCGAACGGGAGCCAGAACGTTTTCAGCGGGTAACTGTCCGCCAAGAGCCGGTACAAGAAAATGGCTCCACAATGCCTAGGATGGAGAAGACCTCCAGGTACCGCCACACCAAATACTATGACGATGGTCATGGCGGTGTCAAGGAGACTTACGTGCGGGAGACCCAGAGGGATGGACAAGTACGAGAATCCCGGCACCGGGAGCGTATTGGAGAAAGAGATCGGGACTACAACTCCGCCGACAGGTTGGAGCATGAGCCCAAGAGCCTGGACTCACAGTTGACGGACCAGTACCGCTCCTCCCCGGAATTGCGGGCCCAACAGCCTTTGCACAGGGAGCAGCGGGAAGGGCAGGAGTACTGGCAGAGCAGCCTCAAACGGGACAAACTCCAGCAAAGGAGCTTTGACAAGGGCGATTCCGGAATCGAGAACGATTTCCGTAAGGAGTCCTTCAATGGAGATCTGACCACAAGGTAAGTCTTGCCACTTAACTGAAGTATTTAAACTCTATAGTGATCTTAATAGGTGGCGCAAGCGCACTGTTCAGGACGACATGAGGGCCTGCGAGTCCTTTTTGCGGAAGGAGCGCCGGGACAGTGCCCAGCAGCAGCGCCAACTGCAGCAGCAACGCCAGTCGGCGCCAACGCGCCTCCGGCGGGAGCACAGCTACGTTTACAGGGAACGCTCCATCGACGACGGATCCCACTTCGATCCGCACCTGGACAAGTACCCAGTAGCCACCAGTACTTTGCGTCGGCGAGAACAGCACTCCCAGTCCCAGTCGCAGTCCCAGAGTCGCGAAGACTCGGGCACCCTGAAGCGAAACAAAAAACTCGGCGGCTTTGAGAAGGTCAAGCAACTGTTTACCGGAACAGGTGGTAGCCATGGGGGCAGCGGTCGCAGCAGCGGCAGCAATGTGTCCAGTGGCAAGAAGGACCGGATGAGCAATGGGAACAGCAGCACTCTCAGTCGCCGGGACAAGGAGAAGGACAAGGAGCGTGAGCGCTACATGGTCCGGGAGGAGGAGATGCGGTCACGCTACCGGGAGCATCATTCCCAGGCCGAGGAGACCTCGCGCGAACCAAAGGTAAGAGTTTCCTCCAGAATTTTCAACCAAAAGTATAGTAAAAATGGGTAAACACGCATTGTTGGACTTTCCTCGAAGGTAAATCCATGATCCCCTTTGGCTTAATGTCCAATTGATGGCGCCAGTCCAAGTTCGTTAACCCGCGGGCTGGACAATATCGTTTCTGGGAGCCCCAGAATCTGGCCAACTCATTTGGTCATGGTCTCGACTATTATTAATTTCGAATTAATCAAGACTTATGTCGATGGGTCTTACATTTTCGAGGGAGTAGCAGTTGAAGTAGTGATGGTGGCCTGCCAATTGTTCTGGCCCCGATGAAGAAGAGGGTTTCTTGGCTGAATCCACTTCCTGCTCCGGTTCGAAATTGGTGCTGGCCAAGTGGGCGTAGCAATCCGACCCCAAAAATGGTGCCAAGAGAAGAAGACAAGACGTCACGTCCACTTTGGCGGGATGCTGGGGAGCAGACAGCGCACCTAATCAAACAGCCAAGACCATAAAGTAAAACTCGCGACTTTGCTTAAGTAATAAACGACAACTGGCCAAATAGAGTTGCAAACGGAACGAAAATGTTGACGCGAAAAAAAAAGCTAAACTATTCAGCGAGGAGGCGTCGTATAAATTTTGAGAAAGAACAAAAGCTATAAGCAGATATACATAGAAGTCGAGGCAGAAGCGAAGCCCACGCAGCTGCTGTCATTCTGCCAGTCAGTTTGTCCAACTGTCCATCTGTCCGTTTGTCCGACTGTCAGTCCGTTTGTCAGTGCGCTCGCAAATTAAGAAAGCCGACAGCGAAACGACAAACATCAAGGCGGCGGAGATTGAATAAACTGAACTGAACTCGCACTCCGATTCGAATTGGGATTTGTTGTACTATTCACAATCACAAGATTCCAATGCAAAACGGTTCTTGCTACTGTTGCTGAGGTGTTGCTGTCTGCATTGCGCAACTTGCAACTGCAACTGTTGCTATTACTGCGTGCTGCCAGTTAATTTGCAATGGTTGAGCGAATTTCTTGGCCAAGTCTAAGCGTTTAAGAGGTCTAGAGGATGTTGCCACTTTGCGTTTGGCCGGATGTTCCATGTAGGCGGTCCGAAACCTCAGAGAGGCTTAGCCCAAAACGAAGACCTCATCCTGCAGGAGTTCTGGGTACCATTGTTTCGGGACAAGGTGTGCCCCGGACCGTTGTCAAAAAATTAGGCTTGCGTGCTAACCGAAAAAATATAAAAGCGGTATCGGCGTCCGATTGGTGGTAAATATATGCCTCTGACCGGGACAATGTACCGCCATTATTCATTGGGAGGCCCCCCCGCCCAATAAAAACATGCCGCCCGAAGTGTTCCGCCGAAATCTTTAAGTGTTTGCCATTCATTCCAAAGAGGTTCTACACGCAGAAGAGAAACCCGACAGCAAACAGAGAAAAAGCAGTTTTGTGTCAATAATTCTGTTAGTTTATTTATGGGATCCCAAAACTGAGGCCATAAACTATATTGGGCCGGGTCTGTCGCGTTCTGGGCATATTTGAATACATAATTATTTAGTGGGTGCGTAATCTTTGGCTTATTGTTCCGACATTCCAAGCTATATTTTAGTGTCTCACTGTCCGTAATAAAATCGAATGGGCCAGGGGCTGGGCACCTGTAAGCCTTTATTCAATTGGAAATCCAATATACTGCCGCTGACAATGTCGGTCTTAGCCAATCACCGCCACCCACCGCTCTCGGCCCGTTTACGTGCCTAATGTCTAATGCCTAATTCCCAATACCTAATACAGTTTCAACCGCAACTGGGCCAAAGTTGCATTGGGCCGGCCAAAACGAGCCGACTCACAGTCGCACATTTACGAATGGCAAAAACGAGTTTACATTTGGCCCTCGCGCCGCCCCCACTTCCCATTTCCCACCTTTGGCATAAAGGCCACCTGTCCCACATTCGCAACCTGTTGCCGAACGGAGGGAGACGCGACCTTTGACCCGAAAGCGAAAGCAAGCCGTCCACACAACCCTGCACTGTGAAAAATATTTAACAAATAGTAGTATCAGAAATAGTGTAATTAAATTAATTTCTTCCTGTTTAGACTATTGATATCTCGATGCGACGTCGCTTGTCCACGCCCAAAGCTAGTCCCCTGCTGGTGAAGCGAAGTCCGGCTGACAAGCCGCCCAAAAAGCAGCCCAAAGCAAAGGATGCGACGCCCCCGAAGGTCGAGAAAACCAGTTGGTTCAGGTCACTGGACCGTCGGGCCAAAAGCAGTCCCAAGGAGGTGAGAACAAAGGTACATCTTTGTGTGTGAACATTATCCTAATCCCTCCATAACTCCTTCCTAGCTGAATGTCTCTGTCAATGGACATAGTGAGACCACTTCGAGCCTGAAGCGGACCAAACGCAATCCCACAACTGCCCCAGCCAAGAACCTACGTTTCTTTGGCGACACTGACCTGGACTCCAATCCGCCAACCATTTCCAAGGCCAGCAGTATGCCAAGGTGAGAAAGTTAACTTTTTAAACTGAAAAAAAAATAAACACAATTCTTGCAGGAGTCGCCCATCTCTGGGCCAGTCAAAGCACTCGCAGAGTGCCTTTAACCTGGACCGCAGTCCACCGCCTTTAGGGCGTGACTACCGCCACTCCCTGGCCGGCCAGGTGAAGTCGCAGACCCAGAACAGCAGCCGGCAGAGGGCCAGCTCCATGCAGCATCTGGATAACGGTGGCAGCGATGAAGTGGACTTCCGAAAGAGGCGGCACTACTCCAGATCGCGGGAGCTTCACGACATCTCCGAGAGTGGCTCGGAACCAGAGCCGGCGGAGCGGCACAAACGCAGCAGCACGGCAGGACAAAGGGCCATGTCCCTGGAGCGGACGGTTGATGGCCCCAGAAGCCAGCGTATCGAAGACCGCCAGATGATGGGGCCAGCCAAACCAGCCAGAGGAGCTGATCGACGCGGTCTGCTCAATAGCTTAGGCCAGGAAAACTTGGGCTACGGCAGGTGCGTTTCTGTGGCCAGATATGTATATCCTTCAAAGTGACTAAATAATAATTTACTTTTAGGGATCGCTATCCGGCGGAGAGTTCTGGTACGGAGGGCGAGTCGAGCCTGCACAGTCAGCGCAGTGTGGTTTACCTGCACGCCACCACAGTGGGCGACATCCCACAGCCATACAACCTGCGCCGGCGGTCCATGTCGCGGGATGACCTTCGCAAAGGCAAGCAGCAGTCACCCCAGCAGCCGGCGCCACTGCAGCCCATGACCCGAACTGTTTCCCGATCCGTTTCCATGCTGGCTCCCTGGAAGCCCAAACATATCAGCGAGGGCTACGAAATCAATTACTCCCAAGAGCAAAACAAGCGGGTAGGTTATCCTTTCTTATTCTTTATCCAACATTACTAAAAAACTGAATCTTTATTTCAGATGTCCACATTACCACGGAAACCACCGCCCCACAATGGAGCCACCAGTGCCAGTACTTTGAGCCGTTTAAGCCGCAAAACGGAGACTTCGACGCCCACGCGCCGATACCACATGGACAGCCTTGAGCGCCCACCACCCCCCAGGTCGGTGCTGTCCTCATCGAATTTACGCAGCGCCAAGATGAAGTGAGAATCCGGAGCCAAGGACTCCGTCTGGTGCTCCATTGTGGATGACCCACAACCTAGTTGCTAATTGTAATCTTTAATGCGAACTCGAAATCGATAGCCACATATCGAAAGTAATTCTAATCAATTCAAACGATGGAGGATGAGGACGAAAGGATCTGCATCCTGCCGAGATGCGACCGATGCCTTTACTTAGTTGCGTAGAAATTCTTTAACCTTTGTTGCAATTCTCGTCATATTTTAAAAGTGAAATGTATTCATACTTCAGTAATAATTATAAATTAATAAAATATCAGACTTTAACTTATATATTAAGCACTTAATATTTATTACGAGATTTTAACGTAGATTGATAGAGAATTTTTCCACGATCCTGCAATGGTATTCCGTTTAGGGATCAGAGAAATACTTTCCAAGATACATTCTTCACAAGGAACATATTTTTCGTATTCTTCAATATCCCCAATTTTCAAGGATGTCCATCAGAAAAATTTGAAAAATATCTTCAAAAAATAAGTTACTGGGATTTTAATGCAGATTAATAGAGAATTGTTCCACGATTCTGTAATGGTATTCCGTTTAAGGATCAGAGAAATACTTCACAAGATACAGTCTGCCCAATAACCAGTTTTTTCGTATCCTTCGATTTCCCCAATTTTCAAGGGGGTCCATCAGAAAAATTTGAAAAAAATCTTCAAAAAATAAGTTACTGGGATTTTAATGCAGATTAATAGAGAATTGTTCCACGATTCTGTAATGGTATTCCGTTTAAGGATCAAAGAAACACTTCACAAGATACAGTCTGCCCAATAACCAGTTTTTTCGTATCCTCCAATTTTCAAGGGGGTCCATCAGAAAAATTTGAAAAAAATCTTCAAAAAATAAGTTACTGGGATTGTAATGCAGATTAATAGAGAATTGTTCCACGATTCTGTAATGGTATTCCGTTTAAGGATCAGAGAAATACTTCACAAGATACAGTCTGCCCGATAACCAGTTTTTTCGTATCCTTCGATTTCCCCAATTTTCAAGAGGAAAATTTCAAGAAAAATTTGAAAAAAATCTTCAAAAAATAAGTTACTGGGATTTTAATGCAGATTAATAGAAAATTGTTCCACGATTCTGTAATGGTATTCCGTTTAAGGATCAGAGAAATACTTCACAAGATACAGTCTTCACAAGGAGCAGTTTTTTCGTGTTCTTCGATTTCCCCAATTTTCAAGGGGGTCCATCAGAAAAAATTTGAAAAAAATCTTCAAAAAAAAAGTTACTGGGATTTTAATGCAGATTAATAGAGAATTGTTCCACGATTCTGTAATGGTATTCCGTTTAAGGATCAGATAAATACTTCACAAGATACAGTCTGCCCGATAACCAGTTTTTTCGTATCCTTCGATTTCCCCAATTTTCAAGGGGGTCCATCAGAAAAATTTGAAAAAAATCTTCAAAAAATAAGTTACTGCGATTTTAATGCAGATTAATAGAGAATTGTTTCACGATTCTGTAATGGTATTCCGTTTAAGGATCAGAGAAATACTTCACAAGATACAGTCTGCCCGATAACCAGTTTTTTCGTATCCTTCGATTTCCCCAATTTTCAAGGGGGTCCATCAGAAAAATTTGAAAAAAATCTTCAAAAAATAAGTTACTGGGATTTTAATGCAGATTAATAGAGAATTGTTTCACGATTCTGTAATGGTATTCCGTTTAAGGATCAGAGAAATACTTCACAAGATACAGTCTTCACAAGGAGCAGTTTTTTCGTGTTCTTCGATTTCCCCAATTTTCAAGGGGGTCCATCAGAAAAATTTGAAAAAAATCTTCAAAAAATAAGTTACTGGGATTTTAATGCAGATTAATAGAGAATTGTTCCACGATTCTGTAATGGTATTCCGTTTAAGGATCAGAGAAATACTTCACAAGATACAGTCTGCCCAATAACCAGTTTTTTCGTATCCTTCGATTTCCCCAATTTTCAAGGGGGTCCGTCAGAAAAATTAAAAAAAAATAAGTTACTGGGATTTTAATGCAGATTAATAGAGAATTGTTCCACGATTCTGTAATGGTATTCCGTTTAAGGATCAGAAAAATACTTCCCAAGATACAGTCAAAACAAGGAGCAGTTTTTTCGTATTCTTCGATTTCCCCAATTTTCAAGGGGGTCCATCAGAAAAATTTGAAAAAACTCTTCAAAAAATAAGTTATTGTTCCACGATTCTGTAATGGTATTCCGTTTAAGGATCAGAAAAAAAAATCCCAAGATACAGTCAAAACAAGGAGTAGTTTTTTCGTATTCTTCGATTTCCCCAATTTTCAAGGGGGTCTATCTTTGTGGAATAAGAAAAATTGTTAAATATGTTAATTATTGTTTAAGATATAACTAAAATAACAAAAAAATAATTTAAAATAAAAGGTTAAGCGATTTTACATTTTACCGAAAACTTACACAGTTTCAATGCTTCTAAAACTCTGCTTAGCTGGGTCAGCAACCCTCAGGCCACTGGTTCTAAAACCCTGAGCAGTGCTTCCAAAACCCACAGCCAAATTTAATTTTAATTTAGAAAAACTGCATCTGTTGACCGATTGCCGGCGAAAGTAACTCATCCCGCCGTCCACCCACCGTCCGGTCACGCCCACTGGCTGTATGCAGTTCGCCCACAACGACAAAAATAAGCAAAAAAATGAAAATGAAAATAAAAATAAAGCAGAGGGGAAAACTCAACATAAATTATTTTTCACGCAGCTAATAAATTATTCGCAGTCACTCAACACCCAGCAAAAACACATTTCCGCCGGCACGCTCTCCCACCAGCGGCAACTTTCTGGCTGCATTGCAGTCCCTCAGCTTGACTCGTCTCGTCTCGCCTCGTCTCGAAGCTGCATTTTCAAGGATAATTGCGAAAATACAGGCTTCTCAGTCAACTTTTTCCCGTCATGGGATGGAGGAAGGGCGTCGGGCTTGGGCGATGTGTTAAGGGGCAAGTGGCAAGTAGCGAGTGGCAAGTGCGGCGGTGGTATTTTAAAGTTCAGCAATAAATTTATAGCCTCGCTTCGGGCATTTGTTTTTATATGGAAATCCGCTGGCTATGGAAATATAGCCCAGCCCCCACCTAAAACTATTCACAAAATAAGCATCAAACAGGGTTGAAGGAGAACGTAATGAAAAAATTGCTTGCGAATATTTTCTTAGAGTAAACAAGATTTATTTGGAAAATTTTGCTTGACTGGGCTTTCCGCCTGGACTATGAAAAGTACTAGCATATGGAGTGGACTCGGGGGGCGGGAGTATTATTAATCCCCTCGACAGCCATTTAATCAGCACCTGCTGCTCTAGCTACTGCTCCTCCGGCGACCCACCTGTCGGCTAAAGATAAGCGCTGACACAAAATGGACACAATGCAAACTGATGTTTATTGTCCCTTGAAGACAATCATCATCTGTCATCCAATGGGTGCAGTTTTTCCCTTAATTAATTTCCCGCCCACTCGCATGCACATTCGTTTAAAATATAGTAGGATGTGAGTGGGACAAATTGTTGGGTTTTTAATTTTCCTAAGTAATTGCAATACCTTCCCAGCTTGACAGTACAAAGTGGAACAGAAAGAAAAGTGATAAACGGATCACACTTTTGTTGGGTAAATTACACACATTCCATTTACTAATAGATGTCAGAGCACAGAAAGGATAAAGACTCGTACTTCTTCATCCAAAGGTCATTAATTTCAAGGGATTCGATGATAACTCTTTGGCAAAACTATCGGATATCATCAGGTGAAACGAAATGAAATTGAATGCGAATCAAGGAGATTTCAATTAGCGGGTTTTTCTAATTCAGGCCACTTAATTAAGGCTCTTGATGTTTCCAATTAATTAAATGAGAATTGAGGAAAGCGATTGAACGCCATTTAATGAGGCACATGCACATTTATCAAACTCAAATTGGTTGCATATCTCGAACGAATTACAAACTTAATTGGTCTTATAATTGACAGGTTTTTACTAGCTAATATGCGAACTGCAGGTAAATAATATGAAACAAAAGATATATTCATATAATGTATTCAAAAGAAAATATTGTAAAAATAAATGCCAAATTAACTCTTGGTGGGCCGCCATCGGTCTCATAAATATGGAAATTGTGGATTATTAAATATTAAGCATTTGACTTTACCACATTGATTAAATGCGAGCCTAAAAAAAGTGACACAGCTTCAATTATTCCGGGCTTTTTTTTTGTTTTTGCAAACAGGAGAGTGAAATTACATTTAAAATATAAATGGATGCCACCGCCAGATGCATTGAGAGACCTGGACCCGGCAACATATAACTCTTTATATTTCAATTTATGGCTTTAAATTAATCCAGGCAAATAATACTGACAATTATGGATTAAATGTGTCAATAATGCAACTGATAACAAATTGCTTTTGGGCCCAAAGCACCCCAAACACCCCGGAACCAGGCTACACTGGCTACTGGATCCTGGATATTTGATACTGCATCTCCACCTGAATCCAATAGAAGCGTCCTTAATTAATGCCCAAACATTTTTAGAATTAATGCCCACTTGTCGGCGTGGCAGGGAAGATGAATGGTCCGGCCAAAGGTCGGCGGTCGAAGTAACCACACCAAAGCCACTGGCTTCGGTTGGGGCCATCGGCATTGGATTTGGTATCCGACGGATGCGGATGCGAATTCGTATACGCATGCATGTGTGCATGCCGTGCGGTTCTACATATTCCAGCTACTGTGGCAGTTGCAGTTGCAGTTGCAAGTGCAAGTGCATGCTTAAAACAATAATTTCAATTTGGTTGTGCTCACATTTCAATGTAAATATTTACGTATGCATAAGCGTAAATTGGTTTTACACAAATCGCAGACACAAAACGCTCTGCAGGGTAAATAATTAATTTTTGCAAATTTAATTACTTCAATCGATATGGAGAACAACCGAAGGATCAAGTCAAGTGTACGGATTCTGGGGCTTAAGCTTACAGACCACACACACCCGGCCGCCATACTAAACCCATTTATGAGGACTTATCTTTCGATTCGCACAACTGGGATGGTAGAAAAAGAGCGGATCTAGAAGATATTTGCATATGTCGAGAGCAGACAGACTTGCCTCTTAGAAAACAACCATTTATCAATTAACCGAAAGTGGGAATCACCGCGCCACCAAACCAAACCCTCCAGTCGTCTGGGGCACACTGGGCGCCAATTAATTTTCGCTTTCGCGAATCAACAAACACTACGTCAACAAAAAAAAAAAAACACAACAGAAAGGAAACCAAAAAGTTGATTAAGGA